AAATGATTTAAGAATCATTGTACAACACACAAATTTTAATTTTAATTTTCCATAAATAACTTTTTAGTTTCCATTTACTTGGTTGTTAAAGTGAGCGGTGACTTGTTCCATGACATCCATGACAATAATTCTAATCTAACAGGAAAGTTGAACGGATCCCGCTCCAATTTGCCTACATGCAAAAGAAGGTGTTGTATTAATATGAGTCCTCTAGTATATCTGGACGTTCAATTTTCTTTTTGTAATTTTCATCTTTTAAATGGTTATCTTAAAATGATGATCTAGCTTATAATAGTATGATGTCAATGAAAAAACATATGCATTTTGGCAGATTTTTACTATATGAAGAGCATTGCTTTTTTATCCATGGTGTCTCGCTTGTCGAGTTGATAAGAGTGTATATACATGAGCAATTTTGTGACTTATTATTGTCAGCTCGTGTCGGCTTTTCTAGGGCAAACCTCAAAATTGCTGCTAAAATGGATGACATATATTTTATAGCACCGCTTATAGGGCTTGTAAGTCTTGTAGGGCTACTCAATCTCTTTGGATTGTATGGCAAGTCGTTTTTCGATAAATATTCATTAAAAAGTAATTTGGCCAATTTATATGGTTCAATTAACTCCAGCCCATCTTATGGAAGCGTGACCCTCAAAATAGATCTTCTTGAACCCCGACGTTTCTTGCAACCCGGATTCCTTCCATGCTATATTCTCACAAGTTATTTTTCGATAATATTTCATTATCTAATTTTACCGATTTCAAAATTAGTCCTCATCTTTAGGTAGCCTACATTAGTAGTCTCTCTATTTGATTGATGTTATTATAGATGATAAAAACAAATAATGATGTTTCATAATTCTCCATGGCATTGTTTCTTTGGCAACGAAATGGTACATTCTTAGTCGAACCACTATGTACGTCGCATTAATAATTAACACGTACGTTAAAGTATTGTTATAAAGCTGACCAAGCTACAAATTTTTAATTAAAATTTCGTATGTCATAAAGCACGGTGTTCATTAACTTTTTCATATACTAAAAATTACATCTTGTAAGTTTTAAAACGCCAAATTCTTAATTAAAAATTTACTTCAACTAACAACAAACAAAAATTCTTAATTTTTTTTTCCTGTTTTTAATTCTGCTCTATTATAACACGCATGGTTTCGTTTCGTCTAATATCTGCATGCCGATATGGGGGATAGTAACGCGGTGTTGGTGCTGATGGGGGGAATCGCATCCCCGTATGGTATCTAAAACGTTAGAGTGCAGGTGAATCCGCGTCGACATAATCCGGAGTCTATCTAACGCGGCCGATCGCGTATTGTTCGCTATTGGGGATGATGTCCCCCCTCTTCATTGTCAGGGCGCTTCCACCCCCATTGTGCGGTCACCGCATGCACAAACAATGCGATTCCTATTAACGAGGCGATAATCTGCGCCCCGGACTCACTACTAACGCCGCCGTCCCGTCCAGATAACAATAGCACATTCTATCCGCATCGCAAACCGTTTTCAAAACACCATCAAGAATTTTTAGATTTTGATTAAAATCGAAAATCTTTTTCAAATCTACGAAATCGAATTTCTTTAATGGGTCTTTAATGACGTCTGTAATGAGAGGGCACCGTTTGGGTGGGGCGTTGGGAAGATTTGGGGTGGATTGTAAGGTTGGTATGCGTCATAAAATATTCATCCGCGGGGCGCGGAGCCAATTTCATCTCGACTTTAAACTTGGCCAATTATGCGTGCTCACATCGCGGGAGGTTCCGGCCGCCCCTAACTGTATAGATTTCCGTAACAATAACTACTGACAGTCGGATGATGGATCGCTAGACAATATGGCGCGAGAGGACGGGGGCAACGTCGACACCACTGCCTTCGAGGCCCCCGTGCGAAAAGCGAATTCAACGCACAGGAGCTCCTGTCAAATTGTGATTTATGCGGGGGAAATCCCCCAAAAAACCCTTTTTTTACCTCTCACTCTTTCTTTCAATGCTTTAAACATAAAGCAGTAAAAAGATTTCAATTCTAAAGAAAATTTTCAAGAAGGAAATAGATTGAAAGATCAATTCTACTTGAAAACTAATGTTAACCTCATTAGTACCTTCTCCAAATTCTATGTTAGTATCCAATTTAAGTTTTTGTGCTTAGATCTTTACTTATTATTAGAACTCTCTTTCAAGGAATCAAATAGGAAGTGGAAGGAACCTGCAATCGTAATATTCGGCGTGGTGAACAAGAATCATAATATCAAGAATCGAAATTTGAAGTTATCTTGCATTATCTGCAGTTATCTTGAGTACAATTGGAACTTAGTTTCTGGTATGATTGCAATGTCAAATGTCAGGTAAGGTGGTCCAAAATGATTTTGAAAAAAATTCAATAACAGAGTAATGGCTATTAGTTACAATACTTAATACTTCTTACGTGGTATCTTATATACTGCTTGAACAGCTTAATTACAAAGAGTACCATTACTTCATCAACTTTGCTCTCGTTTAATTCTTGGTTATCCTATCAATATTACTAGGTGTTTCGCCACATTGCTCGTTGTTGGCGTGATGTTTCTGCAATCTTCATACCCAAACTTGGCAGCAAAAAATTTTCATGCAAAGTCCGTCGTACTAACCAGTCTAAATTTGTATTAAAAACTTTGGAAGGAGTATGTAATCGTCAAAGTATGCCGATTTTAAATAGAAAGCCACAAATCCATCTTGATAGTTTTCAATCAATGAGTATCGTTGTCAAGATACGTTGGGTTTCAAAGAGTCACTTCGATAAGACAACCTCCGTGAGTATTAAGGAGTCTTTGGTATCACTGATGGCAACGACGAGCTCACTTTTTCTCGGAGATTATCACCAACCCAATAAAGATAATTCTGCTTATTGCAGAAAGATGGATATGCGCAATAACGCTTATCTCTGAACGCTATTCTTGAGTAAGGCCTCACTGTACGATTTGATAGTCGAACTTATTCAACCGTTATGTTCATTTTTTTTACATTATTTGTTAAAATCCTATGTATGTACTAAATTCATTTGTCCAATAATAAAGATTAATGATCATGTATAACACACCCGTTTGATTTTGAGTTTGAAATGGCCGATGAGGGAGGTACGGTGGGTTGATTTCGTTTCGAAATGTGTTATCGCTAATCTGTGTATTCGACTTAATCCGTTTTGCCGTGTCAAACGAACGGCCTGTCGCTGGTACGTGTGAAGTGAGCGCGAAACGTATGTCCGTCGACCGTTCCCGGATACGAAAAGGGGTCGGAACGCCCAAAAGGGATGAAGTTAAACGTAAGCGTGCCGTATCATTAATCATCGCGATCCCGTTGACAATCCCAACTCCGCGTGCGAAATTCTGATAACCCGTTATACACTTCTTCAAAGCGGAACGGAATCCCCCTTGATGTGTCAAATTCTAGAAAAAAAAAAAGAATTTAAGGAAATTTTGAATTGAAACTCTATGAATTTTTTTTGTTAATATCCACAAAGGGAGCTTTTAAAGGGATGAGATTTAAATTTAGTTGGGATCATTTCAGATTGACGGAGGTTATCAAGAAGCTGATTTTTTTTTCTATTTTCATAAAGGATCAAAAACGCAATAAAGTGAAGAAAGAGAGTGGTTCTTATCAGGTCGCTATTGAAGTATACGCGTCGGTTGCGTCGTCGATGATGCGATTTTCCATTTTCGTTTGGCGCCTGAGAAATATGCGTGCGATAAATAAGAAGACCGAGTCCGTGAGGGGCCCGGAGGTGCCGAAACGACACTTATAGGCAATTTTCCAGGCCGCAAAACCGATTTTAATGCATAATGTGTCATATAAAATTATATCGGGAGCCGCGACGCTCATGTGTGTATACAGTGGCCAGGGCGATAAAGTGCCCTTCTTTATATTATTACACATCTATAGATCACGGGCTCGCGCGAAAATCCGCCATAAAAATATTGCGCACGTGAAAGGGATACGCCAATATACGCGGGATCGCTCTTCGCAGTATAAGGGGCGAATTTATTCCGCGGTTTTATCACCGACTGGGCGCAGATTGTCGAGTCCATTTTCATAAATTTCACCTTCTCTCTAAGTTATGTCTTTTCCATTCCATCCAACAAATTTATTACCTTAAAAAAAATTTCATCTTTCATATAAAAACAAATACATCTTATTCATTGTGACTTAGTATCATCAAAATGTATCATTTTTAATTTACCTGTATTTATAACTTTCCAGTACGCGTGCTTACACAGTTAGAACTAACACTAGACTATATTTTTATTGAATTAAATGTAGAACTAGCGCCACTAGCACTTCTTGTGATAGTGCTAGATCACTAGAACCAGCAATAAATCTAGAACTAGAAACATTCGGGTTTAGCCGAGCGTCTCTTAAGACGGCTGTCTTAAGACGACCCGAATGTTTCTAGTTATTGGTCTATTGCTGGTTCTAATGATCTAACACTAGCACTATCACAAGAACTAACACTAGACCTAGAACTGGAAACATTCCTCTTAAGACGGCTAAGAGACGCTCGGCTAAACCTGAATGTTTCTAGTTCTAAGTTTATTGCTGGTTCTTGTGATCTAACACTAACACTAAATCCAACACTGCACTATCGCAAAAACTAATACTAGACCCAGAACCGGAAACATTTGAATTTAGCCGTACGTCTCTTAAAACGGCTAAACCCGAATGAATCCAGTTCTAGGTCTAGCACTAGTTCTAGTTTTAGTTAATAAAGGTTAATTTATATTTTCTGTAACTAAAAAAACTGATATTAAACTTCAATATAACTGTCAATATAGTAACGCCATCTACAATATTATAGTTAAATCGTACTCCTAGAATCAATTATATTCAATTATAAATTAATTAATTAACTTTTTTATTTTAATATCTAATGGAATTTAAGCTTAAGTATTATTATTGCTTTTATTTATTTGTTTTTATCCATTTACAGTTTTCTATAATTACTTGTCAAAACATTCTGAAAAGGTGTGTCAGTTGTCATATTATAACGCGTTTTGTTTACGTTTTGTTACAAAGTTCCGAATTTCGACAATTTACATAATAAATACGTTAGATGTGATAGTTTTTAAGCAATCTACACCATAATTTACTTAAAAAAGTATGAACAATAACCTCATAGTGATTGTACCTTAATTTTTATTATAGGAAAATGTCGCGTCATCCATCACAAGAAAGCACGACCACTTATTTACAACCGCTTGAAGATTTGAGACACAATGCAGATTTGAATCGTAACGAAGATTATCCAAAGATTAACGAATTATTTTGTCAGGATGGTGTTTTGCTTGAATCAGGACCAGCATCACACATTGAATACATAAGAGCTCCAGGTACTTTGTTTATTACAAGGTATGAAAACTGTGACTCATCTTCGTTATATGTCGAATGGAAACCTTTGGAGAGTTTTACAATTGAGTCAGATACTCAAGATCAAGAATGGGCGGTTGTGAACACTATCGAAAAAAGAACGAGAACTTTAAGTGGAAGTTTACTCCCCGAAGAAGCAAATAGAAGTAAATACTTAAAAATCAAATTAAGTGAAGTTAAAAGCTATAAATTGGGGACTAACCATAGAAAATTAACGTTTAATGATGGCAGTGGTGAATCATTATGTAGCTTTTCTTTTCAAAATGGAAATTCGGATTGTTTTAATAATGTTTTGAGGCAATATATAAAAACTGCCCCAGCCAGAAGAGATAAAAACCATTATGTGATTATTGGTGAAATTACAGAGGCTGAGAATCAATTTAAAAAAACTTTCGGTGAACTTTCTTTGTTTCCTGATGAACAACCTCATTATATGTGGTACCTTATGAAAAATTTTCAACAAGATCCACTTGAAATAACTAAAGCAGCTTTTGCTCGAATGGCAGATATAGGTAAAAATGTTTTTTAATTTATAACTAATTAATTATACGCCATTTTTTAATTTGGAGGAGTAAAATGATAAGTCACCTTTATACAGTGTAATTTTTCAAAGCTATTTTTTGGCGGGAGTTTTAAAACCAAAGAGGATTTTAAGTAATCTGTAGTTAGAAATTTAATTACTTATTTGTTTAAACATAATAAAAACCAGGGCGTACCTACTTACTTTGTCCCACATAAAATGTAACATGTCAATATAATTTGACATTACACCAACCCCAGATATCTTAGATAGGAGAACTTGGATCTGATTATATGTCGCAATCCCACCGCGAGAGGACACTAGCGTGTATACTGAAATAATTTAATTAAACTAACAATTTTGTTATTAATAGTAGGAATGATGAGAGACAGCAATAACAATTATTACCAGTATCAGTTTTTTAATTTAAAAGAATAAATTCCAATTCGTGTTATATTTTTAAATTTGCTGCTAAATATTTTAAAAGTTGAAGTTGGTTTAAAATGTCAAATGAAAACGTCACTTTAAAGTGATTTTTCGCTAAGAGTGTAATAATGGTATGATATATAATAGTAGATTATAATTGTTATAATAGGTTTGTTTCAGCTAATGTTATAACCAGAGCCCGGACAGTTTAGGAAAAGTGCGCCCCTCTACACGAAACGAATTCCATGACAACGACGTAAGTACGTTGTTGTCACTTTTGACACCTTTTAAGTTACTCTTCAAAATTGAATTTTGAAGAGCGATGAGCGTACCTTAGCGAAGAACTTGCAGTGCAACATTAATTAATAAATTAATAAAAATAATATGAAAATACGCACTGAATTATTCATTTTTGGTTTTATTAAATTTATAATTAATAAATTAATTATAATTTATTTTGTGACATAAGGTATGACGTATCCGGCAGCTTCGCACGCTTCGATTGAAGATTGAAACTGGAGTGGAAGGCGTTTTAGGATAATTTTCCTAAACTGTCCGGGCTCTGGTTATAACTGGCTGGAAGCTCGTCAGATGCAATCTCACATGTCATATGATGCAATGAAATTCAAATGTGGCGGCATTATTTGACAGGTGTAATTGCATCTGAGGAATTCCCAACTAGTCGGAACGTTAATTGGAGCCACATAGCTCCAAACAGTTATTCTGTGTTTGGCGCTTTTATATACAGGCTGTATATACCCAATCCAACCTGTATTGTAGTGGTTCGGTTCTTAGCCGAATAATTTCAAAATGTCCCCAACAGATGGCGTCACTACGATTCTTTTTAAGAGAGTTACATTTCTACGAAGCTATTTTCTATGCATTACACTAAAACCTGGATGTAACGGATTAATACGGGGAAGGCAGTGTCCGTTATATCTCAATAAAAATGTACAATAATCTAGCGCTGAATAACAAATAAAACTAGACTAATAGTAGCACTAGAACTAAGACTACACCTAGAACTAGAAACATTCCGTTTAGCTGTACCTCTCTTAACACTTTGCTTTAATTGCTCAATTTAGTTTATATGGGAGGTTCATACCGATCTTTCCATCTAAAGCAGTTTCAAGATGGTGGCCACTTCCGGTCAATATTCATTCAAGAAAGCTCTAACTTGGCACGATTATTCTTCAGATGATATCAAATAGATTGTCATTTGTTGTATCAGAGTATCTTATACAAAATACGGCTGCAAGACTGATAATATAGTTTCTTGTAGTTTTTCTCCTCCGCCCGAATAAATCTGAAAGTTGCAAATGTACCCAGACTCACTTTCACAAACCATTCTAAAAAAAAATAACGTATTTGGTAATCTTTGTCGGATTATAAGTTTTGAAGCTGATACGTTCTCTCCATGGTATCATTGGTTCATCAAGTGATAATTACTGTTGCAGTACATACATACATTAAATTTTTGGAATAAGGTAATCCAGTAGAGGTCTAATTTTACAAAGTCTGTCTCTACTAGGTACATTTTGTATATTGTCACTGAGATGGCAAATGTAAGGATTTGATCGAACCTCATCCTGCTCAACCTCATAGTTTTAGGAAATATTGGTGCTTCAACCAAAGGGTCCATTCACCAGTAATCCCTCCAACAAGCTTTTTTAGTTTGTCCCATCAATATCAATAACCCAAGAAACTTCTTCATATCACTTGTTGTAACTTCTGTCCATGGTAAAGTTTTAGCAGAATTCTTATACAATTTTTTCATTTTGTAGTGGTATAAATTGGTTTGAGAAAAAACTAATTGAAAAAAGCCGAGTGTTAAGACTGCTGGTAGGTGGTAGCGCTAGTTAGCATAAAATATCACTATGTTGCATATTTTTATTGAACTAAAACTAGAACTAACACTAGACCTAGAACTACAAAACATCATTAATTGTCATGTAGCGCTATACCAAGAACTAGAATCATTCGGGTTTAACCGTCTTAAGAGACGTGCGGCTAAACCCAAATGATTCTAGTTCTAGGGCTAATGTTAGTTCTAGTGATAGGCAAGTGTAAAACTAACACTATACCTAGAACTAGAATCATTCTGGTTTAGTCGTCTTAAGAGACGTGCGACTAAACCCAAATGATTCTAGTTCTATGTAGGTATAGTGTTAGTTCTACATAGTAACAGTGCTAGTGTAAAACTAGAACTAACCTAGAACTAGATACATTCCGTTTAGCCGTACCTTTCTTAAGATGGCTGGTAGGTAGCGCTAGTTAGCATAAAATATCACTATGTTGCACATTTCTATTGAATTAAAACTAGAACTAACACTATACCTAGAACTAGAAAGTTTAGGGTTTAGCCATACCCAAAACCCAATGTTTCTAGGCGGCCGGCAACATCTCGAATTTACCTAGTGTAATTTTTAAAACTGACCAATTTGGCGCTTCAATTTGAAAACACTCCTCCGAATTAAAAAATAGAGTATTATCAAATAATAATAAAAATATGTAGTACTAGCAAGTCACGGTGAAAGAGAAATGGAAGATGACGTAAAAGCCCTTTTAAATAAAAGCATCACAACGCTAGAATCAACAACAACAACTCAAGGCGAATACGAAATTGTAACGAACGTTTCGGAATTACCCGACAGAAAAGATTTTCCAAGGTCACGTCCATTAACTAAAGAACAATGGATCGCTTTGCAAGATTGTCACGGTCGAATCGAAGATGTTGAAACTACGAAATTAACGATTTTCCGAGGTGGAGTTACTCCTGAGTTAAGAACGAAAGTTTGGAAGTATTTGTTGAATTATTTTGATTGGGATTCAACACAACAAGATCGCGAAAATGTTTATAAAATCAAAGAAGCGGAATATTTTAAAATGAAAAAGCAATGGATGAGTATGTCCAAATTTCAAGAGGATAATTTTTCTGATTATCGAGATAGAAAAAGTATCATTGAGAAAGATGTTAATAGAACTGATAGACACATGGATTTTTATGGCGGAGATGATAATGTTCATTTACAACAATTACACGATATTTTAATGACTTATGTTATGTACAACTTTGATTTAGGTTATGTACAAGGAATGAGCGATTTACTTTCGCCAATTTTATATTTAATGCAATCGGAAATTGATGCATTTTGGTGTTTTGCTGGTTTTATGGAAAAAGTGGTAAGTAACGGATTAGGGAAAAATCTAAAACTCAAAATTAATTAATTATAGAATAATAATTTTGATGTTGACCAAGCTGGTATGAAAGCACAACTCCAACACCTTCACACATTATTACAATTTATAGATCCAGAATTATTAAATTATTTGGATACTCACGAATCGGGAAATATGTTCTTCTGTTTCCGGTGGTTACTCGTTTGGTTTAAACGTGAATTGGAAATGGAGGATGTAATGAGATTGTGGGAAGTTTTATGGACGGGACTTCCTTGCAAAAATTTCCATTTATTAATATCAGTTGCGATCCTTTTAAACGAAAAATCCGCTATAATCGAAAACGATTATGGGTTCACTGAAATTTTAAAAGTAATTAATAATAAAATAATTAAAACTCTTTTTAACTCTTTTTTTGTTACAGCACGTTAATGAATTATCATTAAAATTAGATGTAAACAAAATAATAAATGAAGCAGAGGGCATTTATTACCAAATAAAAGAAGCTACCCACGCAACAGATGCAATAAAAGATATTATAGGGCTCCCAAGGCCTGAAAACAATCAAGTTGACAGTCCAAATACGAATTCGTTCACTTATTTAGATGATAGCGATCGGACGGAAACCGTTTATGAAAAATCAATTACAAATAATTTTTATTAATTAAAAAAGAAAAAATTTGTGATATAAGTAACACAAAATATTAATTTTAAGATTTTAAATTCACTCAGTAATTTTTAAGTAATGTTTTAAGTTGTAAAAAACGAAATTTAAGAATATGTTGATGTATTGATTAAGAAAAAATATGTTAACTGTTATTTTTAGTGCAGCTAAGTGTAAAAAATTGTTTTTTAAATAGACAGGTTGCCTTATTGAAGCCTAAACGAAACATTACTCAAAAAAGAACGTTATTAACAATAAACATTTTTTTAAGGTTATGTAGTTTAACCCTTTATACAGCACTTTGAAAAAATAAAGATTAATATAATTCATTTGTGTACATTTTGTGATTTCTTCTTTTTCCTTTAGATTTACAAGCCATGGATTGCTGGGGTTTGGTCTCCTCCACACTTCTACGTCATTCCTGTATACTCCTAGCCACTCTCCACCAGTCTCTCAATGCCTGAAGCGAACCGCGTGTTCGATTAAAATTTTGTGTTTGATTTTCAAATTTTTGTTCTATTATTTTGGAAAAGGTTCTCCGTATGATTCTCCCCTACTATAGTGCGGAACGTTTCCCCGATCCAAGTTGTCCTGCCAATGCAAACGATTGTTTAGGTTAAGAGCGCTCGGAACGAAAGGGTTTAAAATCTCAGACGGGAAGAAGAACGACAGTCTTGTTACAGTTAGTTAGAGTCTTGGAGTCCGAGACGGAGTTCGGAGTTCCAGTGATGAGAAAAACTTCCAGATCGAGAAGTTGAGTTGAGAGTCGAGTAGAGTTGAGTCAGTTTAGTCCTGGAATTATTTTGAAGTCAGTCTTGGAGACCGAGATGGAGTTTAGCGCGTTCGGAGCTGGAGAGTTGAGTTTTAAAGAGATTGGAAGCAGTCAGTCCTGGATCAATTGAGAGAGTCAGTCCAGTTGATGGTAGAAACAAAGAAGATTTCCAGTCCCAGAAGAGAGTGAAATTGATCTTGGGTTGGAGTTCGAGATCCAGAGTGATGTTCAGTGGAATGGTACAGCTAAGAGGAATCGAGACTACGAAAGAAGGAGAAGATCGGAGAAGACCGTTGCAAGCAAGGTACATGAATATAAGGTATGCTCGCACGGTGAACGAATTGGCTATCGCGTGTCATAGCCATTGTAAACAAACCTACACTTACAAGAGTAGACAATAATTGTTGCTAAGCTATGACGCGCGAGAGCCAATTCTTTCACCGTTCGAGCATACCTCATATTCATCTACCTTGACTGCAACAATGAGATTTGTAACCCTTTGTGAGTAATTTCATGTAAAAATTATACTAATCGCTTCCGTTCTATTGGTTTGGTATATCTTGTTTTATTGTGTTTTGTAATTTGTTTTGATGGTATTGCTAATTAATCCTATTGCTAATCATCCTTCACGTCATCCAACCATTTTTGGTCTTCCTCTAGGTTCTTTCTCTGTTGGTTTCCATTCTGTAAGGATTTTTGCACTTCTATCGTCTTCCATTCTTCTTATGTGTCCCAGCCATGTAATTCGCTGAGATTTAACAAATCTGCTTATGTTCGCATGTTTCAGCATAGAAACGACGCATTTCAATTGGCACGGCCGTACATAAACACCATATCGCCCATTTGAATACAAAACCATTGCAATCGATTTCATTTCATGTTTCGCCAAGTCAAATTACTGGAGTTTGGTTATTTCGTAATTTGAACGAAACGTCAAATTAATTGTAATGGCAAAATTTTGTTAACTAATAACCGTACACTCGGCATAACGTTTTGTAATGGAATAAGTTATACCAACTGGAAACAATGGAAACATCATATTACTCTCAAAAAGAGACAGTTTCATACTGAATCGATTTGCCAAGTATCAAATCTGTAGTAGTTATAGTTTAAAAGAAAAAACGTAGAGTCCCAAAAAATTTGAACATGCTGTATCTCGAAAACACTTTTCGACTGTAGTACCCTGTGTCCGCGTATGCGACAATTTGTCTCTTCTTCCTTTAGAGTGTAGATCCATGTTGCAAGTGAATTATTTAAAAATAAAACGAAAAATCTTCTTAACTTGCTACATTTAATAAATTTGAACTCAAACTAGTTTCGGGGCTAGCCCCATCCTCAGTGACAACTGAATTTAAAAGGAGAAAATACAATGTTAAAATCATTCGAGAACATATTAAATTAATTTTGGACAATATTGAAGTTAAACTTATAAAAATGTAAATGACGAACAGGAGCAAAAACAAAAAAACGAAAAACTTCTAAAGACTTTAAAAAAACACATTCCTCTTCCTTTGGCTCTACAATCCTTGCTGGGTTTTGGCCTCCTCCACAATTCAACGCCATTCCCGTCTACTCCTAGCCACTCTCCACCAGTCTCTCACTCCCATTGCTCTCAAGTCATCCTTCACGTCGTCCAACCATCTTTTACGAGGTCTTCGTTTACGCCTTTTCTTTGTTGGTTTCCATTCTGTAAGGATTTTTGTACTTCTATCGTCTTCCATTCTTCTTATGTGTCCCAGCCACAAATCTGGGTATGTCCGCATCACCAACCAGGGCATTGAGTTCAAAATTCATTCAAATTATCCATGTTCCATCTTGTACTGGATCAAATATCCTTTTGAGTATTCTTCTTTCGAACTTTTTTAGATCTTCTTCGTCTTTTTTAGTAGAGTCCACGTTTAGCATCCATCTGTTACCACTGGTCTTATTAAACTCTTATATATTCTCATTTTAGAGCTGTGACTTAGTATATTTGAACACATCAGTTTCTTGTTTGCGAAATAAGCTTTATTCCCCTTTCCAATTCTTGTCTTTATTTCATTACTTACAGAATTATTCTCGTTAACTAGTGATCCCAAGTATGTAAACTCCGTCGTCTTAAATCTACTATCCCCAATTCCAAATTCCTCCGTGACTTCCGTTGCCCTCCTTGACATCTCTATATATTTGGTTTTATTCTGGTTTATTAATAGTCCTCAATGTTGGACTTTAAATCAAAGAATGTCTCCTTTATTGCTACATCATTTTGCCCAATTATGACTACGTTATCCGCGTATACGACAATTTGTTTGCTTTTAGTTGTTAAGTTGCCCTTTGGGATAATTTTTGACATAGCCGCGTGCAGTGTCCAGTCGGACTTAGCTTCTGATTTCAAACATATCATATTTCCTGCTACCACCACCGCAACCTTGGTTTTCTTCAATGTTAGTTGTACAAGATTAACCAATTTCTGAGGGCTACCCAGCAGCAACAGGTTCTGAAAGAGCTTCCGCCTGTCGACCAAGTCGAAAGCCTGTTTGAAATCGATGAACAGGCAGTTCACATCAAAGTCGTAACCTTTCTCCAAAATCTGCCTGAACCCCAGATTACTGGACTGTTTTTGTGAACATTAATACTAAACTATCGTAAATTTTACGACTTCAAATATAAGAAAAAGTAAAAATATTAATCCATTTCTTTGGTGCTTTAGCACAACAATAATGAGATAGTATTAAGAACATTTTTATTATGTATTACACATTGTACAAATATCGCCTCTGTGCTCATACTACAACTAGCATGTTTGCACTGTTGGCAGTATGTGGTGGTCATACGCCTTTTCCTTCTTGGGCAGTAGAAACAAATTTTTCGTTTCTTGTCTTCAGGTTCAGATTTTTCATGGTTGCCAGAATAATTTAAGACTATTCATATTTTGGCAAATATTGCAACAAAAAGTGGTACTTTTCCATCTATCTCTTTTGCAGCGTTCAGCCAGATAGCGGCTCAAATCGATCATATATTGATATGATATTAATTTGTTTCATCATCATGTTATCTGGCTCCCAGTCACTGTCTTCAAAACGTTTGGGATCACACAGAGTAAATTAAATTTTACAAAATAGAATGAGCATTGTAAAATTTATGAGTGTCTAGTAATCTAGGGTTAAAGTGTGTATACAGTCTATTGTAGATCGGCTGCACAAATTCAAATTTGTCTCATCAAGTCAAAATTATTTCCATTTTAATGCAACAATTCGAATTGTCTTATCAATTTAACATTACACACTCTAAGTAATATAGGGTGAAGAAATAATATTAGGTTAAAATCTAGATTGATTTTTTTGTTGTATATTAAAGTATATACATTCAGGAAATTTATAAATTTTATATTTAAGAATTTATTTTAAATTAAACTATTTTTCTTTTTACAATTAAAAAAAGCATTCATATCAGACTAGAAAAGAAACATAACCTACAAATAAATTAAAATTACAGCTCATACCCTCTTAATTTTGGTCCCTTTTTAATTTTTTTCTTTTCCTTCTTTTTAATAACATTTTCTTCTTCGAGATTTTTATTCTTTACAGCATAAGGATTAAAATAATTAGGGTCTTTATCGATATGGCCTAATTCTTGACTAGCCAAGTGTAATAACTTAATTGTGCTTGAATCTAATAAATATCTAACTTGGTTGCAAAATGCAATGCTCCACTGTAATAAAACATCCCAATTATTGTTGGTTTTCAAGACGGAACTTCCAATTTGGGGTATCCTTAATATAATTTCACTGAATAAAGCGGTGTTTTCTAATATATTCGATAAAGAATCGCGGACCTTTTCCTCAGTGGGAAATTCGGAAACTCCAGGGATGTAAGACGAAGACTCGATGAAAGCACGACTTTCTTGAATAACAGTAAATATCTTTTCGGTCATTAAAAGCGTCATTGAGTACTGTTTTTCATAGGGGAAGGTTTGGAGGGTTTTTACCCCCGCTAATTGTTCTGCGCGCTTTCTTTTAAAAAGTTGTATATCTTAGGTTTAGTTAAGAATTCATAATGAATGAAAATAATTTTTGATAGATCAAGAAAGGATACATAACTTCTCCGCGACTTCCGGGTTTTCTTTCAAACCATTTCCAGTACATAGTAAGGGTGTTAAATCAAAGAGAAGAAAAAATAAAAATAAAATTTCCATTATAACCTCCAATTATTACAACAAATTAAAATTAATCATAATCAAAACAAAAATAGTTACTAAATTTCCTAATAGATGTCTCTAGTGTAAAAATCAAATCAACTTAAATAATTTATAAACTGTGTTATTTATTAATAAATATAACGTATTAACAACCAAAATAAACATTATTTTCTTATTTATCGAATAAATTAATGAAATAAAATTAATAAATTTATTTTGACGCTTCTAACCTCACTTTACATTGATTTGTCAATTTCGCAAACATGGCGACCGGTCCGAAAATTGTGTTAGATCCTGTAGAGCTTTTAACACCTGATCTTACTCGCCCAGAGCCCTACATCAATAAATTTTGGGCCCCCGTCATCTGTGGTGGTCTGGCGTTTTTGGGTGTATGCTTTGGAAATTATGCAACCCCAAGACCCGTATTTAGCGGTAAACATAACCTAGAACCTTTTAAAATTATGTAACTGAATCAATTCCGAGTAGGTTTGCAGAGACATTTAGCCGCTACAGGTATTGGAGGGTACATTGGTCACGTTATAGACGGTTATAGAAACTCACATTATGCAGAACGTGACGCCGTATTGAGACATTATATTCAGTTGCATCCTGATGATTTTCCCATACCAGGTAAATAATCAGAAAAATAAATAATACTTTAATAAATTGAGGTGTTTTTTAGAGAGGAAGAAGTTTTCTGAGGTTTTTGAACCTTGGGTTCCTATCCGATAAAGAAAAAAATTAAGGGGAAATATTGAAGTAGTAATCTTTCATTGTATATAAGAACCTTTAAATAAATTAATTTTAAAAAATAATTAACCTATGTATTTGTAATATAAAGATTATTTGCTCAAAAATTTGATCAATAATATATTTTATTGATAATGTAAATATAATTCCAAATAAAACAAAGTTTCATCAATTTCAATTTCTAAAGCATTTAATTTTTTTAATGATATTTCAATTTTGGCTAAAACCTCACGTTCAGGTGGTGTTAACATTTCTTCAATCTACAATTTAATTAATCCAATTTAATAATCAATCTTAAAAAATAAAGTAAAACCTTACATCTTGAAGTTGTTCCTCAGCAGCACCTTGAGCTTTCATGCTCAACAAAATCGTATCAATCCTCTGTTTTTTATCAATAATCCGTTTATTCAAAAATTTAAAATGCGTCCTTCTTGTCATAACATTAAACAATGTCTTATAACACATCTCAATAATTGTTCTAACCAAACAATTAAATTGAATATGAAATAAGACGAATGACTTGTTTGGGCCTGTATTGCTAGCACTTGCGACTTTTTTAAGTTCTTGTATTTGAAAAAAATTTTCCTCAACAAGTTGATACGAAAGTCTTTTAGCTTCTTTTGCGGGGATCATGGCTAATTTTTGAATTTGTTCTGGTTCGATGTACGATTTGTTTTTAACCAAGCGAAAAATTCTTGCTGCTTTTGAATCAAATTTTTCCAAAACAATTTGTTCGCAAATTTCCCAAGCAAAAACTGTAAAAATTCCTTTCATGCATAATTGATACGACCCACCGCTTGCTTCACCTACTTTTTGCATAAATTTTGAAGTGTCTTGATCTAACACTGTTATGTAATGGTCAAATGAAGCTAATAATAAAGGAAAAGAATTCATTTTCTTCACTATATCTTTAACTTCTAATGTTGGAACAGGGTTTGATGTTTCTGCCCAAGGTTCTGTTCGGACATACATTTGTTGGATAAATAATCTTATTAATTCACCCGCATTTGAGTCAAATTTATTTTCAAACGCTTGGACTATTAGTTCATCTCGCATATCTTGGTGGAAACGATCAAAATTAACTGTGTAAACTTTAGTGGTAAGTTTTTTCTCATCAACTTTTATATCTTCACCTATTTTATAATTAATTAAATAATTTGCGATTTCTAAAGATTTAATTTTTTCTTCTAAAACATTTTTATGTATTCCATTTCCTATCGTGGATAACCTCAACAAAACTGCATCAATCAAATCGGTATGTTTTACATATCCTTTTTGTAAAATTTCTTCCATCACCATTCCAGCTTCAACACCAAACTTCTTTTTCAATGTTTTTACATACTTTGGATATCGAAGCATCAAAAGAACTTTATTACTTAATAAAGTATACATTATTGTGTTATGTTTCGATTTCGTTGATACAAGATTATATTTTAGAAGTACAGCAAGAGAATCTTTAATCTGCAAAGAGTTCTAAATAAAATTTTATGTAAATTAGACGAAATCTTACTTTTGAAACGGGGATTTCGGTGAATTTTTTAAGATGGAATAATGTACTCGGACCGTATCTAAATAGATAGTTTGCAACCGATTCCACGACATCTCCAAATCTTTCTTGTAAAATTAAACTTATTATTTTACCGTACTGATCTGACATGATTTTTTATAGGTTAGTTTTTGTAGGTTATGTTTGTTGGTTTGACGTGAAGTTTTAGAGGTTATGTTTGATTATCAATTGGGTTTATTATTGGATTTATTTTGATTCTTATTTATTCAAATTCATGATATTTATTAAATCTATAATTAATTTAAAATCTTTTAATTCTTGCGTCAAACCATATCGTTGCTGTAATAAGTAATATTTGCTGCGCGCCATCTATTATCAAATTTTAAAATCACTTTCTCACTATAACGAATTCAATTTTTATCAAAAATATAAGCTTTCTTATAAAACATTTAATACATAACTTATTTATTTTGATAAATATTTTGTAATAAATTCATAATGAATACTTAGAATGATTTTTGTTGTATTAATTTGACAACTGCTTTTTAGGTTACTTTATGTCATGTTTGATAAGTTGACATTTCTAATTTTTAGGTTATGTCAATTTTAAAATTTCACATCTTTCACATATAAATCCGTTTTTCTTATTATTGACGATATAAAATAACTTGTCTTTAATAAAAATAAATTATTATTGATTTTTTTAACGTAATTTGACTCATATCTGGTATTTCCAAACAAAGCATCACCTTGTGATTCAATTGGAAGGTGAAAGAACAAAGAAAGCGATTTCGATCCATTTCAAACCGAAAAAACAACCTGTACAAGTCACTAAATATGGAAACTCGTTTATAGCTTTGTTAGTAAACAAAAAATCAGCTGATAGAAGTGTCACTCGTCTCACCATCCACACAGAAAGTGAAATTCTCGTACAAGAAACCCCACCAAATTAAAATCCGGTAAGTTTAAAACAAATCTTAAACTCCCCCTTTATCAATTTACTTTCAAATTATGATCTAAACCATAATCGACATCGCTTACGTTTCCGTTCTTTGTGTTATTTCGTTCTTCCTGGTTTTTGCGTCATCGTTGTTGTTGAGCAATTTGCTCTTTTTAATAATAGTAACTGTTAACGCTCCGACCTATTTAAACGTATATCTATTTTGATCAGCGTCCTACTTCTTTCAGCCGTGGAAACGCCACATCAAAAAAATCGGAAAAGAAATTAATTAATCTCGTTTTATAAAAATGAATCCAGAAAATAATAGCGGAACTCCACGTAGTGAACCCACCGACGTTAAAGGTGCCGTAGCCAGGGTTAGAACAGAAAGTGAATGTTCCAGTACAAGTGAAGATGGTTCTAATCACACACCAGGAAAACGGTAAGAAAAAATTTATTCTTAAAAACTTAAAATAAAATTTTTCGGTTTAGTCAAAGAACAACATCTCAAACATTTATGGTAGCTGGAAGTATGACGGCGGCGTCACCCCCAAAATTTGTATCTTTAGAAGAAATAATTCGAGCTGCTAATGGCATAAAGGATATGGCCTTGGTTCATCAAATTGTTGTTGATAAAGACTTTAAATTACAACGCTATGAACCTGAACCAAATACTATACATCGCATGGTTAAAGAGAACATGCAAAAAGCATTTTGGGAAATTTTACGCCAAGAATTAGCCGAAGATCCCCCAAATTATAACCAAGCCTTTGTCCTTTTGGAAGATATTAAAAACGGATTATTTTCACTTTTATTACCTCAACATACTAAAATTAAACAACAAATTGCAGACGTTTTAGATACAGATTTGATTAAACAACAAGCCGAGAAAGGAATCTTGGATTTTGGGGTAAAATTTAAAATTCATTCTTGATTAATTCACTTTTTTAACTTTACTTAATAGCATTACGCACAATATGTTTTGGGAGTTATGTCGAAACTGTGTGCTCCAGTTCGAGATGATCAAATTAAGAGTTTAAACGACAAAAGCGATGTTATTGACGTATTTAAAGGAATTTTAGAGGTAAATCATTTTTTTAAATATCTTCCTTTATATGAATTGATATGTTATAGACCTTGGATTTGATGGCATTGGATATGGCAAATTTTACTATCGAAATGGTCAAATCAGAAATAATAGCACACAGCGTCGAATTGGAACGTAAAAAATTTGCCGATTATTTAAGCATCCAAACGGATGGTTTACAGCATACTCGAAAATGGTTACTTTCGCATTTGAACCCTAACGCGATTATAATTCCGGAAAATATTGATCGGGTTTCTTTCATTAAAACGACTACAAACAAAACGTTTACTCAAGCTTGTATTGATTTGTTGGAGTGGGACGATAATTCAACATTTCCTGAAGTAAATTTTATATTACAATGAAACCTTGATATAACAGACAAAATATTTTTATGTCATACTATTAATATTATCTATTTAATACATTGGCATATTTAAATATAAATTTTAGCGCCCGTAGATGGAATTCAACTTGGGTTATTCCTCAAGTTGCTCTATTCCAGGGGTGGGTAGATGTGAGATCAACAGGAGTCTTATATAGGTTTAATATTTTTTTTGCAAGCCATATCATATTAAAACATAATAGAAAAACAGCTTACAAAAAACAAAATGTGTAATAATTATAAACTCAGTCGATTTTCCTTTAATAATTTTTTAAATCCAGCGTATAATTTGTCAAGGCGGTACACAAGAACTCTGTGAGATATTGATTAGTTAATGGGGCGCGATATTTTGTCTTAACTAACTTCATATGAGAATATGTTGTACTAGTACAAGCTGCTTTCTTTAAATTAGTATGTTTTGTTTCTGGTACTAGTTTACAAAAGTCGGTCAGGGAAAGAGATTTGTTCTAGTACTTCTATCTTGTATCTTCTTTTCTAGTACTTTTACTTCTCCTAATGCTGTGTTGGGTAATATTATATCAGAAATTGAAAAACCATCTTGAATTATATCAATTGCAAATGGTTCGACAAAAAATGAAATTGTTGATTTAAAATTTCTTCAAATCTGGTTTTAAAATTCGTTTTCAACTCTTCAATATTTTCTTGATCATTAATTTTATCTTCCGGAATATTAAAAAACCTTGCTTTTAAATAAGGAAAATGTTTTTGACTTCAGATCATTTTGAAAAGCTAAAGTTTTGATTGAAATTTAAATGCAGTTTAACACAAATCACTTATAGCCTTTTCTTTTCCTTGGAAAGCCAAATTGAGAGTTTGTAAGTGCTACATGGTGTTAGTCAGAAACATTGAATCTTGATGCTAGTTTTCGTCTTCTAGTTCTAGACATTACCTTCCTTGTTCTTTTAAAAATATGCAAATGGGAGTGAGTGATTCATTGAATCTGCTCAAAACGTTATAAACTGATAACCATCTTACAATGCAGTAAAATTGCATTTACACGAATAAAGTTTATTATTTTAAAAAGAACATTCCACACGTTTCAAAATTTTAAATATGTATACAATGAACTGGTACAAATTTAAAAATTTTTGGATCACTTTTCAAAAGACCAATAAGTCCTTGGTTTTTTCCTAACAAAGCAGGAGCTCCATCAGTCGCAACTCTTACAAGTTTATCAACAGTTTAGCCGCGAGTTGTTTCTCAAATTGTAAGAGTTACAAAATCTAGCATACTTCTTTTATCTGTACTTCTTCAGAAACGTAGCGAGCAAAAATCGGTAATTGTGGAATATCTTGAATGTCTGTTGATTCAGTTATTTAAATCATATTTCAAATTATTTTCATATTTCATTATTTATTACAGAAATACGACCCTCTGTAGTAAAGCGTGATGTTGGAATTTGGGTAAAAGTTTCTGCAATTTTTCATTACTTGATTCCAGAATGTTAATTATGTTATTTTAATAACTTAGTAGAGTTTTTTTAATAAGTTCTTTTTCAACATACGGGCATTTTTCATGGGCATTATTCCAAGATATAATAAAACTAGCTTCAATTTTTCTGTTATCTTCGTTACTACATGAAGCTAAGAGGCCTTGTTGTTTCTGGAGACAATATTATCCGTTGTTATGTTTTTTTTAATTTTATTTTATTAAAAAGGCGGTAATTATAACATTAACACGTATAATAGGCCGGATATTAAAAACCTATTACTTAATACTCCACCATACATAGGAATTAATATCTCTTTTAGGTGTTGGACACTGCAGATAATAATCAAGTTCAACCCCAATAGGTCTTTTTTCACTGAATACAACTTTATTTATATCAGGTTTGTTTTTAGCAACCTCACTGTAACAATCCCAATACGATATATAAAATCTCTTGTTGCAGTTTCATCTGGTTTCCTTCTCTTCGCTTGTAATTCATCATCACATTCATTACTAACAGAACTCTGTCGTTGTTATCACTTTCGATTATTATTTAAAGTCTCCTCTTCTTAATGCAACAAGCCGTTTTGAAAAATCTGTTTCAGTTTTTGAGAAATAAATTTTTGAAATGATGTTGATCATTTCAATTTTTCATTCAATTTTTTAGAATTTTTCAATTTTCGCCGATAAAGTTTTAAAAATTCATATAAAATCCAGTTTTTGGAATATGAGTATGAAAATTTCCCAAAGTGTTAATAAAAGTGTTCTCTTTCCAATGAACTAACCCGTTTTGAAAAATAACTTTTAGTTTTTGAGAAAACAATATTTGAAGTTTTGATCAAATTTTTGATGTTGCAATTTTCATCGATAACTTTCAAAATTCGCTATAAAATTAATTTCTTCAAGGATCCTTGTGGAAATATCACCAGTTATTAATTAAAGTATCCTCTTTTTAATGCAAAAAGCCGTTTTGAAAAATCACTTTTAGTTTTTGAGAAATAAATTTTTCAAATGATCGTAAATTTTTTCGAATTTTGCAATTTTCGCCGACGAATTTTTAAAACTTAAAAATGTTGGGGGAATCACACGTTTTACATGACGGTAGTCGTAGCCATGGATGAATATCGCAAAAACTTAGCTAAATATCGTAAAATAGTAATTCTTGTATTAAATTTTATATTATATACCGTCCCTTGGAGCCGCATTTAAACAAATAAAGAGCCGTATTTGCTCAGCGTTGTTCTATTCCATGTTCATAGATAAACTCGGGGTATTCCCCGAGATGTCTATAGATATGTATAAATCACACATTACTTTTAATTGTTATTGAGCATTAGATTGTTGTATATTTTTATTGAACTAAAAGTAGAAGTAACACTAGTTACTACCTTCCCCACATTAGTCTGTTATATCGGAGTTAATAATAATTATTTTTTCATAAAAACTAATTTTTAATACTTTTAGACTTTTATGTTAGATCAAGCGAGATTATCAGATCTACAATCTCGCACCAAAAAACTAATCTTAACTGGAACTGTTTTATTAATCACTGTAAGCAACGTTGGCCCAAATTTGCAAAGTTTAGCAAGTTTTAAGCAAGCTGTTAAAGAACATACGATAGTGTTACTTCAATCTCAAAAGACTGAGAAGTATGTTTTTAATTTTTTTAATTAATTTTTGTTTTATTTATTTATTGTTTTTTTTTGTAGGGAGATGATGGATACTTTACAAAATGTAGCTGAACAAGTAATAAGTGATATAAAAGAAGCACAAAAAAATCACGACTTTTTGGAAATTGGTGATAATGCAGCCCATGTTTTGAAAGACCAAATTGTTTTAATTTCGAAACCTGATAATCGGATTAAGCAATTGGTGAAGCAAAGGGTGAAAGAATTTTTCTTGCAGATTATTGAGTCATCGACGGCTGATCCACAAAAAGTTCCATCTGGTTTGACGGCATTACAAACAGAACTTACGGCGATAGCTGGTCAATTTTTAAGAATTGTTGCCCATAACAGTACAGTTTTTTGTACCTACTACTTTGACATTGTAGATGAAGCCCTTACGAAAAAAGATTAGTTAAAAATATAACAAGCTATCAACTGAAATTAATTTTCAAAGTACTTTCCTTATTATGGGTACTTCATTTTTCTTTTATTATTTTTTGATTTATAGTGAATTTGTGAATTATTAATTTAATTTAATTTTCTAACAAATTTAAACATGGTGTTTTTAGTGGCATTCTTAAATAATTCATCTCTTTATGTGATAATTAGATAATTCTTTTATTTTTATCTTTTTTGACCTAACTTTTTGTTAATCTCTTTTTTTTTATTAATTAATATATTAATGTAAGACTAAAAAAGAATTAATAAATCAGAATATAAAGGCTTTACATTAACAAAAACTTAATTGAAGTCTATTTCCAGAATTAATGTTTATTATAAAATATTAACAAAATGAGTATATACAAAAAAGGTATTATTGCTTTTTTTTTCATGATACTTGTAAAAACAACTTGCTAATGTAATAATAAATATAAACTATTCCAGTTAAATATTTTGTTTTTATCAATCAATTAACACTTTTTAGAACGGATTTGATAGCCATACTTTCATATGGCTCATAATCCCAATAGATTGAGAAAATTAAAGCACAGAAGCGCAGAATTTAGTTTACTATTCTATATAGATTATGTTAAGAGGCCCAGAAGCTCGACATGGAAGTGTCAACCTCCAAAACAAAAAGCATGGTAATTGCTGGGAAACTACGACGATTTAAGCTAGAAATGAACAACGGAAAAATCGAACAAATATCCAAACTTAACTATTTAGGCATAGTAATCTAAGGTGTGAGACATCAAATGAGTAAAGCACCCAGGATAGCGAATGCCCTAAGAAACATCGTTTGGAAAAATAATTGCATGACAACTGCCAGTAAAGTCAGGATATATAAGGCATGTGTTAGACCTATGATGACGAAATACATGGCGGAAACTGGAGCTGACAAGGCTCCAACTTTGATGGCCTATAACTCCTCAGGTGTATAACTTAGTATAGAGGTAAGTTACTTTCAATCATCTTAATTTATTGTCTTCTACATGTCCCTGCTCTGTGTCGGTTCTTATGTGAATCATCCTGTATAGTAAAATTCTCAGCTATCACTACAAAATTTCAAAAAGCTTTGAGAAGCGATGTGGAATTGCTATCACACCATGAAAACCCAATTGTATCGAAGACAGCTGATATTTCTCGACAAAACGGCTTCACAATGATGAGAAAATCAAGAATATCATCAAGCATTAGCATGTTTTAAAGTACATACATGTCATTTTAGTGATTTTAGGCAACCTCCCTTACACATTCTTGTCAAGGCTAGAATGTGGTACAGAAATTATATTTTTCACAAAAACCATATTGATAGCAGAGCGTACTTGAAAAGGGGTATTTCTATAAACAACTTGATTGTCTATCGCAAAGCACAACGTATATCTTTTATTGGTAACAAAAACAAGTTACAACTTAACGGTCTTAACAGTCAACTACATTACCTACCTATTCAGACATGACATTCGAAAACATAAACGCCATTCAGTTATACAACCACTTTAACAATTGTGTTTAATATTTAAAACCAACACATATCTTGTGGATAATGAAAACTTTTTGCACGTATGCTTATGCTAAATCGTATTCTGGATCCTATAGGTATTAAATGAAACGTTTCCTCTTTCTTTTAAATGCATAACTTGCAGAGAAGCTCTCATTGTAGGATGGTGTTTTGTGTTAAACTTTGTATATTTTTTATCATTCACATTGCAGCTATTTTAAAATGCAAATACATTATTTGCAGAGAAATTAATCCTTCGAGCCTATATTTTGTATGAAGCCATAAATGTGTATTAACTAATAATTAAAAATTATGTTTAATATCATTAATCCTTAACTATATATTCTTTTAAATTTTTCCATTTGTTAAATTCATCAAGAATCCATAAATACATCATAATATCCATAATGTTTCTCTCCAAAATGTTTGTAGATTCCTTAAACAAATAAGACAAATTTTTTTTAAATAATCAAAGTATAAATTAATTCAAAAATCATGTGTCAAAATTCTTTGTAAAACTTCAATTTTTAATTTAAACTTAAAAACCATTTAAAACCACTAATAAATAAGTTCTTCTCAATTTTCTTATGACCTTATACGCCCCTTTACAATCACCTTTATGGTGTGTTCGTGACAGATTGTCAGAACACAACAAGTACATTAACCCTGAAAAAAAGGAGGATTGACCTTGAGCTTCTTAAAAGTCGAACTGGATAATTGCGGTCAAGACAAAGTATTTATTACTAGAAGTATCGAACAATGACTAAGTCATATGCAACATAAAAGTGTAGAAATATACATTTAGTAATTGTAGGAGTGAATTATTTTAGTTATTTACCATCACCCAAGGCTCATTGTGAAGTTTATCTAACGAGGTCAATGGTTTATTGATAAAGATTCTTATCAAGAAAAAATAAAATTATATACATTGCGAGCACACACCTTTTTAGTTTAGTTCAAGTTTGGACTCCAATTTGAAAAGATGAGGTTAGTTATTTTGGATACTGCTGCTGCTGTAGCCGAATGGGCTGCGAAATATGTTATGAAAAGGATTAACGACTTTAAACCAGGACCAAATAATTACTTTGTGTTGGGTTTACCAACAGGTTAGTTATTAAAATTAAATTGAATGTAATTTCCTTATAACGGTCATTTCTTTAATTTATTATAGGTAGCACTCCTTTTGGGATGTATCAAAAATTAATTGAATACTTCAAAAATGGACAAGTTTCTTTTAAGTATGTAAAAACCTTTAATATGGATGAATACGTAAACATTCCTAGAGAGCACCCGGAAAGCTATCATTATTACATGTGGAACAATTTTTTTAAACATATCGATATTGAACCACAAAACGCTCATATTTTGGATGGAAACGCCCCTGATTTAGTTGAAGAGTGCAATAAGTATGAAGAAGAAATTTCCAAAGCTGGAGGAATTGAATTATTTATAGGAGGTAAAGTATTAAAGGGTATTTTTTTTTAAATTAATTTTATATTTTATTAGGTATTGGTCCTGATGGCCACATCGCTTTTAACGAACCTGGATCATCATTGGTATCCCGTACAAGAGTAAAAACCTTAGCACAAGATACTTTAGAAGCGAATGCACGGTTTTTTGGAAACGATATCAGCAAAGTTCCTAAACAAGCTTTAACTGTAGGAGTTGGAACTGTAATGGATGCAAAAGAGGTATAAATTAATCTAATCAATTTAGAAAACATGATTAAACTATTAAGGGTAATCTTATTTATCTTTATTCGAGTTTATTTTAGATAATAAACTTATTAAGAAAACAATAAAATAATAAATTGTCTTTGTCGCAAAAATTGTACTTATAAACGTTTCTTAATTTTTATTAGGTTATGATATTAATAACAGGGACTCATAAAGCTTTTGCTTTATATAAAGCAATAGAAGAAGGTGTTAACCATATGTGGACTGTCTCAGCATTCCAACAACACCCTCATACTCTAATGTTATGTGATGAAGATGCAACTTTAGAACTTAGAGTAAAAACTGTGAAATATTTCAAGGTAAAATTCTTATAAAACATGAATAATCCCCCTATTTTATCTCCCCATCCTGTTTTTATGTCACTGATTATGTTAGGAAGTTGGTTTTGATCTGAATGATTGGTTAAAATATGGAATACCTCGTAAATAATATTTAGCAGGTGGTGGATAATGCTTTTCTCTGTAACCTTAACCAGGTTTGGTGGTGGTTTAGGGTTAGAGTGTTACGTGAATAACACCCTATTTTTTTTTCTTTATACACACAGGCTCTAAGTAACGTGCACCACAAGTTAATTGAAGAAGATCAACCTATCGAGCAGTTTTGGAGAATTCATTAAGATTTCTTAAAATCCCTTTTATGGTACAACCTTATTTATTATTATTCATCTAAAAGACTTCTTTTTGTTATCATATTAACACTTATTTAGTACTATATTGAGAAGTATTCTTATTTTAATATTTATTTTTATTTATTTTTCAGAGCTTATTTGCACTACATAATCAATTGGTGGAATAAAAAACTATCCTAAGTACATTAATCATTAAGATAAAGTGTATTAAAATTGTATTGCGTTTTATATTATGTTTTTACATATAATTATTAAAATAATTGTTTATTTATTTATTTTCAACCTCAAATTGAATTTGACAATTTCCTGTTGACATTGCCGATAAAACAGATCTCGATAAGGTTTGAGGTTATGTTCTTAATATTCCAAAAAATGTTATAATTTAAAATTTATCATTGAAAGCTAAAAAATGACACAATTATCAATTGGTAGAGTTAAAACGATCATGAAAATAGCTGATGGTGTTAATAAGTTGGTCAAGATGCAGCGATATTAACAACAAAAGCAACTGTAAGGAATCTATAAAAATATATCTTAAAAGGGTTGTTTATTACTTAACAACAATATCTATGAAGCAATAGAAGAAGGTGTTAACCATATAAGATCAACCCATTGAGCAATTTTGGAGAATTCATTAAGATTTTGTAAAATCTCCTTTATGGTACAACCTTATTTTTTATTATTCATCTAAAAGAATTCTTATTATCATATTACCACTTATTTATTATAATATTGAGAAGTATTCTTATTTTAATATCTACTTTTATTTATTTTTCAGAGCTTATTTACACTATATAATCAATTGGTATAATAAAAACGATCCTAAGTGTATTAATCATTAAGATAAAGTGTATAAATAATAAATTGTATTGCGTTTTATATTATGTTTCTACATATAATAATTGTTTATTTATTTATTTTTAACCTCAAATTGAATTTGATATTTTCCTGTTGACGTTGCCGATAAAATAGATCCCAATAAGGTTTGAGGTTATGTTATTGATATCATCCCAAACAATGTTGTTATAATTTAAAATTTATCTTTTAAAGCTAAAAAATGGCACAGTTATCAATCGGTAGAGTTAAAACAATTATGAAAACTGCTGATGGTGTTAATAATGTTGGTCAAGATGCAGCGGTATTAACAACAAAAGCAACTGTAAGGAATCTATAAAAATATAACCTAAAATATAATTTTAACTATTTTTAGGAGTTATTTATTAAATGTTTAGTAAAAGAGAGTATAAACGATATGGTTAAAACTCAAAAATCAAAAAAATTAAATTACAACAATTTAGTGAATGTGATCCATAAGTCGGTAAAGTATGAGTTTTTAGAAACGATTATTCCAAAAAAAATAACGTATAAAGAGTATAAACAATTAATGGCAAAGAAAAAACGGGAGAATGGGGATCTTACGGGCTCTGGTTCTGAGGATAGCGAATCTGATAGTTCTTAAGTCAATTAGTTTATATATAATTTTGTGAAATTATTGTTTTTATATGTAAAAAAATAAAGTTCTAAAGAATTTCTACTTAAATTGTTAATCTAAACGCCTCCAATTCCTTAGATTAAATATATATCATCAAAAAATGCATACTTTGAAAGATTTTATTATTAATTTAGTTAAGGAACATTTTTAACGCCTTTTTAAATCGTTCAATATTGGTATACAATAATTATATTTAATTAAATATTTATTATTAGCAGGCACACAATTCTTATATTTATAATTACTACACAAAAATTAAAAGTTTTTTTAAATATCCCTTAAAGTCTACACCTACATTAAAAAATACTGTTAAAGACTTTATAAAAATATATAAAATAAGTAATGTATAGCATTTTGATTGCAGCTTATTAACAAGAATAAGTTATCCTTAAACATTTTTATATCACATTGCAAGTTGTTTGTTTATTTAAATCATATTAAATCTATTAATTAAAGTTAATCAAAACATCATTTATGTTCTGGCGGCATTTTTTCGTATAATAAAATATCAGCATGATCATGCAGGTTATCCCTTTGAGAGGTGCTTCTTATGTATTGCGGACTCGTCGGCGATCTATCTATTAAATTTTGGTGCTCATTAAAATCTACGTTACTGCTCAACGATCTACCCAAGCTCAACATAAACCTGAAAATCAATAAAAAAAAGTTAATTTTAGTTTTAATAATCCTAATTTGCATACCAAATCGTCCATGAAATGCCTATTTTTTTAAAACGATTTATCACAAGAAAATGCAAGTAAAAATTTTAATCACTAACCTACTCCTCCTTTCTTGCAATCTTTTCCTTCTTAACCTTGTAAAAGCATCCTCTTCACTATCCTCATCCGTAGCAGAGCCTATACTGATGTTATCACATTGATCTTTTTCTTCATCACCTTCAGGAGCTGATTTTGAAAAAGGATCATGTGATATGTCATCATATCTAATCGAAAAAATCAATGTTAGAGAAATATTTCAAAAATTCTTATTTGAATTAAGTTACTTATTTAATTGTTGCGGAACGGAAATAGGTTGTGACCTTGCTGGAACGCCAAACACGTTAAATACCGTCGGTTTCAGATCGTTGGCCCCCTTCATTGAGGTTATAGTCGTTTGTTCATCCACTTCTTCAATAACTTGATCGGTAAGTTTCGTTGCCCCCGGTTTTAATAATACTTGATTCGCCGTTCCTGGACTTCCAGCGATCGTTTTTGGAGTTGTTGGAACCGAAGTACCAGGAGCTAATTCAATCGGAGATTCTCTTTGAGGCTCTGATTCCGTTCGGCTATTTTCGCGATTAAATATTTTCTTCAACATATTCGTTACCGAACTTACTCGAGATATTGAATCTAAAAATATTTATTTTTTAATTTAACTTTAATTCATAACTTGTTTGGGTGCAAAATTAATTAAATAAATGTGCAAAAAATCTATTCTACCTGGAACAGTTGTACCTATATTAGAAGATTGCGAAGTTCCCCTTCTTAAATGTGATGGTTTAGCAGTGAACATAATCCCACTGTTCATATCGCTGTAAATTTGATTATCGTCAACTTTAACCGACGTAGGTGGAAGAATATCATCGCGATAAACTGCAATATTTGCAGTTGATGGTAAAGGATGCGATTCACGAAACGGTTCAGCAGCTAACGTGTACGGAAGTTCAGCAGGGAACACTTGATCCCAATACTGATCTCTCACTAATTCAGGATGTGAGTGGTGCATTTCATCAACTATTAAATAACTAACCTAAAATACAAAAAAATGACTCAAATTCATAACAATTTCAATTTATTTATCACCTGCAAGTTTCTATCAATCATCCAATTAATTTCAAAATCATCGTCATCATCACCAAATGGATTAATAAGTGATTCTGCAACTTTTAACCATCCCATATAAAAGAAAAATTGTAATAAAGTAAAAATGGGTAAATACATATTAAAATAATTGTTATCACTCGTATCGATAAATTGGTGACCCATTAAAGTCGTTAAAAAATATGTATACACCGCCAAAGTCACCACTTGAGTGTAAACCAAAGGTACACTTATAGTATCAAAACTGAGCAATAATCCGCATTTTCCTCTTAATTTATTTAATTCATCTAGCATCGTTTTAACGGCGAAATCGTCGCGAATTCGGCCTTCTTTTCGAGCTCTCGTTATTATACTAGCTGCCCAAACGATGGGCATCCAATATTTCGAGTATTTTGGAAATTTTGCGTTTAAATCGGTTATAATTTCTCTTTCGCTGTCCTGCAGCAAACCCGCCTCGACTAAATGGTCCAATGAAGGGAAACGCTTTTTTACTCGCGGAGAAATACCAGTGAACATTATTGTTATGCAAAGACAGACGTAACGCATTATTGTACGTCGCATCATTCGACCACCTTCATCCTATAACAAAAAAAAATTATTAAACACAAAATTGTTTACACGATAATTTAAGCTTAAACAGAATGCGTTCTCGGAATTAAACGGTAAATAAACCTTGTTTTTAAGTTATGTAATATGTTTGTTTCGAGTAATTTAAAAAATTGGGCATTTAAGGATGGAAAAAAACAAGAAAAAAGGAGTAAATTATTTTAATGTATTTAAAATATTTAGGTAATTTTAAAGAAGTCGAATCGTTGTTTGATTGTAGCAGGTGATCGTAGGTTGTATCATAATAGACATGATAAAACTTCTTATATTAAATAATTAACGTTCTAAACATTAACTTTACCAGCTTTTTTACCAAAAATCCACAGAATCCAAAATATTCATATCAACAATACCAAAATTGCTCTCAAACCAAATTAGGGAGATATGCTGATGATGACAATAATTTAAATCTAATTCTTTAACAATGGAAAATTAAAGTAATAATTAAAAAATTTTTCCTTGGAATATAGATTAAAAGCTTATTCGTGGAAGTTTCCAAAAACATACATTTACTAGCCTTACTTAGGATCATGTGGCTCAACAAAATTTATATCTGCATCGACAAAAGTCTTGTGTTACAAGAAATCGGAAATTCTTCAACTGGTGGATGATGTATGTTGGAATTTCTTTCGACAGATTCAATTTGGACTAAGATACCGGATATGATAATAGTAGATCTAGAAGAGAAAAATGTAAAAATTATTAAAATATTTATAAAGACATCGAAGTATCAAGGCTATAAAGCGGAAAGAAAGAAATACTACTAACGTCGAAGTTGGCTTGAGTTTGTGCCATGCTTGAATCACAATAGATGGGATAGCTTTTTATGGATGGACTTATTTTAGAGTTCACTTACTTCACAGTTGAACTACTACTGTTGGGTTATCTTGCTTTGTTGTTGGATTGCCTTGCTTTAATGTCGGATTGCTAGCTACTTTGGCATTGCGATGGTATGCTTTGGTTTGACTTGATTTAGTTGGGTTGACTTGCTTTAGTTGGGTTGGTTTACGTTAGGGTTATGTTGGGATGATGTGAAGTTTGCTTGAATAGTTTTATGATTACCCAAGATAATCTAACTCGTGTCTCGTCTGACTTGCAATGAGATGAGTTGCTTTTACAGTTTCACTGTTTTTGGATTGAGTTAGACTTGCATGCATTATGCTTGGGTTGGATTCGATTTGGAGTGAGCTTAATTGCTTTGAATTTTGATCGGCCAACTTTGGGGTTCACCTGTAATACCCCAAACTTGGTATGATCATTACCATACCAACTCTGGAGTGAGGCAAGTACTTTTTCTATTTGGTATTGGATAAAACTGAGGTGACTTCAAGGTGAAGCAGAAGCAGCGGGACTAAAAGTCAATGTTCTAAAAAACGAAGCAGATAGCTAGTTCATTATTGGCAAAACCAACCATAAAAGTTTTGCCACATGGCCTTGATCATTCAACCTGGTGACATTGTTCAAAATTTCTACTAGAACAAGCTGGTTCGAGGTGAATATCCTAACGCTACTATTTGGGCGTACATTTCTATTTATATACTTTAAGGCCTCCAAAATTGCTATTGCTTCCACCGCAAAAACACTAGTGGATGGATTAAGTTTAAAATTGGCGTGGTAATCAAGTGGGTATCAAAAAAGCACAACCAACACCACCGCTTACAAGATAGTGTTAGGAACGAATATACAGAATTTGTGCACTTGTAACCCATCTGGCGAAATAACATCATTTCGAAAAGAACAAAACTTTACTTGTTTAAGAGCAACCTATATTAAGTCCTCCTATATAGGTGTGAAACATAGAAAGTCACCAAGAGGATGTCGAACTTATTACGGGTTCGACATCCTTTATTAATTATAAGACATTTATTAATCAATGCTTGCAACGCATTATAAACGTGAGGTTAAATGGAGATCCCAACCCAACCCGTTAATGACCAAATCAAGGAGAGAAAACGGCGATAGATTGGCCATACGCTAAGGAAGCCTCATGGAGCGGTTGAGATGTCAGTACTTTGGAATTGATTTGGGTTGCTTTATGACTAAATTAATTTGGGTCAGGTTGGCTTGGTTTAGAGTCGGATTGGATTGATTTGGAGTTGATATGGAATGCTTTGTGGCTGAGTTACTGGAGATTGGGTTAGCTTCGTTTGGAGTGGAGTTTTGCTTGGCTTATTTTGTAGTTGGTTTTCCCAAACAACCCAACTCGTGTTCAGTTTAACTTACAATGAGATGGGTTGGAGTATTTTACAGTTTCATCGCTTTAGAATTGAAGTACTTTGGGTTTCTTTGGAGATAGATTACTTTGAGGTTTACTTTCAAGATAAACTACTTTGCAGCTGAGTTGGTATGTGATTGGTTTGAATTGTGATTGGCTTGCTTTACATTAGGTTGGCTTACTGTATGGTTAAGTTATGTTGATTTGGTCATACATGCCGAAACAAGTGTCAAATATTTTGATATAGAAGAAACTAAAATTTCATTAAAATCGAAATCGCTTCTTAACTCCTTAAATTCTATCTCTCCAATTTATACATTATCTTATCAATAATTGATATAATTTACTTTCTATTAATTCAGATGAAATTCTTGGATATACAATATTATGGCTTTGTTCAGATTTTCGTATGACCTTACCACATTTAGATGGTATATACAGGGTGTTTAATAATATATGCGTAGGACTTCAGGATGTTCCAACGTTTACATAAATTTTGTTTAACTGTCGAAAAAAAAATTGACCATGTTATTCAACATAAAAGTTGATTTTTCTCGAAAACGGTCAACTTTAGAGCTCATGACCTACAGTACCTTTTTTGTGTAGTAAACATTGACGGTTCAAATGGACGTCTCAAAACCGTACTTTTTTAAGTGACGTAGAAGTTGGGGAGAAAAACAACTACTACCCAAAATTTCAAAATTTTTTATTAAATTTCAACACCCTGTATCTCAAAAATGGTTTTAATTTTAGAGGACATTTTAGAGGGTAAGTTGATAGAGACTTTTTTTTCAAATTGTTGGACAAGCTATCACATCCTGAAGTCCTACGCATAGGAAGTCATTTCGCAATATTCAAATTACAGCAATGTTTCATATGAAACAAGAAAACAAATTTTGTGTTTACATGAAGTTATATTATATTCTTTTCTGTCCATGACCGCGGTTGCATTCCTTTGCTGGTTATGTCTATTATACAGAATATTTTCCCCCAAAGTTTTATTTGAACCTATTTTCACCTCACCCGGTATAATAGTAAAATAATGATAACAAAATAAGTATTTGCAAAATGTTTGGGTTTTAGCTTTCTTTGTCGGAATCATGTAATTAAATTCTTAATAGATAAGCTTGACGATTTGCGTCATAACTCAAAGCAATCATCTATGAAGCGTAAAAAATGTTACAAACTAAAATAAAACATAACGCGCAGAGTTTTTAGTTTTTAACAGAAAAAAAAGTTCTGGGAAATGACTCATAGTAACAAATTAGTTGGTAAAACGAGAACAACTAAAACATTCAGTATATATTATCAAATAGTAAGACTAAAATAAAGTTTTCATCAAAATTTCTTATCTAATCTAATCAAAATTTATGGTTTTTTTCTTTATTTACTAATTGAATTAGGAAATAATATAAAAATTAAATCAGAATAAATACTAATAACAATTATTTCATTATTATCATATTTTGTGATTATTTCGTAATAATAATAATTGATTGCAATCAACTTGCTTAAGTATTTTATGTATTTTAAAATTATTAAAAATAAATCTTGTCTCTTTTGGCAGATTTTCCTTTTACTGTAAAATGAATTATTACACTCTAAATTTAAAATATAATGGACTATTTCATTACGAAAACTATTTTAAACATGCTACATCCAAGGTCATAAAAAATCTAAAGCTTTTAAATTACACTATGTTTATCAAAATTGCACTTAATTAATTTTATTTTGTTTCATATCTTTACATAACAATTTAAGGTCAATTTAAAAAATGAGTGCTTTTTAATTTACTTCTCATCAATGTTAAAAAAATTATTTTTCACAAAATCTAAAGAAGTTTGAAATGAAATTTAATGGGATTATTTTAAAGATTAAGATTGATGAACTTACCATACCGTGAATTGTTGAACTAACAAAAACAGCCAAAGGATCAGGAAATGGAATAGTTGTGTATTGATTCCACCATCTCGTCATAACTATTGATACATAAAATCCCAAAACGAACGAAATTGGTATCAGATCCATGTAACCTTTACAATATTTAACAATATTTTCAAAAGTACTAAAACAAAGAATACAATTTCTTAGAGATCATTTAATTTCTTAAATTAAACCTTATTAATACCTTTTAGCATTTTCATCGTATACCAATACACATCTATATAAAATACTGAAAAAGTAATACAGCACCAAGAATATTGTTAGTTCAAACCAAACTAACTTATAAATACTTCCTCTCCACCTAAAAAAAAGAATTTTTTATATTAAACCTATTTCTTTGAATTTGACTTGTTTATATAACCTCAAATTATTTTATTTGACATATTAATTACAAGAAAACAAATGAAATAAAACTGATAATTTCACGTTAATAATTACCTTGTTAATAATTTTAAAAAACATCCTAATCTACTCGTTGCTACCTCTGCTGTATACGTGACCGTCATCTTCACTAAATTGATCAAACTAAAACTTCTAATTCATTAATAATCACTCATACAGTCATGTTTTTTCTTGGAAATTAGCACGCAAAGTGGAAAACCATCAAAAGAATCAAAGTTAACATTGTCCCATTGGAGTTAACCCCCACCATCTTTGTCGGCATGTGACGGTTATCATCATCCATAGATAACAATTTACTTTATTTTTTTAACCCACAACAAATAAAAATAATCAATTCAAAATTATTAATTGTTTAATTCAATTCATAAATATTAACTTAAAACGCGTTAAGTATAATAAAATTAATCGTTTAATTCGTTTTATTTAATTAAATCTAATTTCGGCCGTCTTATTATTTCTCAAACCCAACCTATTTTATGGTTTTCTTTGGTGGTGGGGTTAAAATTAATCCAAATGCGGCTATATTCATTAATCAACTGTCACCTCATAACGTCAAAGCCTCAAAGCGTTTGTAACCGTTAGCGAGAACGGACCTGTTTCGTTACAAGAGAAGTTTTTTTTTTTATTAAAAAAAGACAATGCCCAGGTAGAAATAACGTCATAAAACGTCTTCACAATGACGATAATTGTATTTCTAATTGACACGTCGGCTTCGATGCTTCAAAGGTGCGCTAATATAACCATCGTTTAGCAAATTCCCCCCTAGTTTTTATAGGTTATCTCCACAATATAAACATTATCGGTATTTTTTTAGGACATACGTTGGCGGTCGTACTACGCTACTGGACGTTGCTAAATCAGCGGTTGAAACGTTTGTTAAAATGAGACAGAGAAGTCCCGAAAGTAGGATTGATCGTTATATGTTACTTACTTTTGAGGATCCACCTAATAATATTAAAGCTGGTAATATATTTAAATGTTTTTAATGATGGTTGTGGTGATAATTGATAACTGAGCAAAGTTGTTAAGTTATAAAATAAATGTTCAAGGTTTATTGGTGAATTTAATGATCGCATTTTTTTAATTTAATTTTGAATAGGTTGGAAAGAAAATTTAGCAACTTTTATGAATGAATTAAAGAATTTACAATGTTATTCAATGACAACAATGGGTGTTGCAGTGAAACAAGCCTTTGATATTTTAAATATAAATCGAATGACTTCCGGAATAGATACATACGGTCAAGGAAGATGCCCTTTTTTCTTAGAAACTTCCGTTATCGTTTTAATAACGGATGGTGGAAAGTTATCAAATATTAATGGGGTTCACGAAGAGTTTAATTTACCAATGAACAATACTCTACCGGGATACGAATTAACGAGAGAGCCGTTTCGATGGGACCAAAGACTGTTTTCATTAGTCTTAAGATTATCAGGAACTCCTGCTATAGAAAGAGACACCGGTTTAGTTCCAAGCGATAGTAGCCCAATAGATGCAATGTGTGAAGTAACAGGGGGTAGATCTTATTGCATAACATCTCATAGAATGTTAAATCAATGCATAGATAGCTTGGTACAAAAAGTACAGAATGGTGTTGTAATAAACTTTGAAAAAATAGGTCCAGATCCTCCATTAACGGTTAACGAAAAAGGTGATGAAATCAAGGACGAATTCGTCAAAGACGATTTCGCACAAGAATTACCAAACGTAAACGAACGCGCTATACAAAACACATCATGGTATACATGTAGAAAAATGATTTATGTTCCAAGAAGCACACAAAAAGGATATCCAGTGGGTTTTTGGCCGCTTCCGGAATCTTTTTGGCCTGACTCGACCGGTTCGATGTTACCACCTCGTACAGCACATCCTAATGTTAAATTTACATGCACTAGTTCAGATCCCATGGTTATTGAAAATTTACCTTTTGATAAATACGAATTGGAACCATCACCTTTAACACAATTTATATTAGCAAGGAAACAACCTACAATTTGTTGGCAGGTGAGATTTTTTTAAATTAATAATTAATATATATAATTTGGTGGAAAATTTGGCTAAAAAATAATTTCTAACCTCAAAATTGACATTTATATGTCAAAATGACATTTTTGTTAACCTTAAAATTATGTTAGTTCTAAGTTTAGTGTTTAACTTTTAGTTTAATAAAAATATACAATAATTGTTAAAGAATTTAGGTGATGTTTGGGATTTTTTTTTAAGTATTTTATTGAATGTTTTGAAACTTTAAGAATGTATTTGTCTATTATCGAACTACATACAATAACTTTTTCATAGAAAAATAGTAACATTTTAGCGACTTATGCGCTATGTCCCAAAACACTCATAAAAAAAGTTCATCCACTGCTACAGTGATAACAGTCGATTGACTAGGGAAATATTGAAATTGTACAAAATAACCGGGTATTGAAGAAAAATGGAGCTAAAAATTAATTTCTAACCTCAAAATTGACATTTATATGTCAAAATCAAGGTCTATAGAACGTAAGGTTACCCAACACCGATTCTCCTCCTCTGAGAGGCAAGGTGGGTCAGTGACATAGCTGGTTCTATGAACAACACAACACGATGCAAGGTTTAAATATTTTATATAGACTGTACCACAGTATAGGCACGTATAGGCTATCTTTTATTCTGACTGTATCGAACCAGTGACGTCAATTTGCGGGGTAATAATCGCTACTACAGAGACATAGGGAATGAGGTAACCTTATGTTCTATAAACCTTGTGTCAAAATAACATTTATTCATGTTAACCTTAAAATGATGTTAGTTCTAGGTTTAGTGTTAGTTTAACTTTTAATTTAATAAAAATATACAATAATCTAGCAGTGAATAACAATTAAGGAGCTATATCAGTATGATTACTAAAGAATTTAGGTGATGTTTAGGATTTTTTTTAAGTATTATTTCATCGAATGTTTTGAAACTTTAAGGCGCCCTTCACATGATCAATATATATTGTCAATAAAATATTGTCAATATGGTCAATAAATAATGACAAATTGTAATTGCCTCGGACTAGCAATATTTATTGACTTAGTTTTGCGTTAGCAGTCAAAGATATAAAAAAATAAATAAAGTATAAAGTATATCTGTCTGAATTCATTATTACGCGATATAATCCGTAATATAATCGTACTGACGCAGGATTATAAATATCTCCCTCAGACTGTTAATATGTATTGTCAATATATCAAATATTTTCGTTTTCGTCAAATCATTCCATCAATATTTTCAATATTGACAATATGTCAATCTTTCTACTCACACGTTCAATAATGTTGTCAATACTCAGATATTGACAGTATATATTGATCGTGTGAAGGGCGCTTTAGAATGTATTTGTCTATTATCGAACTATACAGGGTGCCATTATGTATGGAATATCGTATATATCTTGGTAGGTATCAACTTTATAAAAAAACGTTTTATACAAAAGTTGTTTAATATTTTATTTGCCATAATAAGACAGCATTCAATTGTTTTTATTTCAGAAAACAAATGAGCAACGAATAACACTTGAAGTTTTTTAAATGGCAATGTACCCTTTCGTTAGGCTCATTTGATAGAGATTTTTTTCTTTTTGCGATGACGTAAAATTTTAGTACCCTTATATCAGAAAAATTTTGAAAAAAATGTAAAAATTGTTTATTAAGAAAATTTAACTAATAACATTAATCTAGATATCCGAGATCGTCAAGTACCTCGAATTATTGAAAATGTACGCTAATTCTTCGTTTATTTGTTTTATTTTGTATGTAAATTTAATTTACGGTAATAATTCGAGGTACTTGACGATCTCGGATATACAGATTAATGTCATTGATTAATTTTTATTAATAAACAATTTTTACATTTTTTTCAAAAATTTTCTGATGTAAGAGTCATCGTCATCGTAAAGAGAAAAGTAATCTCTATCAAATGAGTCTAACGAAAGGGTACATTGCTATTTAAAAAAATTCAAGTTTTATTCGTTACTCATTTGTTTTCTGAATTAAAAACGATTGAATGCTGTCTTATTATGGCAAATAAAATATTAAACAACTTTTGTATAAAATGTGTTTTTATAAAGCCGACATTTACCGAAATATATACTATATTCCATACATAATGGGCACCTGTATAAAAATATTAACATTTTAGCGACTTATGCGCTATGAAACACTCATAAAAAAAGTTCTTTCACTGCTGCATCGATAACAGTTGATTCAGTACCTAAAATGAAAAAAACAAATATCGATGTTAAAATAGAAGATATTCTCCGTACCATGACCTAGGATTTTAGAGAATATTAAGGCAATATTAGAGAAAAACTTATTTTACTCTAAAAAAATCGCCGTTTTTTTGATGTCAAATCGACAGTTTTCACCCAATCAAAAATATCCTAGATCATGGTACAATAAAACATGCTTATGCATGACTATCTTATAATACAGGGTGTTTCATGAGGTATAGTACATAGGTTAATATGTTATGGATTTGTTCATTTTAAGCAGAAAAGTTCCTATAAACATATGCTCAATTCTCAAAGGAAACTGAGATTCAGCCAGTTAATTCATAAATTTGTATCACGCACAGCTGTTGTGAAACAGTCATTTGTCAATGTTTAACATTTAATATTATTTGGGTTACGTGTCGACTAAGTTGTTGATAATGCCACATATTGACTCATGCAGAATATGCTGATATGGTGTTTTGTTACGGTTTCTGCAATGGAAATACATGTGCTGCTCGTCAAGACTATAGGACACGGTTTCCTAACCGAAATTCCAGATTGCATGAAAACTGTTCTGTTCCAAGTAGAAGTATTCATTCTCAACGTGCAGGTGTGCAAACTCAGAATAAAGTTAAACAAAGTCTTCAATCGATAGAACGCAGTCCATCTACCACTACAAGAAGACTTTCTCCTCGTCTTGGTGTTCCTCATGTGAAAGTATGGAGAACATTGCGTCTCATGGCTTGTATCCATTGAACCAACAGACGTCATATGGATTTAGACTTATTATTCCTTTGTATGTAGCACTATCACCATCACCAATATAACGGTTTAACTTTACACCATATTCTTCAATCGAGTGACTAAACATTTCCTTCACACTAACAACCTCCATTTTCGCAGCGGATCCTTCATGATTTGCGTCACAATCGTCTTCCTCTTCGAGTCATTGTTCATATTCTTCAGAATATGTAAGTTTTTTCTTTTCCCATATTTCACAACATTTACAGTAAGTTGATTTTGCAATTGTTGATCTGCAAGAGTTGTAACTCCGAAACGAGAAGTATGACCGCGTTTTTTCCATGTTCCATCTCCAGAAACTGTCAAATTTGTATCTGAAACTTCTTTTTCTAACATCTTAGCCTTCTCTTCGTCCACGACGATTTTTACACTCTGCTAATAAATTGTTTCAGCTGATTTGGTAACGTTTTCGAAGTATCCAGCGAAGGTATTCTTATTGAATTTTCTAAAAAGATCCATCAAGCCGCAAAATAGATTGAGTCCATTTAAACCAACTCCTATAAGTCGCATTACAAACACTATTCGTCAATTTATTTCATAAGCATTGTTAATCATTGGTCCAGAATTTACATATGAAACACTGCACTCACACATTACAGTAATTTTGAATCCTAAACGCCGTAGACTTGCTTCATTGGATGTTATGTCTTTTTTTACCATTTTTACATATGACTAAATTGCTAATAGCAGTGAAAATAGTCACAAATTGAATAATACGATACCTCCATGCTGTTATCAATTATAATTACGTCATTGTCGATACGCAATAATTTTTCTGCGGCTGTACTGGGATTAAATTCGATTTTTTGAAAATTTCACACTGGTATAGCCCCTTAAAATTAGAAGTAACACTGCACGTATAACTAGAAACATTCAGGTTTAGCTGTCTTAAGAGACGTACAGCTAAACCTGAATGTTTCTAGTTCTAGTGTTAGTTCTTAAAGGTTAACCGCATTTTGAAAAGGTTTTTTTATAATAATTTTTTTTATTTGTTTTTAAATAGGTTTTTGTTGCAAACAGTTATAAAAACTCGGACGTTGGTCATCCATTTGGATATTTAAAAGCAAGCACGAACTTAAACTGTGTTAATCTCTTTGTGATGCCTTATAATTATCCTGTTCTACTGCCCTTACTAGATGAATTATTTAAGGTTAGAAAAAAAATATTTTAATTCATTAAAATCGAAGAAACGATTGTTTTTGGGATCAATATGTTTTAGGTCCACAGATGTAAACCAACAAACGATTGGAGGAATCAATTTCAAAACTATTTAAGAACTTTGCCTGTGTATTATGCCACACCATTACGAAGAGCTTTAACTAGAATGGGTATGAATGATTTTTTGTTATGATGTGACAAAGTTTAATTAATTTATTTTTATAATTTAGGAGCTCCGGTTGCTTTAGCTTCATCATTAGTACCAGAAAATGCCGATAACTGCCTTAGTTATTCCGTAATGAACTACTTAAAGAAGATGAAAAATCAAGCAAAAAATGAATACGATAGATTGTGTAATGAAATTATACAAAGACAAAGCTCTGTAAATGAACACATCATATTTTAACTTTAAAAATTTATCCCTAATATTTTTTAGATGCCATCAAAGGCGATTTTTAATACGCCAGAACAGTTTCGAATCCTTCCAAAAGTAACACTAAAAAAAGATCTTATCAGTCACCCGCTTTTAGTTGATAAATTCTCGAATTTAAAAGAACAGCTCATGGAACAAGGCAATTTATTTGTTGGGGCTCTAGATAAAGAGCGTCACACCGTTAGTTTTCGGAACGCTTTTGATATTCCTCGAAATCGTTTGATGCAACAGGTTGCAAGAATGCGAAACAATTTCCTTCAATCCGACTACGTAGCTTTAGACCAGGATAGTGCCCATTCACTTCCGATTTCGCAAATGGGCAATTATCAAGAGTATCTTAAAAAGCAAACTCCTCAATTACGCGAAATTGAATCAGCCCCAGTTAGGCAGCATATGTTTGGGAATCCATTTAAAATTGATAAACGAATGATGGTACTTTTCAATTATTTTTTTAAAAAATAATTTGATTGGAATTTTTTTTTAAGGTTGATGAAGCTGATATAGATTTAGTGGGTGCTCCCGGTACAAATAAATCAAATAAACGACCTAACACTGATCTAACCGCAAATAATCGACCAAGTAAAAGAAAACCAGGTCCTTTACCAAGAGATTTAGTGGTGAGACGTCCGAGTGCAACTGATAGTTTAACACCACCTCAAAGCCCTTTGATTCCTTTTGCGCCTTCTCCAGTGCCTTGGTAAATTCTATTAAAAAAAATATTAATTAATATTAATAAAATTAAATAAAATTTTTAGGTTAAATGCAATTGATAAAGAAATAATTAACATAGAAGAAAAACCAAACCTATCAACAGTAGTGGCTGTTAATGGGCTCGATTCAAACGTGATCTTAGAAAGACCTCGGTCACCTTCCCCGACGTTAGACGTACCATTTTACAATTCTTCTGAGCCGTTTACACCCATAAGACCATCGTTAAATCAACATACTTATTCCTCGGTGGAAAATAATCACCAAAACGATAACACATATTCAATGAATTACGATTCGGATATCTCACAAATACTTAAAGAGGCCAATAATATTAATAATTCCGTTATAAAAGAAAGAACAGAAGAAGTAAAACCACAAAATGTAAGTTACAACAAAAAAAAATCGAAACGTTATTTGAAATTTATGTTTTCAGATATCTTTTGATACAAAGCAAGAAATCGATGAGCAAAATCTTCAAATAAGAAAAACATTAAATATGTTGGTGAGAAGACCCGGGCGAAATTTTAAAGAACTTTTCGAAAATATAAAAACGTTAAAAGGTGACACTCAAGTACAAGTGGCGATTGTAAAATTAGTGATACAAGAATCGTTAAGGTTTAAAAGGAGACATTTGGCGAATTTATTAGAAGAGCACATCCAGAGTATGTTGAATGATGGTTAAGTAAAGTTTAAGTCTTTTTTTTTTTAATTTTTTTTTGTTAAGTGTAAATTAAAGATTTTAAATGATAAAAAGGTTAAAGAAAGAATTTGTACATAGTAAAAAAAGGAAAAAGGAAAGATTTTAGTTTGTAAATTTTGTATCGCAATCGAATGAAAGTTTTTTGATGAAAAATACAGGCTAATTCGTAAGTTATCCAGTTGATCTTATTTTTGTAGACTCTGCGAGACACCTCGGGGTCCACCACCATCACCACCACCTCCACAATCCCAACTCGACGTAACCATCGCGTACGTAAATAACACACGATTTGAATTCAATCAAATTAATTCAAACAAAAATAATGATGAGGAATAAAAACGAAATTTTTTTTTATCAAAAAACATTTTTATCTTTTTAGTGTCGTAATTAATTAATTAATCAATGTTAAGTGTAAATGACTTTATAATTGCAATAAATTTATTTAAATAATAAACAATTATTTTGATAAATTTTCTGACGAAATTAAATGAAGATTAATATAAACACCTTGTTTTTAATTTAAACATTATATTGTCAATTTTGGTCTTATAAAAAAACATTCTTATCCTATAAAGATCTTATATAAAATTATGAAATATTTTTTGACATTTGTATCGGACGGAGAGCAACTTTGTATAAATTTGTCTCTTAACATTATTAGTTTTAGAACTTTTTGTATTCTATCTTAACATTCTATAAAGCTATAAAAATCTTAAACAATATGTAATCAAAAAATTTTATTACAACGAAATAGGCAAGGAGAGGAAGGATTGTTTGGTTTAGAGATGGGTCAACTCGATTTATCAAACCTGGTTAACTCGAGTTAGACTGTTACTAACTCGAGTTGGGTTTACTTTTTGCGCGACCATCAGCCACCGCGGCGCGCCGTCTTGTAGATTGAACCGGATTTTATTCGAGTTACAAGTCAGCGTATAGAAATACATGGGAATCGAACGTAATTAAGTACTGAGATTTTTAAAAGTGCAATAAATTTTGTTTTAGTGTATGTGATTGGAGATTGGACAATGCCGGGGCAATAACTGGAAAAGCAAAATGCAAAATATGTTCGGAAACTTACAAATATTTTTGAAACACAAACACATTGATAAATCATATAAAAAAAAATATCCTAATGAATATTGTAGAATCGTAGACTTGGATGATAATACTTCTACGACTAAAAGTACTACGACTACCACCGACTTCTTCTTCATCTCTTGATGTTGAACCTCCAATAAAACAATTCAAGCAAACTCGCTTAACCGTACCGCAAAAAATTTTGAGTTGATGCATAGATTCTTATGACCTTTACAAATTGTCGAAAATAAAGGTTTTCGCAAATACACCAAAATATTAAAAACCGATTATGAACTACCTCCGAGAAAAAAATTGACTCAGATGTTGGCAAAAAGTATAATATTGAATCTACAACTATTGCTTTGACATCAGATATTTGGACGTCTGACAGTAATATAAAGTTTCATTAGTGTGACCACCCATTTTATAGAAGAAACAAAATTGCAATCAATAGCTATTTCTATTTTGGAAATACAAGATAACCATACAGCTCAAAATATAGCAAATGTTATTCAACAAATATTGGACGAGTGGCAGATTAGTTCTAAAATAATGACTATAGTTGCAGAAAATGCAACTTCAATGAAAAAAGCAGTTATCGAAATTTTAAATAAGCAAAACCATTTCTGTGTAGCCCATAATCTTAATCTTGCTGTGAAAGACTGTATAGAAAAAGATAGAAGAGTATTGGATAAATAAATGCCGAGCGATTGTGTCACATTTTAAACATAGCACAAAATCTTCATGTGGCTTGGTCGCCATGCAAAAGCACTTACTGGAACAGTACTTTTTATATGCTCAAAGCTCAAGATTCCGTTTTCTGCTACTTTAACGAAACTTTAACTGGTATCACTTCCGCCGAATCTGGATTCTGAAGAGTGATTATTTGCTGAAGACGTAGTGGCATTCTTACATCCGTTTGAAAAGGTAACTGCAATTTTATCTTGGGAGAAGTATCCATCGCTATCATCTGTTATACCTCTTGTATTCGGTCTACGACATACCATAAGATATCTAACTCTTGCTGTTATAATAGAGACACAACTTGGGGTTTATGAGATTAATAGGACAGCAGCAAAAGCTACTTTTCTTGATCCGCTATATAAAAAATCAGCGTTTAGTTCAGAAAACAACGCTAAAAATGCGCAAATGTGGATACTATGATAAACGACTACTTATTAATGGAAACCTTGAACTCAAGCGACCAAACTACTACATCTACTGTTTTTGACGCTGCTTCTACTATTGAAGATGATATTTGGGGTGTTATAGACCAATAAATATCAGAAACTGTCGAGAAGTCCAACTTCACTACAACTTGTTCAGCAGCCACGATGATAAAACTATATATTGAATTACCATACATAGACAGAAAACAAGATCCCCTCCAATTCTGGAGTGAAAAAAGTGTCTATTTCCGAAGCTAGCTAAAATAACGCATAAAATACCTCTCCATATAGCAGAAAGACTATTTTCTAAAGCGGGTATTTTATGTAATGATCGAAGAAGCCGACTAGTACCCAAAAAACTTAATCAAATACTGTTCTCAATAGACTGTATTAAAAATTATTCTTGTAATTCAACTTTGAATTAGTGTAGATTCGTTAAAATATATTCTTTTCTGAATTATAGTATTTTATTTATTGCCTACTGTAAAATTTTAATAACAATATCCGACACTACCTAAAAAATACCATAATGCAAGTCAAAAAACACAATATTGACTTAGGAATTCATCAATTCAAACCAGTGCGCGGTTTGCGAATTTTTAGATTTTTGCTATCAACTCGGTTTGGCGAAAATCCGAGTTGGCCCATCGCTAGTTTAGTGGACCTCAATATTTTCTTTAAACAACCACTGAAAAGGTTGTACACATGGAGATTCCCCACTACACATACATACAGGTGTCTGACGTAACTGATTCGTTGAAGTTTTTCAGTTTCCACTAATCGTAGAGATTTGAAGTTTTGGTAGCATGGGTTGTTCATTCGGAACTTACAATCTAAAATATTTTCAAGATGGCCGCCACTTCCGGACTACCGGAAGTAGACCATAACCAAGGTTTATATATTAAAGGTTGTCTAAGTTCCTATGCTGCAATACTTTGATTTTAGTTTGTGGGCGAGGGGCAAGAGCAGGAGTGTTTCGTGACGTAAGCGATCACGGATTGCGCACGCAATCTCATGGCCATGTGGTGCTCCATGCCTTTGTTTAATTTGAATTGCTTGGCGGTATTATTTTCCACATGTGACGTAATGCGCAGTATGATTGCGTACGAACCTAGACAACCTCTTATATATAAACCTTGGACCATAACTTCATTATTTTAAGTGGAATGCTATAGTTTTTATTACACCATTTAATTTTACGTAAAAAATAGGTTGACTTTGATACAAGTTATTGGCACCTAGTGATTTCGTTTTCGACTTATTTTGGTTTTCAGTTTTTTTTGTAAATTTCAACATGCTCTTTGAAACGCCATGCGTTCATGCAAAAAATAAAAATATAAACGGTTCCATTGTAGAGAATTAAATTCCCTTTGGGGTAGGCTAATAAAATATGGGGCGTTCCATTTAAAATTTTCGACTTTCTTGCGGTTGAATATGGAAAACGGTAATTCAATTTTTGACCATACTGTATAAGATACTCTGATACAATAAATGACAATCTATTTGACAGCATCTGAAGAGTAATCGTGCCAATTTAGAGCTTTTTTGAATGAACGTTGGATGGGATATGAGGTTTTAAAGAGCATGTTGAAATTTGTAAAAAAAAACGTAAAATCAAAATAGCTCGAAACCGAAAGACACCTAGTAGCGATAACTTTTATCAAAGTCAGCATATTTTTTTACGTACAATTAAAAGGTGTAATAAAAATTATAGCATTCCATTTAAAATAACAAAGTTATGGTCTACTTCCGGTAGATCGGAAGTGAATATCTTGATAATATTTTAGATCGAAAGTTCCGAATGAACAACCCATGTTACCAAAATTTCAAAACTGTACGAATAGTGGAACCTAAAAAAGTTCTAAGGACCAGTAACGTGAGACACCTCTATATTGAATTACCATATATAGACAGAAAACAAGATTTCCTCCAATTCTGGAGTGAAAAAAAATGTCTATTTCCGAAGCTAGCTAAAATAGCGCATAAATACCTCTCCATAAAGCAGAAAGACTGTTTTCTCAAGACCCACAAAACTTAATCAAATACTGTTTCTGAATACACTGTATTAAAAATTATTCTTGTAATTCAACTTTGAATTAGTGTAGACTATTTATTGCCTATGGTACAATTTTAATAACGATGTCCGACACTACCTAAAAAATACCATAATTTGCGTCAAAGAACACAATATTGACTTAGGCATTCATCAATTCAAACCAGTGCGCGATTTGCGATTTTAGATTTTTGCTAACAACTCGGTTTGAACTCAGTTTGTGCTGTTTATGTTGAATCAAGGAAAAGTAATCTTAGACAAAATAAACCTACATAGCTGAATTAATATTCCAAAACGCGCAACTACATCAGCTATGTATAGATGAATGAAAGAGAATCCAGATAACTAAAATTGTAGTAAATTGATTATAAGGAAGGATTTGGAGTCTTTGTGCAACATTTAAATACAAAAAAATGATTAAGAAAGTTTAAAAATCTAAATATATCTTTAAGCAATATTATTAAATATCAAAAAAAATGCATAAAAAAAGAAATAATTCTAAATACATATATTCCCAGGAAATACACTTGAATAAAAATAGATCACAGATTAATCATTTTTTAAAAATCGATTCTGTGTCAAGAAATTGTGTTTGCGCTGGTTTCTTGCCATCTAGAGAAAACATTTGGTGCGTGCATTTCCTGGGCCATATCCTAAAACCTATCTCTTCCACTAATTGCATCCATATCAGTTAAATAATGCAAATCTTGTAATTCTTGGAATTTTTCGTGATCGCGAATGTGTGCGTAATTAGCTGATAAGCACATTAAATAATGAACAAGACTTAAAATGATTAATAAACAGGAAGCGGTTGCTAAAATAAACAATATTTCCGCTTTTTCGACGTAATCTTTACAAAATTGTTTAACTTCTTGATCTGAACAGACTTTCATGTGTTCTTGGCGATGATTTTCAGGGAAAAAGAAATAAAATTGGGTGAAATCAATGCAGTCTCGTCGATCTTGAACGCGCGGATTATCACACATGTACCAAAAAGTGGTAAATGTGAATGTTATGATTATTAAAAAGCAAAACATTAGTATCCAAGCGATTTGAAGGATATAAGTAATAACCATGAATACTGCGCAACTAATTCGACCCCCAACTCGAGATCTCCACGCTTTATACACTTTATAACGCGTTTGTCCCGTTGCTAAACACCCTATGGTGAGTATCATCAGACCTAAAGCACCCATACAAGCTCCGATTATAACAAAAGTCATTTGAATTGCTTCCACCCTAAAATATTAGCAAGAAAAATTAATAATTAAAATTAATAAATTTGATTTTATCTCACCAAAAGAGTCTCATTCTAAAGACATCGTTAAACATAAGGAAAGCCAAAGTAGCACCTCGATACATCGTTCCACAAAAGACAACCACACCTAATAGACACATAATTGTGGCTATTAAGGTGGCATAAGGTATTCTTGTAAGACAAGCGTCGCATTTTCCTGTAAAAACACAAAAAAAAAGATTAAAACACCACTTATTAAAAGTAAGTTTTAAAAAACCTTTCTTTTCTTCAAACACAGAAAGGGCATCTTCATCAGTTAAAAAAGAAGTCTCACGAATGAAATTTTCTCGATTAAAAGCCATTAAAACTATTTATTTCACGAAAATGTTAATTAAAGATATAAATTTGTTAACGTAGAGAATGATTCACGCGATTGTATCACTACATTTCGTATCTACCTCGATAAGATAAGTTTTTTTAAGTAAATTAATAATTAACCTACCCATTTTCGTTGTTGTTTTAAAAAAGTTTTCAACCCATACAGTTCTTTTGGATTTATGAAGAAATATAGGCCTGGGGTTAACGACTTTCACTGGATGAAATACGATGATGTTACCGTTCTTTGGGAAGCTCACAACGTTTTCTCAAGAAACCTGTGAATAATGAGTTGGGCGGAGTTCTTATTGTTAATCTAAATAAGGTTCATTTTCGCTTAAACGCAGCGTTTCTTCCTATTGTATTTAAAATGAGACTTTAACTTTAACACAAAAGAAAGTTTTTGTTCTAAATTTAACTAAAATGCATAAAAAATATTAATTTTTATTAAAAATATAAACCCGTTTTAACCAATTTTGGTTTAAAAATATTTGACATTTTATGTATAGAAAATTTCTTTTAAACAGATTAACTCAAATTGAAATAAAAATAAATTCACTTTTTTAGCACCGAAATAATTTCAAATAAATCATAAGAAAAAAATTAATTAATCAATTAAATAATATTTTTTTATTAACTTTAACCAAAATTCTTTTTAATTGAAATTAAACGATTTCTAGATAATCAATTTATTTTAAACATTTATACATAATTTTAAGCTAACTTCACATTTATTGTGACAGATTGGGTTAAAACACAAAACTTTTTTTGAGGTTATTTTTACTTAGGGTGACTCTTGCATTTTCATTTTGGGCGTGAAGTCGTTTAACACGATGGATAATTCATTGAAAATTGAAGACGTGTTCATCCAAATTAGGGATAAACTTCAAAAAGAAAGTGTTAAATTATGGTTACTGCCGTATTATGATTCGCAAAAAGGACCATCCGAAGATGACTTACAGGTAAGATAACTTTATCTTATATTGTTATTTATAAAGTTTTTTCAATTTTAGAGATTAGCTGCTGATTATGCGAGAACTCTTCAACTACCCCAACAATCATGTTTCGCCGCTCTTTTGGAACTTCAATCGAATGCATTGGAAAAATTAAAACAAAGAAATCGTTTTAAAGAATCAGGTTTGGCTACGTTAAAAATAAAAGTATTAAAGCAAAGCGGGACTCCTAAAGTAATCGTTAAAGAAGTTCCGCTTACAATGATTGGGGAAGAATTTAAAAAATCTATAATTGATGAAATTGGGGTTCCTTTGGATCAATGTAAATTAATAAGTGGGGGGATTGTTATTAAAGATTTAGATACGCTGGGCGAGCAAGGTATAAAGAACGGAAGTCAAGTTTTAGCTATTATTTTAGTTGAGAGTTTATCTAATATAAAAGAAGATGAAAATAGAGTTAGGGAAATTGAATCTACCAGGGCTGATACATTTTTATTAGCTTCTGATGATGGATATATGCAAGTAATTTGTTTTAGTACTTTGTAAATGTTTTAAATTAAAACTATAAATTATTTAGCTTGAAGATCAACATGGAAATGCAATAAACATCCCAATGAAAGAAAAGAAAGCTTTAATGGTCGCCATGGCTTTACACGAAAAGGGAAGATCTGCACTTAAAAAAGAAGATTTTGCCAAAGCATTGGTTTTCTTCTTAGATGCAGACAAAGAATTTAGCATTTGTAACGCGCAAATTTTAAATTCCGTCGACAATTACGCCCTTTTAGACTTAGATATCGCGTGGTGTTATTTATGCCTGCAAAGTTTTGTTCATTTACCAGAAGCTTACGAAAGATTAAAGCGCTGCGAAGATCGATTCCATCAAACTTACGGCCCCAATTTAGAGAGATTATTAGCTGTTAAAGGAACAACAGGAAACGAAGCTGCTCTTTTAATGCGCTTACATTTAATGCAAGCAATCGTTTTATATCATCAAAATAAACGAACCGAAGCCAAACAGTTATTAATACGCGTCGAGGGGGAATTAAATAAATTAAAAGTTGATGAGAATAGTTTATTAATGTTGGTTGAATTAGGTTGGTTGCGATTTTCGGGGGATTAATTAAATAAATAAAAAAAATTTAGGTTATAGTATCGCTGAATCTCGATTGGGGTTAAGAGCAACTCAAGGTGATGTGAATATGGCTGCAAATCATATCAATGAAATAAGAACCAAAAGAATGGAAAGTAGGAATAAAGCTATGGCAGAAAGGATTTTGCAAAGGTATAAATTACAGTAATAAGGACCTTGTTAGAACAGATAAAATATTTTTAAGTCATAGTATAATGTTATCAGTACACCTAATTCTCTTTTTACACAAATTTGATTTAACACGAGTTAAAATGAAAAAAAACTCTTTTTACATGAATTGTTTTGGTTTAACACGATTTTCAATATTCTATGAATTTTTCTTGAATCTCATAGAGCAAATAGAGCGAGATGGAAGAGAGGGATTTGGGCTATAACAATACATATATATATATATATACACTGTGTTAATTAATTATCGTACCCGACGTCATTATTGGAAGTATGCAACCAAATACACAAATCGCGTATTGTAATACCAATACTGTGATGTTGGTTGCATACTTGCAATTATGGTAATTAATTAACACACTGTATATGAGTGAGATTCCCCGAATTATGCATAAAGTAAATGCGTAATGTATTTTTTACGCAATTTAGTTTGGTTTGGTTTGAGAGTTGAACAGAAAAGACGTTTAGTTGTTGTGGATATTTAAAAAGTTATAAGTAAAATAAAGTTCGCTCATGAAGCGACCATAAGAACGATCAAGAAAAATGAAACTGCGATCAGAAAATCGGTATGTTCTAGAACGAAAATAAGTGCTAAATCACACGTCGTACATAAGAGAAGATGGAAAAAACTTTGATAATGTGGATTGAAGATAAAAGACACAAAAAAGAATACCAGTAGATGGAATTGCTATTAAGCAAACTGCATTAAGAATCTATAAATGTATTAAAGAAGTTCAGCCAGGCACTTCATCTCATAAGAGAAGTAACACAACTGTAGCACGCTGGTTTTGATGAAATTTGGTACAGCCATAGAATGGACAATAAGGTTTACTTACATATTTTCTTATACGTGCAGTAAAAGCCGCTGAGCCGAGTTTTAGGGGTTGCAACTTTGGGGAAAAGTACACTTTTGCATATATTTCGAAAATTTCGTTTTCGAAATTATAGTTATCGTTTCGAATATATAGTGCTATCAAAATTTGGTAAATTGAAACTGATATTCATGATATTTAATGTATCATACATATATCACAGGGTGAAAAGTGGCGAACTACCCTTATTTTTTTCGGGTTTATTTAAAAACCACTCTATCGATTTTGATGGCGTTAAATATACTTGTGGTACATTCAAAAATATTAGTTAACTGTTTTTTCTCATTCGTCGTAGATCAACCACAGCGATGTTACGAGGGTTAACATGTAACTATATTTCGTAAGAATGATGTGATAAAACTGTCGGTATTTTAAAAATATTTTAAACAAAACCGTAAATTAGTCGCACAGTAAAATTTTAGTGTAAAGTAAGGCATATACGACATTTGGGGGTAGTGGAGGTTAACTACCTAAGAATTAATTCTATTTTAGGCGTTACTTGTCAAGTTTGGCGAAATATGCCACGGTATATGTTTTATATGTGAAATAAAAATATATATGCAAAAATGTACTTTTTCCCCAAACTTTCAACCCCTAAAACTCGGCCCAGAGGCTTTTAACGCACGTATAAAAAAGTACGTAAACCTTATTTTGGTCCATTCTATGGCTGTACCTAATTTCATCAAAATCGGCGTACCACAGTTGTGTTATTTCCCTTGTCAGTCAAAACAACCTGAATTTGTTGCAAGTACAGGTTGGATGACAGGAGAAACTGTGTCTGCAGATAAATTGGCTGCCAAAGAATTTCCTGAAAAACTTAGAAAAATTGTTGAAGATGGATCAACCCCAAATTAAGTTTGGAATATAGATGAAATGTTGCAAAATCGCAGAAAACTGCCGGTGATTTTAAAGTAGCTAAGGACCATGTAACATTGTTGTTTTGTTCCAATCTAGTAAATCGTGCTTTAAGACCACGCTCGATGAAAGGTGTAGATTTCAATAAACTGTCAATTCACAGCAAAAAGGCTAAATATTTCATCCCAGAAGTTAGACGCTACATGAATGCAAAATGTCTAAAATTTAAAGTTCTTTTAATTCTAGACAATGCATAAATGTGCAGCCAAATGTGTCATTTTACTTTCTTCCGCCTAACACTACATCCTTAATACAACTGTTAGAGCAAGAGATCATTGCTACTTTTAAAACGTACTACATAAAACAGTTATTGATGTGTGGAAAAATGTTTCTATTATGGCATTAATCAAGTTGTGTTAGCATTAGCTGTCTTAAAGCCATAAACTTTGTACTCATGTTGGAAAAATATTTGGCCAGAATGTGTCAAAAGCAAAGATCCTGATCCTCTCATCCATAATAACACTGCTTTTACTGACATCATAACGCTGGGACATACAATAATTGGTGGAGACGGATTCGATGATCTATCATTTGCCGATATAGAGGAATTGGTTGATAAAAGCGAAAATGAAATTATAGACCTCACCTTTGAGACTCATTATGACAGAGAACATAATGACGAAGAAAATCGTCCCATTTTAAACGCAACTCTTATTAAAGAAGGTCTTGATCTTACCAGGAAATTAGGTAATCACTTTGAACAACATGATCCTGAAGAGGAACGAGCTGCAAAATTTCAACGTGAACTGAAATCATTAATGGCATCTTACAGGAAACTTTATAACGGTTTATTACGAAATCAAATACAATCTGTAATGACTGATTTCCTTCTAAAAACTACTCAATTGTCAACACAGGAGACTAGAAATGATATAATATATAATTCTAGTGATGGCAGTGATATTGTAGTCTTGCAAACGTATGCGTTTATTGTCAGAACCCATAAAATGACTGCATAAAATTTTGTTATGTTTATATTATTTTTACTTTTTTTATATTAATGAATTTCAGATATTATTTTCTTTTTTCAAAGTATAATTTATTTTTTATAATATATTTAATGAATTAATATGTGTAAGCACGAAATAAATTCTTAAGTGGACTCTAACAAAAACTTTTAATATTGTTTACACCTAATTCTCTTTTTACACGAATGTTTTGGGAACGTATATATCGTGTAAAAAGGGAATTAGGTGTATATTTAAATATAAATGTTAGCAAATTGCTCTTTTCCATGTTTATAGATAAACTCATGGTATTCCCTGAGTTGTCTATACGATGTATAAATCAAGGACAGTAGTTTTAGCTTTAATTGTTATTCAGCGTATATTTTTATTGAATTAAAAGTACGCACGTGTTTAGCCGTGCAACACTTAAGACTGTTAAACCCGAATGTTTCTAGTTCTAGGTCTAGTGTTAGTTCTAATGCTAGTGTTATCCCCATATTAATCCGTTTAAACAATAACTTTTTTTTTCATTAAAAAGGGAGAGAAAGAAATTGGGTCTTTGCATTGATGGTAAACAATATGTTGATCCAAACTACTTAAAAATGTTGGTTAATATGGGTTATGGTAAAGAAGCAGCTCGAATTGCTCTACAAAAAACGAATAACATCATTTCTGATAGTATCCAGTACATACAAGAAAATCCAGTTCCCGGACCGAGTAACACAAAAAGTCAAGAGATTTTAGCGTTCATTGAAGATTTAATCCCAGAAGTATGAAATTAATTAAAAAAATTCAATCTAATTTTTTTATTAATAATTATTATTAGCTTGAAGCTGCTGGTTTTACTTACGAAATGTCTAAATTAGCTTTGAAAAAGCATAGCGGTGATGTTATGAAAGCGGCGGAAGATTTATTAATTAATAATGGGTTAATTGAAGGATTAGAAGATCGTAGGATTATAAATAAATGAAATTATTGTTTTATAATATCATTTTTTACAGTTTTAGATGATGATAAAAACGTTCAGGATAAGGAGCAACGTGAAAAAGAACGTAAATTAAAAGAGGAGGCTTTTAACAGACTTTGTCAAGATATTTCAATAGCGGATGATGATCATTTAGATTTAAATCTGTTAAAAGAAGAGGTTTTCTTACAACAGTATTTGGAGTTATTACAAAGTGATTAAAAAAAAGTAGGTACGATTAAAACACCATATCAAAATTAAAATAATATATATATTTTTTTCTATATAATGACAAAAAGAAATAAAGTTTACATGTTTAAATATTGATGTAATATAAATAATCGATTCCGATTCCGTATACTCGTTCCAAAACTACTTTTAAAACTTGTTCCATATCTTCCTTCTTTTCTGCTGCCTCCATTGCTTTTCTAGTCAATTCTTCTTGCTCAATTTCGAATGTAGCGTTTATTATTTTTGAAATAATCTTTAATATCGAAGATTCCTCTAAAATAGATTTCAGAGGAACTGATTCGACCAAATCGTTTAACATGTTCACTACATCATCAATATTATCCAGAACTTCATATGTATCATTTAAAATTAATTCTAAAATTTCCTCAACCACTTGTTCGGAAGTTGATTGTTCGGCGAGAATATTCATTGTCAATGCAAATAATCTTTCAGCTACGTATTCAACAATTTCCAATTTTTCTTCTTCGAGTTTTTGCGGAATCATATCTAAAATGTCTTCGATAATCGCCGTTACACTGACTTGTTTTAAAATATGATCGATTACATCTTCAGAAATCGTTCTAGCTTCTCTTTGTAAATCGAGTTCATCAAATAGTTCTTTTAATATTTCTCTTGCTGCGTTACGACTTTCAAATGGACTAAAAAAAGTGTTTAATCAGTATTTATATTATTATTAGGATAAAATTTATGTGATATCAAGAAGTTTTAATTAATCGGCTTAAAATGGGTAACTTAGAAATATTAAGAGATGTTGCGTTAATTAAATACGACTACTTAACAATAATGATATATAATATAACGATAGTGAGTGACGTTGCCAGATCGTTGATACAAACTAATGAACTGGAAATAAAGATAAATCAAAAATCCGGAAAGTTTGTTTTTCGAGAACTATCAAGAATAGCAGAATGTCATTATCGAAAACTTAACTTTATGGTTTTTACTTGACGGACTTTTGCGTTTTAGCACTTCTCTTAGTATCGTTCCTGTCACCCCTCTATCATTCTAAGCATTCCTCAATATTGTCTCTAATAACCATTAGGATCGTTTCTTTAAGGGCGTGTCCAAACATTGCATGGCTGCCTTTCGCGAACATTTTTAGTAAGTGTTTGGCATGTTTCGCATATTTTTATATGCTATCTTTGGCTATGTTTGGACACACCTTACCATCATTTCTTGTACTCCTCAACATCATGACGCAAAGTTCTCTCTGACAAGCCTAGATATTATCCTTGACAATCTTTAATTTAATTTCAACATAGCGCTGACTCACATCATCTTGAGTCGCACTCCTCAACATCACTCATAATTTTTTTTTTTAATATTGTGCTTCTCAATTCTGAAGGTAATCCGATACCTCTTTCAAAATTGTCGCTGTCGCAACTTATTTGTGTTTGCATTTTCAATGTTGTTTCTGACACCTCTCAAGCTCAACATCGTTATAGTTATTATTATGAAGTCCGATCTTTGTTAATATTGTTCTTAGTACTCAATATTGAACCCGACATTGCTCAAGAAAGTTTTTAACGTCTTTGGTCATCTCCCAACATCGTCTATGACCACCATCAAAATCGTTTGTAACCACAACAATATTGTCCCTGATCTCCTAAACATCATCATTCTATAATACTATCCCTGATAACTCTCAAGGACATCTCCAACATTTTTCATCATCTTGTCTGACACCTCGCAACATTCCTGACATTTCATAATATAGCCTCCCTCAACGTTATTTCTATTCAGGATTAATATCGTTCCTGGTTCCCTCAGCATCATATCTAATACCAGTATTGTATTAAACGAAATAATATGAAATAGTCTTTCAGGATTCAAATAACAAATCTTACTACAGAGATATGAAGAAGATCGCAAATGTAGACTTGTCTTTTGGAGAACTTTCTGTTGATGGATATTCCAAGAGTCATCGTCATTCTATAATATTATCCCTTATACCTCTCAATGACATATCCAACTCTCTCCATATCATCTTCAACATTTTTCATCATCTTGTCTGACACCTCGCAACATCGTTCAAAGTCTGTCTCAACTAGATTCCTAACATTTCATAATATAGGCTCCCTCAATGTTATTTCTATTCAGGATTAATATCATCGCTGATTTCCCTCAGCATCATATACTAATACTAATACTAGTATAGTCTTTCAGGATTCAAATGACAAATCTTACTACAGAGATATCAAGAAAATTACAAAGGTAGACTTGTCTTTTGGAGAACTGTCTGTAGATCGGTATTCCAAGAAAAGGTTTTATCTCGGGTGACTTATAGATATTTCATCTGGTTCGTGAATATTTATTCAATTAAAAGCTTTAATGAAAAGTCCGCATGTACTATATAGGATTCCTTGGACGACTTTCCTCTAACCTTGATACTCGACTTCCTTTATCTATATTAATATCATCGGTATATGACTCTTCATTAAAAACTTTCCCCACTAATAGGATGGCAGTAACCTCCAGGATTGAAGCATATCGTCTCTCCATAAAGCCGTTTAGAAGAAGAAAGAATTCTGCAATAAGCATGATTCAACTTTTTATAATTGATTCCACCCCTCTATTAAATGCTACTCTTATTAGAGATTGTGGTAATGCGTTATTAAGCATCCCTTCTATAGGTACAACTTGTAAGGAATCGGGATTCTGTACTACCAGATTTAGCAGTTAGTTCATTTGACTTTTCTGTTTAATAAGGAATTATCAGGAATTCATCAGACTGTCAAAGGTTGTTAGTAAAAACGACTTAACATAAATACAAGGTCAGAGGAAGTAAAGTAAAGGCATGAAAAACCTTTACTTTAGACCAGGGTTTCCCAACCTTGTTTTCTTAGAGCCTCCCTGGATTATAAATAATGTTTTCATATTCCCCTTTAATTTCTTTCATTGCAAAAGTTTTTATTCTGTTGATATACTTATGATGGTCGACGTCTTAGTTTCGAAATCTCTTATTATTTGCAAATCACCCATAAATAGTATAAATGAATATACAGGGTGTCTTCAGATTTAAGTATTATCAATTGCGTTTTCTTCGACTAAAATATTTTGAGATTTCTAACACTTCCGGTTATACCGGAAATCGCCACCTACTTTATTTTTTGAAATGGAACACCCTGTAAATCGATAATAACAACGAAAATGATATTTACACAAATCAAGAAATTCTTAATTTATTTTTTATACATGGAATGCGCGACAAAGTTTGTAGTATGATATCTCAAAAATCGAGTGTTCTCTGATTTTTTGAACAAATGTCTGCTAGAGCAGATTTTTTTAGAGAAAAGCGAATAACTCGAATTGCAAAAAGTAAAGTTATTCATAAACCTGGAAAATAGGCAAATCCAAATATGTGAAAATATACCGGGTGTTTCATTTAAAACAATAAAATAGGTGGCGACTTCTGGTATAATGGAAAGTGCTAGAAATCTGAAAATATCGATGTCGAAGAGAACGCAATTGATTATACTTAAATCTGAATTCTCAAATTTTTATTTTGGCTGGAACCCCAAAAATGTCTAATGACCGGTCTCGCTGAGACACCCTGTATCTTAACCAATACTTGAATATACATGGATGTAATAATTAAATATAAAATTAATAGATACTTTATGAAAGATTCAGCTGGTTGTACAATATTTTCCCATTCATAATCTTCCAAAAATACAACATCATCATTTTCATCAAGCTCCATTAAAGGCAACTCTTCCTCTTCAACCTCTTCTTCATAATGTCCGCGTGTAGGGCACGGCCTTAATTTCAAACCTTTCGTTTTCAACTTTCTTATTTCCTCACAAAGCAACTTAAAAAAAGAATTGTTATTTTTGTATCATAATTAAAATTTTTTACTTACTCTAAGTTCTTTATGTTGAATCCTAGCTACTTCCGATAATTTCAAAATATCGTTTTTCATGTGCTCTTTCGCCTCTGAAATGGTTGCAACTCGACATCTTTTTTCGTCTTGCACTTTTAAAATTTTCATCAACTCGGTTTTTTCAACGTTGAGTAACGCTAAAAGTTCCAATTTTTCAGTATTGTTTCTAAGTTCTTGGGCTAGATAAGTTTGTTTGAAGGCGAATTTTTTTCCCCAAAAAATAATTTCTTTTTCATAAAGTGATCTTATATCCATCATGGTTAATTTCATTTCGCAAATCATTCTTTTAAGAGAAGATTCGGTTATTTCATCGATGTTAACGCATTTTCCAAATTTTATTCTCATTAATTCGCTGACGTCTTCGTAGGAATGCAAGATGGTTTTTTCCATTTGTTTACAATCGGTTTTCATTCTCATTAAATGGAGAACATCTTTTTGATGTTTTTTCTGTTGGTATTCGGTTTCAAATTGTAATTGCCCGACGCGTTTATGTAATCTTGCCAAAATTGATTTTGAAAACAGCAAAGTATTTTTAATGTTAACTAATTTATCGTTTTCTATTAAATGTTGGAATTGATTCATTTTTAAAATAACCACGCACATTATTTCGTTTAATTCTCGTTGTTTTTCTCTTTGGCGTGCTTCTAATTCTTCTTGAACGCCTTCCAATTCGAGTTCGGTTGCTCGATTTTTTTTTAAGAAATTATCTATATCTTTTTTTGTTGTTTCGATGGCCGTTTGGCGATCTTTTATTAATTGCTCAATCGCATGTCTGTCGTTACGAAGTTGAAATGTAGTGTCATAAAGGGATTGATCGCATCCTTTTGGACAAACGCTCTCATCCATACGAATTACACCAACATTTCTCGAATCATCGCTACTTCCTTCGTCATCGTCGTCATCTTCGCTTGACGAACTTGATGAGCTATCAGAATCCGAATCGTCGTCTATAAAATTAATTTAATTTTAAAATAAAACATGGATAAATTAAATTAATTACCGTCTGTTACAATTTTTGGTGGTTTATATTTCTTTTTAAAAATTCTTCTTAAGAAATCAAAGAATTTGTTGCCGCCAGCCGCATCTTGAAAACTCTTTTGTATAACTTTTACTTCGTCTTCAGCATTTGCAATTTCCCTTTTGTAAGTTTCAATTCTATTACTAAATTGTTTTAAGATATCGTGTTGGTCTAAAACTGTTTCTTGTAAAGTCCGGATATCATCGGCAAGTTTGTTTTCGCCGGATTCGAAATGTTTTAAAATAATCAATTCTTGATTAAGCGTTAAAATGTAAAGATCTAAAAATTTTGCGTCCATCGCTAACTGAAGATGTTCTTTGTAAATTTCTTCCACTGCATTGTCGAATTTATCGATTTGGTGATTCATCTTCGATATGATCCTTTTTTGTTGAAACACTTTCCGTTTTATTCGGATTTGTTTAATTTCATCTTCCCAGGGGGAAATAACTTCGTCGTGTTCTAAAGCAACTCCGAATTGTAGACATGGGAGGACTTCTTTTTCTAGAAGATCATCGGTTGGTTCAGAAACCACCACAACCTCTAGCGGGGGTCTTTTTCTCATTTCTATTGGTAGATTTAAAACTAAATCTAAATTTTTTTCAGGAAAATCTTCATCCTTTAATTCAATAACGTCGGGGCCATTTTCACGATGACTTGGTGGAATTTCACTTTGAACGTCTTTTAATAAATTCTCTAAATCTTGTAAAGTATCTCTTAATTGAACTTTTTTATTTCTTAAATCGTGGACTTTTTTGTTAAAGTTATGACGGAGATTAAATTGCTACAATTTAAATAATTACAAGGGGAAGGATTAAATGATTAAACCGTACTCTTTCACGCGCTGTTAATAATTGTTTATATTTTTTTAATTTAGTTTCTCTTAAATGTTTTGGTATTTTATAATCATGTGCTGATTTTAATTTATAATCTCCAATTGTATCTAATGCTATTGAATAAGCTATATTATCCTCCGGATTATTAACACCATCTTTTGGTTTTGTTGCATTAAATTGATCCCACTAAAAGTTAATTGTTGTTAAAATTATTATCATAAAAATTATAACATTATTAGAAAAGGATAGATTCTTATAAAGATAAGTTAAAAAGAGATGGAGCTAAGTTTTAATTTTTGACATAACATAACCTAGAAATGTCAAACAATGACAGTTCAAAACACAACAGAGTGACAACAAGGTTTTTGCCGGCGTAATTTTCGACGTAAAACCGATAATCATATAAATTTATAGTATTCGTCATGTCTGAGAAGCCTCCTGCTTTGTTCGGGTGGGATTTGTTATATCAGAGTATCGAAAAAGATGTAAAAACCAACCAAGACGTTCTGGTATGTTTTGTCCATTTAATTTTAGTTTCAAATGGATTTAAATGTATCGGAATTGGTGAATCGAAAACGTTGGATGGTACGGAATCGAAAACTGAGGCTTTACCATCTGGTTGGAATGACGGTTATGCTATACGTTACATTTATCAAGGGAGATTGTATAATTTGAAAGGTTCAGAGATTGAGGATGGAATTATTATTAATTTGATACGTACTGATGAAAGATCTGTTTCTATGGTGCAACTAAATAGTAGGATGGTTTTACAACGTACGGGTTCGTTAGATAATATGATACCCGATAACTTAAACATATTAGATTTGGTTAAAAAACAACTTATTGACAAAGTTGTTGTTTCGACAAAAACTCGTGATACAAGTTCACAAACTCCAAAAGAACCACAAAGGTTAGTGAGTGATCAAACTCCAGCTCGTTTAATGGATCCACAAAGATCAGGAATAGGACCGTTTTTGCCACCTTTAGGAATTGGCCCAATTGGTGGGCCTATTGGTGGGAGCCCATTAGGAGTTGGAAGTAGTGATTTACATCCATTTGGAGCAAACCCTATGGGATTACCGCCTTTTGGACAACCAGATTTTGGAAGTGGAGGAATGTTGTTTGTTCCACCTAGGGGTGGAGGTCCATTTGGTCCAGATATAAATACAGGAATTCCTGGTGGATCTTTGCCACCTGGGGCACGATTCGATCCATTTAGACCACCAGATGTTGATCGCTTTCCAAGACCAAGACCCAATAATAATCCAGACAACGATGAAATGCCACCGCCTGGTTTTGATAATATGTTTATGTAACTTATTTTAAGCAAGTTTTTGATGGGTTATTATAATATTGGTTTTTTTTTTATAATAATAAAATAAAAAATAAAAAAATCGTTTTCAGCTTACTTCTGCTTGTCTTTTTTCAATCCGAATTTTCCTCATCCTATATTTTTTTAAAATTCGCATTATTTTTGCTTCTAGTTTGTGTTGGAGCGTGTAAGCGCTTAAACCAGATAAGAAATATTCTAGTTGTTTTGATTTTGATCTTATAGCGGGCATATCTTCTTTATCAGCAGCAGCACGTTCTGGAGGCCTAATTATTAAAAAAAGAAAAGACACGTACTTAACGATAAAACAATATGTTATTTATATAAATAATTTGTGTATCTATTTGCTAAAATTTTGTTTTTACTATAACTTACTTATCCTCCCGTTTTTGAACAACTAAACTTTAAAATTAGATATGAAGTAAATTTCTTATTTTTATAAAATATTTTTAATGTATTTTACAGGTATTTCATAATATTTGCGCAGGACTTCAGGATGTGATAGCTTATCCTCAAAAATGCACCATTTTCAAGATACAGGGTGTTGAACAAATCAATAGACTTAAAAAATTCAACCAAATTAACAGGATTCGCGTATGCATCATCCAGACATGAGGTAATATATAATTGTCTCTCGTTGGCGTATAATTCACAGTCTAGTAGGATATGCATTACCGTGAGATAAACTTCGCAGCCCAAACATACAGGTCTTGGTTCTCGTTTTAACAAATAACCGGAAGTCAGTTGTGTATGTCCTATATGTATCTCGCTAGTTTCACCTGTTCTGATCTATTGAAGATAATGAACTGATTCCAAGGTTTTATTAAGGGTTTGATACAGTGTAGAAAACATTCACTGTGTTGCCAGTCATTCTGCCACTTGTTATATACTAGAGATTTAAGTTGCCTTATGACGACATACACTGACATTAACATCGTCAGCCGCGTGTCCTGCTGCTTTCTCTGCCCTTTCATTACTCTCAATTCAGATATGACCCGGTACCCAAATAAATACGATCTGTTTTCCAGAAAGCAAGATAACATGTAACAATTCTCCAACCATCCATACCATCGGATCGTTTGGACATATTGCTTGTAATGATTTAACAGCACTCAACGAGTCTGTAACTATAACGAAGTTATTTCCATTATGACTCATACGGTTGAATAACAGAGCCTGGAAGATGGCATACAACTCCGCAAAGAAGATAGACGCAAACTCTGTAAGCTCCATGAATGAATCTCCTTTTTGGAACCATCAGTATAAATAAAAACAGCATCATCATAGGCATTGATTATATTTCTAAATTCAGCTCTAAATAATTCCCGTGGTGTACTCTCTTTAGCATAACATGTAAGATTTAAATTGAAAACGGGTTTATTTAACTGCCATGGAGTAAATTCAATACTGCATAAAGAAAGTAAGGGGGGCATCGTAAAGTCAAAAGTTCGTAGCAGTTCTTTGGCCTTTACTACTGCCGGTCTTGTGGCTGTTGGGAAAACAATATAGAGATTGGGTGCTCAGGTTGTATGCATTTTTTTACAAAATAATTAAGAATTTTCCAATTATGCCGATGGTGAAGAGGGGCAATACCAGATTCACAATATAAACTATGAACCGAACTAGTGGGAAAAGCTCCAAGTATGTATCGTATTGCAAGATTGTGTATTACATTAAGCTTTTTGAGTACGGTTATTATTGCAGAGGAATACACCATACTACCATAATCAATAACAGGTAATATCACACTTTTATACAACATCTTCAGCACTGTAGTATCAGCCCCCACCTTGCACCAGATAAAACGCGCAGTAGATTTAATGATTTCCGACAACGCGAAATAATGTACTGAATATGGCTCTGCCATCGTAACTTGCCATCGAATATAATCCCCAAGAATTTAAATTCAGGAACAACACTATACAACACTACACGATACTTTGTAAATACAAAGAGGGATTCTCTTGATGACGATATCGCCTAGAGAATATATCGCAGATACCTTATAACCAATCGACATGGTGTTTTCTAATATAGTGTTGATGGCAGGCTGAAGTGAATTATTAAGTTGTTGTACTGTGGATCCTTTCAAATATATACAAAGGTCATCCACGTACAAAGATCTTCCTATTTCTGGGTCAAGTCATAATTGGTGAAGATTTTGAAGGGGTAGTGGTTGTTTTTCTCCCCAACTTCTACGCCACTGCAAAAAGTACGGTTTTGAGACACCCATTTGAACCGCCAATGTTTTCTACACAAAAAAGGTACTGAGGGTCATGAGCTCTAAAGTTGACCGTATCACCTGTATCTCGAAAATGGTGCATTTTAGAGGGTAAGTTGATAGAAACTTTTTTTCAAATTTTTGGACAAGCTATCACATTCTGAAGTCTTGCGCATATATTATGAAACACTCTGTATAGGGCGTTATGGAGAAACTTCCTTTTTTGAAATGTCTTATTAGAGTGTAGAGAGTGAAACCCTTACGGGGTTTAGTATATTGGAATTAAATGTCTGATTTTTTTTCGGTCTCATTCGCACACATCTAAAGAACATTATTGAATACAAGAACACCTAGAGGCCGTACATCACACTGTGTTATTTCTATGAGTACGGAAATGCAATTGCCACCCGGATACTAACTGGACGTAATCTTCATTCAGACTCACCTCTGACTATTTGACAGTTTCGAATTACCGAAGACCATGTGAACTCGAGTCAGGATTTGTGTCACTTGAATGTTACTAACGCAAGAAATTACTAAGAGAGAAGTTATATACAGTGTATTAATTAATAATCGTACCTCGACGTCATATCATCAATATTGCGATTACATACTTGCAATGATGACGTCGGGTACGATAATTAATTAACACAGTGTACTACGAAGAGTTACTAATGCATGAAAATTCTGCATTCCTAACTAAGATGGATCGACCTTCCACCGTTCTTCTTCTTCAAAGACTTACCGGACGGCATATTCTTGAATGTTTTCTACCAACTGAAAAGAAAGAAAATCCCACTAGACAGTGTGCGGTCTGCAGTAGGATGCGAAGTGTCTCTATGTGTAACCCCATGTTTTATGTACCATACTGTAACCAACATTCAGACCTTCCGTGGATCTAGCGCCCAGCAAAATGCTCAGAAAATTATCAAAATTTTACAAAATAGTTCAAAATGATTAAAATTATGATAATATTATTTTAATATTATATTAAAAACTGAAATTATGTAAACTTGTTCAAAATCATTAAAAGCGCTATTTACTAACTATTTATCTAAAATTGTTTAAACTTGTCTAAACTTGTTCAAAACTGAAAAATTTTATAAAATATCCTAAAATGATCAAATTGTATTTAAAATTATTTAAACTTAGCTAAACATGTTCAAAAATATCAAAACTTTACAAAATTATCTAAATCTTTAGGCGAAATTGCATAAAAGTCCTTTTCCAATAACCCTTTTTCAAGAAATCAGAGCTTAAAAAACGTAAATCTATAGAGTGTCAATCAGTACGCTGTGAAATGTCAATTAGTAGTCAATTAAAATTTTTAATAATTTTTAGACAGTTTTGACCAATTTTGCAGTTTTTCAGGAAAATTTGAAATTTCAATACATTATACGGAACATTTCAAATCTTTTTCGCGAATTTTAAACCATTCGCATTTTTGAAGGAACCCGGCACTACATGACTCCCACTTCTATTGACGAATGAAAGAAACATAGTAACAGCGAATCGATTAATATGATTCGACATGGGAACCAGTCGGTGCAGGTCTCGGAATCGACAGTACAGTAATTTAAGAAAGAACACCACATAACATGATTCATAATAACTATTGACGAATGGAGGCAACACTATTTATGCATAGAAGAGGCAACAAATATATGATAAAACAAATTAGAATTTTGTGGTTAAGAAACATCACCGGAAAAACACTTCTGCTTTATTAATTTAGTCATGTTACAATTGAGTGTAGGAATATTCACGGGTAGCGTGCTGAGCAACTTCCGGTGTATAGGCAGTGAGTATCCTGCTGGCACAAGGGTACATCAAACCACTTCGTCTATCAAGTCATGATCTCTATGGAAAAAGTCTTGAACAATGTGCCAAAAATGAAGCAGCCTTTTGGAGAACTGTAATAACATTGAACCTGAATTACATAAACGCCCTAGAATGGTCCTTACTGCCAAAAATATGGTGGAAATTTTAGTTGCAGCTTAAAATATGATGGCATGACATAAGTACGAAGGAAGAGAATACCGGTAAACATCGCATCTGCTTTCAAAAGGACTGGAATATTCCCTTATGTTCGTCATGTCTCCAATGAAGAAAATGTTTTGGTAACCCAAATATCAGAACTTCCACTAGTTGATGCAGATCCTACAGTCTCTACCAAGCGTATTCAGATCGATGTAAATTTGTCATCAGTATGTAAAGGATTAATAAGCCCCCTAAAAAATGAAATAGCACCGACGTCCATGTGATATAAGAGGATACCCCAAGAGAATTGAGACAGTGCCAGGAAGGAATGGAAGAAGAAAAGCCAAGACCATGATTGTTGAATTTGGTGAGACTATTGGCAGTAATGCTGTTATTGAGTCAGAGGAGGAAGTTACCGACACTTATCCTCTTCATGATTCTGAAACATTTTGAGCAACTTCCAGTGTATAGTGAGTGAGTGTCTTGCTGGCACAAAGGCAAATCTAACCACTTCGTTCATCAAGTTATGATTCCAAGGAAAAAGTTTTGAATAATGTGCCTAAGTTGTAATAACATTGAACCTGAATTACATAGACACCCTAGGATGGTCCTTACTACCAAAAACAACGTGGAAATCTTAGTTGCAGCATAAAATACGATGGTATTAAGAAGTTCTAGCATAAGTACGAAGGATTTTTTTTCCAATGAAGAAGATTTTTTGGCAAGCCAAGTACCAGAACTTTCATTGGTGGATGCAGATCCTACAGTTTCTACCAGAGGTATTGAGATCGATGCAAATTTGTCCTCAGTGTTGTTTCAAAAAATGAAATAACAAGGACGTTTATAAGTCCAAGTGATATAAGAGGATACCCCAAGAAAATTGAGACAGTGCTAGGTAAGAAGATAAGAAGAAAGGGCAAGACCATGATTGGCACCGATACTCCGAAAAAAACTGAAAACGAAATTAATAAAATGGAAAAGAGAAATACAATAACAAAAGATTTGGTTGCAGAATTTGCTGAGACTATTGACAGTAATGCTGTTATTGAGTCAGAGGAGGAAGACACTTATTCTCTTCACGATTCTGAAACATTTTGGGCTATTGATGATGAAGATATTTCTAATATGACACTATATTCTACAAAAATCAGTCAAATTAAGCTCCATGATTTCTTACTAGTGAGATTTCAATATGATGTTAAGTCTAATTAAAAAATCAAAAATACTTTATCGGGTTATTGTAAAGAACAACTGTGAAAGGATGGAAGTGTGTCCCAAAAATAATTCTTTGATTGATAATAAAAAATATAAATTATTTTTTTTTGCTATAGGAAAAAAGGAAATTTCTCTGCAACACCCTATATATAAAAGAAATATATTTCTTTGTTATTTATACCTGCCTTTGAGTTCCGCTTCAATTAGTTTTTGTTCAACATACTCTTTAGTTTCCTCAAATTTGTCAGGTAATCTTTTCTGTCTTAAAATAGTAACTTTTATGGGTGTCCTAACGGCGGAAACGGCAATTGGAAACATATCTAAAGGATCAATAAAATGTTTTTTTAATTTTTCCATACGAAGTTCAGATTTTTCCAATTGATACGCCAATTTTCTTCTAACCAACACTAAATTTGCGTCTAAAACTTTATTAAGATCCTTCGTAATGCGCGGGTCCAATTCTAATTTCTCCCTTGGAATTCTTTGTGTTGGTAACAATTTTTGATTTTTCTTCAATATTGAAAGAAATTCTTTTTTTAATACGTGAATTTTATCGTAATACTCTTGTTTACGATCGTTGGCTAATTTATCTTTTCGATCCTGTTCCTTTTTTACTATAGTTTCCTCTAAACTTAAGTTTTTATAAGAATTTAAATCGTCCAATGAATTCATTGAACATTGTTTATGTTGTCTTAACTTAGCCATACTTGAATCGCAATATTCGTCATTTTCCGGGTTAAAAAGATACGAAAATATGTTTCCATCATGACCGCACGTAAAAAAGTATTTTTCATCATAACTGAAGCACATTTTTGGAACGAAACCGTTGTAATTATCGTGCATTGAAAGTTGCCAATAATCAGATAAATTTCTAAAATCCTTTTTTACTTTAACCACACGAATTTCGCCATTTTGCATAGCAAAAATCAAATATTTTTTTGTTGAACTAAAATAATGTTTATTATTTTATTAAGAAGGTTAATTAAAAGACTTACTTGTAAATGAAGTTATTAATTTCGATATCATCACTATGATAAATCATTTTAAAACGAAATGGCACTTCATCTTTTTGCCCGATATGATACTCATAAATGTACCCAGCATCGTACCCACTCATAGATACCCATAAAGTATTATCTACAGTGTGTTGGATCCACAAAACATTGTTAGGAACGTCTGGCACAAAAAGCGGTTCGAGTATTTCCTCACTCTCAGAATCAGCTAAAAACAACATTCAATGAATTTTTTGTTGGAATTAAAAAAAAGGATTATTTAAACCCAAAAATAATTCTTCATCCACTTCTAATCCTTCATTTTCTTTCTTATAAATTTCTAACGCTTTCTTTTTCTTTTCTAATTTCTTCAATTTCCTTGCAGCTACTTCTTTGAGATAAATATCTCTTCGTATTTGAGATTTGTACGTGTAAAATCTTTGAACAATCGGATTTACATGAAGCACATAAGTTATTGTTGTGTACTGTTGTTGCTCGTGTGGTAGAGGGATAATATTGATGTATCCATGTTCGCAACCAAGAATTACGGTGAAAACCTTGAATATTTTTACAATTTATTTAATAAAACAGTATATTTGAAAATGAGATTATTAGTATAATCGTGTAATAAATTCTTTTTATAATGGACTTTGAGCATGATTTGTGTGGTTTGTATATTAAATAACGTTTTTATTGATGCCTCATGCGGTTTCTAATACTGATACTAATTCGATTTGCTCATTTATTGTGCAAATAATCTGTCAGAAAAGATATGAATCATGTAGGTTGTAATCAATGGTTTATTTTATCATGTTTATATATGTATAAGAAGTACAAGACCCCTGTTACGCAAAACTCCTGTTAGTTAAAGTGATGGGAAACCGCAATCTAACATCTTTTCAAGTTAATTGTGAAGGCATGAATACAATACTCAACAAAAAGCTTTTGGAAAAGGATTTCTGGGTAATTGAATTGTTTAACCATCTTCCCCAGTACATACTGATACTTAAGCTATAAATGTTATGTTTATTATATATTTGCTATTCCCTGTAATATATTATTGCGGCAATAAATTATTATTATAGGAAAGAAGCTCTGCGGTGCTGCAGGAAAAAGGCTTAAATGGCTGCTCAAACAAGGGCTGACTCTTGAGGAAGCCCAAAGAAGTGGCATACAGCCTATTAGTGAATAGGAGAAGAGAGTAGCACTGAAAGTGATTAGCATTCCCAGCGGAGACAATCTTCCGCAGGAACAAAAGCCCACAGTTGTCAACTTCAAACAAGCATTAGAAGGTAAAAAGATGGAAATCGAGAGGGGCCCCTCTCCTTAGCTCGGCAGCAATAATAATAATTAGTGATGGAACGGATAGTTTTTTTGCAGGATGCCGCATACCGGATATTCGGCATCTCTTTCGGCCGGATATCCGGTTATCCGACATATCTATGCGGCCATTATGGTTATAATTTCTGGTACATTTCTGAAGTGATACCACACCCTACATTGCCACATTATTGCGATATTTGAATAAAAATGAAATTAATAAGAAAGCTAATAAGGTATGTCAACTTATTTGGATCCAAGATACAAAATGAACTTTTGTTTTCAAATATTGTTTTCTCAAATACTAAGTTATTTTTCAAAACGGGTTGATTCATTGGAAACGGGATACTTTTATTAACAGTTTGGGAAATTTTTATACTCATATTGCAAGAACTGGATTTTATACGAATTTTTAAAATTTAATCAGCGAAAATTGCAAAATTCGAAAAAATTGTCGATTATTTCAAAAATTTATTTCTCAAGAAGTAAAAGTGATTTTTCAAAACGGCTTTTTGCATTAAAAAGAGGATACTTTAAATAATAATTGATGATATTTCTTGATTATTATCTGCAGTGTCCAACACCTAAAAGAGATTTAAAAAATGGCCGGATACCGGATAGTTGTCAGATATTTATTCTACCACTAATGATAATAACCCATATAATATTTCTTTTTAAAAGTACTTACGTCTGTGTTATGAAATGTTATGTACGTTACTATATCTGAAGTCTGTACATAACCAATTGGTAATAATTCAATATACTCGTAACTTTGATCTTCTACAGGAACTGCCACTTTATAAACAAAAATAGTTGAATCTTCTCCAGCTGTTACTAAAATTTCTTCAGTGCTATTTAATGACATACATCTTAATGGTTTGTTATGTGGCTTTGTAATTTGTATAGTTGTTGTTTTATATTCAGTATGTTTATGTTCTTCTTTGATAGTTAAAACGACTATTCTTAAACACCCGTCGTCAAACCCTAAAATAAGAACATCTCCAGATGGATCGACCGAAATTGGTACCCACATCATGCATTTTCCTTTTGCAGGATATTGTTGAACCATTAATAAAGACTTTTTTATATAATTATAAAGCTGGAGACGGCCGTCGATTCCGAAACTGACGAAGTAATTTCCATAAGGGCATGTGGCCATATCAGATATTGCTCCAGCGTGGCAAAAGTATAATTGACGAGATGGTGTAACGTTTAATTCAGTTGTTAAATCAATTAACCATAAACCACCATTCCCATCTTGGGCATAATAAAAAGTGTCCTTTTCATCTCTCCCCCGTTTATCGATAGTCATGAATTGACAATTTGGTGTTTTGAAATTAAAAATTGGTTCGATTTGGACAACTCGATCATCGTCTGGGGGATCAGCTTGTTCAATTGAATCGTAATGCCACACTTTCACACTCCCATCCATCGAAACGGTCCATAACTCACCATCGATAAAGTCAAATTTAACAATAGGAGCTTCATGACATTTTTTTCTTAGTTTTCTAAACACCTCGATTTTAATTAAACCAGCTTCCCAAACTAATATGTTTCCCCAAGAAGATCCAGAAATAACTTTTTCATCAGGCATAGGATATATTCCCATGATATCTGAGTATTCGGTTTTACCAAATCGTCCCAGTTCGCCTTGAAGTTTTAATCCCGTAAAGGTTCGTATCATTTTCCAAAATTTTATATGGGCCAATCCGCATGTTGATAATTGTCCAGGGCAATAAGGGGAAAATAAAACTCGATAAACATCGCTCACGTATGATTTTGTGCGAAGAAGAATCCGAGATTTTCGCCAATTCCAAACTGTGATTAAATGGTCAGGCTCCCCACCTTGAGAAACGAGCAAATCGCCTTCTGGGCTATAATTTAGATGATGGAAACATTTTGAAGTTCCACCGCGAAGGAAGCAAACTACTTCTAAAGCAGGCCAGTCATAAATTATTATTGGGGGATGTTCACCGTTTTCAGCTATCGCTATATGTGGATATTCTACGTTGGGATTTTTCTTTAAAAAAATAAAAATAAGATTAATTTATAGAGATTTTTATTATTAATGAATTTCCTTACAGTCATATGTCCTAATCCACCGCCGAAAGCGCTTCTTCGAAACGTTAACTGCTTCGTTGGAACGTGGAAAAAGTTGATGAGATTTCCAGAGATAAACATTAAAGTATCCGGATCGGCAACAACCAAATTATAAAATTTCTTACAATCGTAACCATAAGAAAAACTAAATGAAATATTAAGAAATTTTTTTATGATGATTAAAATTAACACAAAAATTTTTGAAAGGATACTCAAATTCCAAAATATTTCTCGGTACGGTACTACCGGTTGTTAAATAAGGACCAGAAATTAAATTTTCAGCTGTTAAAATAACCGGTGGTTCTTCATAAATCTCCTCTTCTTCTTCACCAAAATCTTCACCACCAATAAAATAACCACTCGAAAGGTCGCCTAAAGTACTATCACCCGCTTGGCTTTCAGGTTTCGACATTTTTTATATATAATATTCTTTAAAACTCTTTCTAAAATTAACGATTACGTATTTAGAATTGTCAAGAAGACATTTAATCGATCAAATAGTAACAAACATTGTTGCTATAGATATTTCAACCGGAAGTAATATTTAACCTTCAAATCGAAGCTTTAAAAGTATTCAGATATAAAACATAAAATAATTGAGATATTGGTTTAAAATTTATTTCAGGTGCTTTTTTACACATCTGTACACATCTTTTAATTAAGTCATTTGAGCTGATAGTGATTTTGCGAAATGTCGGATATTCGGCATCTCCTTCGGCCGGATATCCGGTTATCCGGCATATCTATCGGTCATTATATATAACATATATATATCATCATGATATCTGGTCATTATGCTTATAATTTCTAGTGCATTTCTGATGTGATAAGATATGTCAACTTATTTGGATCCAAGATACAAAATGAACTTTTTTGATGCTGATTTAACTAGCGAAGCAACTCTAAAAAGAGGATACTTTAATAATTGGCGATATTTCCACAAGGATCCTTGGAACAAGGAAATTAATTCTATACCGAATTTTGAAAGTTATCGATGAAAATTGCAGCATAGAAAATTTTATCAAAACTTCAAATATTGTTTTCTCAAAAACTAAAAGTTATTTTTCAAAACGGGTTGGTTCATTGGAAAGAGGATACTTTTATTAACACTTTGGGAAATTTTCATATTCATATTCCAGGAAATGGATTTTATACGAATTATTAAAATTTAATCGACAAAAATTGCATAATTCGAAAAAATTGTTGCTTTTTCGGGTAGCTTTATATACATAATCATGATCGATCTGCAAGATGTTTCCAAGCCGTCTCCCACAGAGCCGAGTCATTGTTCCCAATCCACGATCTTACAGAAGCAGCAATGACTGAGCTACGATTGCTCTACGCAAACATTAATAGCTACCATCCAAAATCCCATATAATTGAAAACTTCACAAATTGCAACCGCATCAACTGTGCAATGTTTGTTGAGACAAAATCGAAGTTCAAGAACTGGAGAGTAATTGAAGAAGCAGGCAACGTGATTAATAGAGGCGTGAGAGGTGGAGCCGTGGTCATCTGCGAATCAACTGTGAGTTAAACAACGCTCTTCATTTTACTATCACGCTCGGCACAGAAGCACTGCATATCTATATATCTGGTCTACGTTCATCTACATAGTCAAATCGAAGAGTCAATATTCAACATGGCTTCTTTGCATAATAACTGTTTGATTATTGGTGATTTTAATCCAAACCCTGCTAAAAGCAAACACATCAACCGATTCGTATCTTCGACTAATTTTGAACGAATTAAAACTTCCCCAACTTTTATTATGGTAAACAACTCCGGACATGATCGTCTGCGCGCGAAACATAAGATCCCTGATAACCAGAGGCGGCGCTACCGGGGGGTGCAAGGGGTGCAAAGCACCCAGGCGCCGCTTAAAAGGAGACGCCGGCGCCTTCTTAATGTTTTCTCCAACAATATCTTATCTTTCTTTTGCAGTATTTAGACCTGTCAGCAGTATCTAGTCTTCAGAAAGCAGTATTTAATCTTCCAGAGCAGTATCTAGTCTTCAGAAAGCAGTATTTAGTTTTTTAGAAGCAGTATCTAGTCTTCTGCCAACGTTATGTATGTTTTGTTCTTGATACTGACAGCTACTTCTTTATGGAGGCATAGACCATCATCTTTTTTGGAGCCTCTTATTATCATACGCACTGCTCTACGCTGACGACGCCACTTTGGTGACACACGGTGCAATTATCACATCCGCAATCCAAAGGCTTCACGCGCTAATCCAATCCACAGAGAGTTGGCTGGAAAATGGAGAATCCAAGTTAACCTATCTAAAACTCAATTTTTCATTCCATTTCTTCCCATCCTCCTTCTCGCTCTGTAACCATCCAATCCACGATCATATCCCCCTCAACAAGCTGTAAATACCTGGGAATCTCGATAGACAGAAGATTGAAATTTTCCGACCATAGTATCAAGGTAAAGATGAAAGCGACAATTCGAGCAAAGCACTTCAGATTGTTAACATACCAGGGACGAGGCATATCAACAAATTGCGCCGCTCATATTTAACTTGATTATTATCTGCAGTGTCCAACACCTAAAAGAGATACTAATTCCTGTGAATGGTGGCGTACTAAGTAATAAGTTTTTAATATCCGCCCAAAGCCGGATATTTGGTAACTATCCGTTCCACCACTATTTAGAACCAATCTTGCATTATTTTATCACTCATATCGGTGAAAAAGTTAGCATTTTACGTTCGATAACCTCTTCTAACGTTGTTGACTTGTTAACATAAACCAACAATCTAACGTAATCCCATAAAAAGGAACCTATTGGCGTAAAATCCTATGAGCGAGGTGGCCATTACACAGTTATTGAACTTTCTCTTTAATAAATCAATTATTTGATCAGCTGTGTGCTGTATCGCACCATCTTGTTGAAATGATATATCACTTANATTGTTGCTTTTTCGGGTAGCTTTATATACATAATCATGATCGATCTATCGATCTGCAAGATGTTTCCAAGCCGTCTCCCACAGAGCCGATGGTTCCCAATCCACGATTTTACAGAAGCAGCAATGACTGAGCTACGATTGCTCTACGCAAACATTAATAGCTACCATTCACAAATTGCAACCGCATCAACTGTGCAATGTTTGTTGAGACAAAATCGAAGTTCAAGAACTGGAGAGTAATTGAAGAAGCAGGCAACGTGATTAATAGAGGCGTGAGAGGTGGAGCAGTGGTCATCTGCGAATCAACTGTAAGTTAAACAACGCTTTTCATTTTACTATCACGCTCGGCACAGAAGCACTGCATATATTTCTGGTCTATGTTCATCCACATAGTCAAATCGAAGAGTCAATATTCAACATGGCTTCTTTGCATAATAACTGTTTGATTATTGGTGATTTTAATCCAAACCCTGCTAAAACCAAACACATCAACCGATTCGTATCTTCGACTAATTTTGAACACATTAAAACTTCTCCAACGTTTATCATGGTAAACAACTATAGTACCACTCCGGACATGATCGACTGCTCGCGAAACATAAGATCCCTGATAACCAGAGGCGGCGCTACCGGGGGGTGCAAGGGGTGCACTGCACCCGGGCGTCGCCTAAAAGGGGGCGCCGGCGCCTTTTTAATGTTTTCTCCAACAATATCTTATCTTTCTTTTGCAGTATTTAGACCTGTCAGCAGTANTGCTGAAGAATGACTTGTAGTTAAAAAAATCGGAACCACTATTCAGAGGAGCTTGTAGAGTTATGTGCTTCCCATCCATTGCACCAACACAATGTGGAAAGTTCCATTTATCCTGGAACTCTCGGGCTATAATCTCCCAATCTCTCTCATTTTGTGGCATCTGTAACGAAAAATTTCTTTCAGATTAAGGAAACACTTCAACAAGAAGATGAGACAATAGAAGAGAATTCACTACATGCACCAACAGAAGAGAATCCACCAACACCTGCATCTTCTACATCATCTTCAAGTAGATCTTTTAAAAGAAAACGAGAATTTCCATCTACTACGCCTGTACTACACGAAGCCATGAACATTTTAAGGTCATTAAACACAAAGAAGTAGGAAAAAGATGAGTTCGCAATATTTGGTGAGCAGGTTGCCATCAAAGTCAGGAAATTACTATGTCCTCATGCTCGATTTATGGTACAACACATAATAACTAACACTCTCTTTGAGGCGGAAATGGGAAAAAACGACAAACCTTTTTTTGGGTCCCAACAATATCATTACCCACAACCCCAACCAATGGTTCATGCAAACTACTCAACAAATTTAAGACCTCCAACCACATCTACTACTCCTTCAGAAGTGCATTTGATTTCGGACACAATGTCTTCCACAACAGAAGTAACAGAAGATATTGATTCAATTTTGTGCCAATTATAGAGTTTTTTATTTTTTTATTTATGAATAAATTATAAAAAAATCTCATTGTATTTCTTACCTTAACATAATCTCGAAGTGAGTGTATTAATGCTTCACAAACGTCCGGTACAGTTCTTGAAATAACTTGCTTTGAAATTTTAAAAGTATACATAAGAGAGTGGTAAGAATCTCCTGTAGCAAGAAATCGCAATGTTACTGCTTGACGTTCGCTAGCTGGTATGGCTTGTCTAAATTTTGTATCGTTCTTGGTAATTTTGGGTCCTATCATATTTAGTAAATCTTCAAAATCCGAACTCGTCATTCGAAAAAAGTTTGTGAATCCAACATCACTTCTATATTCTAAGTTTATATTATCAGCGTCGTCCAATATTAATTCTTTTATTAAATCACTTCCCCGATATTTATTTCTGTTTCGAAGGCTTGGTCGAATCCAAAATCTTCTCTTCAATTTCGTGCGTTTTTTAACAACACATTCACTAACAATCATTTTCACTCATTTTCAGGGATAAATAAACGCAAATAGAATCGGGTGTAAATAGTCCGGCACGTACTCACTTTCTGTGTTGTGAGGACGTTAACTAAAATTTCAGCAAAGCCAATTGGCTTTGCCGATCGGTATTGCCAATCGGCATAGTGGAGATGCACCTTTATGTTAAGTCCACCCAATCTGGCTAAAAATAATCTTCTTACCGACCATGATTTTTAATAATTATGAGTTTTAACATTAACAGATCATAAAAGACTCGAAAATTAGGTTCACAAGAAACCTCACAACATGACATTTTATTATTTGTAACGAACTTCACAAGTTATTTTGGGGTGTGCTTGATTTCACTTAGGTTCATTAAAGTTCCCTGAAGATGCCCTACAACAAAAAAGAAAATCAGTAAAACGAAAAAAATATTAATATTAGAAATTTGTTAAATATGTTTCTAAAATGATTCACGAATTACAAACATTGATTCATCTTAATTTACATAAAAGAAAAAGTGATAATAAATTAAGGCATTTTTTTTTCTTTATTGACATTTCAAATTTGTTTAAAACATTTTATTTGTCATAAACCGGCTGCAGGTTTACCAGTGGAGTCGACGACGATTTCTGAGAATGTTCTAAGAACGTGAAATGATTCACGTTCGACCTGGATTTAACGCTCATTGTGTTTCCTCGCCTTGTCTTTGTTATTTGCGACAACCTGTCTGAGTTTTAAGTCTTAATAATCACTCAGCTATGCGGAAGAAACTCAAGGAAGTTTCCCTTTTCTTACCTGCCTTTAATAAAACCCAAAAATATCTTAAATTACCCCAAAAACAAATAAAAGAGGATCCCTACAATATTTTTTAAATAACTTGTTTGTAAAATAACGACTGTTTCGGGAAGCAATAACGTTTATTACACAATTTTGAAGTGTTCCAACGAATTTTATTTAAAATTTTCTTTAGAGTATCGATGATTAATAAAACTCGAAATCATTAGTTCCCCTTTTTGTGCATTACATTGCGCATTAATATTTCCAAGGTGATCGAGTCGATTACTCATCCAACGTTGAAATCGTTGATAAATTTCCCGGGATCCTCAGAAATCAAAGTATTTCCTAATATGAGTGGTTTTTCTTATTTCAAATATTCAACATTATTGTTTTTTATTTTATTATATTCTCAGGTGCATCATTTCTAATTTACGGTACAACTCATTGTTATCAATTTTTTATCTGCCCTACATTAATAATTTTTTTTCTTACCAACCTTCCCCATTTCCTGTACGTATCGTTATCAGTATACGTTATTTGTAAATCAACACACATTTTATCTAATTTAAATAAATTGTATAATAAGATTCTTTGTTTAAACTTAAATGTTAACATTTATTAAATTAAAAAGTATGCAAAAATTACCGATAAATATAACCCGGAAGTTGATAGTTTTAAGTTTATTTCTATTTCTAGTGTTAGGTGTAGTGTTAGTTCTAATGCTAGTGTTAGTTCTAGTTTTAGTTGTTACTCAGCGTTAGGTTGTTGTATATTTCTATTAAACTAAAACTAGAACTAACACTAGACCTAATATTATAACTAGATCTAATAACACAGTGAAAACCTACGAAATTAAAAAATAAATTACGGAAATAACAGGAAATGTCGTCATATATGTAATCTAGTATTATAGGGAAATGAAAACCGAAAGGAAGTAATATAACGCAATTCTTAAAAAAAAATTTTAAAATAAATACGAATTAAAAAAACGATTTTAATTGATGAAGTTTTTAACGATGAAAATTAGATGGTTTTTATGCTAAATGATGTTAATCATTGACTCATCATTGTTTAAAGGTCAAGAAATGTATTTTCCTGGAAATTTCAAAATAACTTTTGTCTTATTGTTAAACTAAGAAATCGCACAATTTATGATAAACCAATATTTTCAAAGAATTTTTAAATAATTGTTAGAACTTGTCTAAAATTACTTAAATATTTTCAGAAATTTTAAATTAATTATAAGTAATATTTGAAAGGTGTGGTGGTTTTGTGGTGTAATTAACATTTTTAACTATAAAATTTGGGTTGTTTAAATTCTACGAACATTTTTTATTTAGCAATTAAATTTAAAGTATGCAAATTATTGATTTAAGGAGTTTGCTATGAATCTAATAATTTTAGGAACGTTCACTATTTTATTTATTTTTTAAATATTTAGAACGCTTTAAAAACTTTTAGGAAATGATAAAAATCTTGCTTACATTTTTTACCAATTAGGTGCAACATTGTAACAAAAATGGATTGTTTTAGTTCTATGAAAATTGCAAAAACAATTAATTTAAATTGTGTGAAAATTTATGATTCTAAACATGAATAATTGATGTGTTTTTATTGGAACGAATCTTTTTTGTGACAACTCTAGGTTATGTAACGCAGTTTAGCAATTATTTATAAATCATATTCTGTATGATGGCTATGTTATTTTTGTATTTGAATCAACAACATAAATTTAATGTTACAAATGTAAATCATACTATAAGTATGATGTTTTGGTCGTCTATGTTTATTTGAGACAAAATCTGTGCTATTTGTGACAAGATATCAAAAACCAGAAATTGTGCCTTCTGTACATCAGAAGTACTCAACACATTCTGTGCGTATTTCATTAAATACCAGCCCTGGACTTCATCTCCTTCAACCCAACCCCACTTTGGATAGAGTACACTTTTTGCTTCCTCGTCTCCACTTATGGCAACTGCCCAATTCATTTTCCGTTACCAAATCTTATCTTTTCTGAACGTTCTTGCTCTCTTCACTCATCTTGATCTTTAAAATCGTGCTACAATGAGATGGGCTAAAGTAGGTTCATGCAGTTTTATTTTATGTTTTTCGAGACTAAAATCGTGAAGCGTATCTATATCTGTACTAAAAACTGTGAAGTCACGTTAATTACAGATCCGCTGAAGGTGTACTGACTAGGGCTTTCTTGTTTAAACTTTGTAATGCAACCTTTACTCCACTTAACATCTTTCTTGGAAGTTCCTTATTGAAGGTAACTCCAAGATAATGAAAAAAGTAGATTCCAAGTAGCTTGGTAAAGCAAGCATTTTTACTATTTTCGCAGAAATGATAACATTATGAGGAATAATACTTCATTCTTCTTCTTGTTCTTTTAGCACTACAGCTCGGCGTGGGATTTGGCTACCTCCACTATCCTCTTGCAGTCCTTTAAGTTATCAGAATTTTTACATCGTCTTCGTTCCTAGTTCTTGTACCTACCATGTTCGCCTTGAAGATTTAACTAGTAGCTTTTTTCTTATTCATTCTTATAAAGCACCCAGCCCATCTGAATAGAAACCCGTTCTGGGATGACCTGCCTTATCTGGTCTTTTACTATACAATATTGAATAATTCTTCTTATCTACTCATCCTCCACCTAATTTGGAATTTGGAGTACCACAACATCCATCCTGTATTTCAGCAGTTCATCTCCAATCTCCATCATCCTTCCAGTCTATACATAGCATGGTCTTCGTTGCTGGTGTTTGTCCTAAGATTCCGAGGCTGTTTAAGTTTCATAACTGTTTTGTTTCTTCAAGTTGAGGTTGTTGACTTTACACCTAACCTCCTAATAGACGGAGGATCCTCTTTCTTTAGCTCTATTCTCGTTTATCATCCATACGGGTTGGTTACCGGATCTCAGATGAGGTTGATTAGGTTACCAAGGTTTACCATATTTGGCGGTGAGAGTCGAAATTGGATAGAAGAGGCTATGCGACAATCTCTTTATGTACAATTGTTGTGTGGTCCACAGATAAAAGTATAAACAAACAATTTATAGTCGCTCCAGTTTCTTCGTTTATTGGCATCACCTAAGTTTAATTTAACTTTTATATTGTTCATTTTTTTACTCTATTTTTGTATTATTTTATAACCCAGGATTTGTCATTCTTGTCAGTCCCTCAAAGTTCAAATATACCCGTCACGTTTTCGTTTCTTGTTTTAGGATATTTAAAATTTTTCGTAATAATTTTCAAATGTGTCTCATCAAGGCTTATCATCATGGTTTCAGCACTGTTCTGCCATGTTGCTTCTCCAGAATTAATAATCTTGAGTCTCATTGATGCTGCTGAATCTGAATCGTAACTCTCTGACGTATTTGATCTGGTCCCATTACTCCCACTCATTAATTTCCCAAAATAAAGAAATTCTCTCTCAGGATCAGTTCTAACCAGACATCTAATAACATTACCATTGAGGTTAATTAGTTTCATAACATCGTCGCAAGGTTGGTCATAAAACCCGAATCTGAGCGATTTAAAATCTGCTTTAAGAAAGCATTCAGAGCTTTTGTATTAAGATGATCTCGACTTGGCTTGCTCATAACCGTTTCTTTGTCCCACTGACATAATTAGTCACCGAATAAAGATTTACCTTGAATTAATTGATACAATTGTATTAGAAGTCATGCCTGGAATAAACTTTTAGGGTAGGAAAAACATCCTGCGTTCTTCATTGAAATTGGAATGACTACATTTGGTCTATGACTATTAAGTATAACGAAAGTAATTTTGTTAAAATTGTAAACAGATATGAAAAATGAAAAGAAGTTTCATAATAATTAACTGACCGAAAGCTACTGAATTATTCTTGTGGTAAAAAAACTGATTACATACATAAATTACCAAACATTACAGAAAAACCCAACTCATTTCATACTTTCTTGGGTGTCTCCAACCAAAGATATTATACTAAACACTTCCCAATAAATTCGACATTCGACTCTTAATCATCAAATGACTAAGTAAATACGTTTTTAAACGAATCACCCGCATTCGTCGCCGTTTTGTGGGGGTATTCGCCGCTCTCCAACAAAAACTTAGCTGCCGTTCATAAACTCGTTAGCGTTCGAGGTGTTAACAGTCCGACAGCGGTGGCGCTTTTTCAAACGAAAGATTCAGTTGTACCGCGACATTAATACAAATTCAAAATATAACGTGACCCCTTCAATTAAACAGTTTAATAATAAAACCGTTTAACGTTTTCATCCTGTGTCCTTTTGTTAATAAGGAAGGGTGTCCTCTCTAATGTTTAACCAGAAACGAAACCAACATCGTCCGGAAGAAAAGGATTTCGCGTCCGAAATAATTTTTTCGAATTAAGTGAAGTTGATAAGTGAATGAATATGGTTGCGTTAAACAATTCAACTCAATTTTCGGATTTAGTCGAGTAAGTTATTATTTTTTTAAATGTTTGTTTTATATTTTTTTTAAATTTTTTTTTTCATGGGGATAAAAATATTCTTGTGGGAAAAAGTAGGAAGGCTTAAAACATGTGGTTATCATATGGTGGGGTTAAAAAACGATGAATTTAAAGCAATTTAGATTTGTTTTTTATTTATTTCGACCTTTTTATTTATTAATTATCCTTAATAAGTTAATGAGTATCGAGAGATTTATGTTTTTATGCTGGTAGTGTCTTGATTTGTTTAGTTCCGACCTAATTAACATAATGGATAATTTATTTAAACGCTCTAGTATTTCAAATGAGCACGTGTAATGAATTATTTAACACATAAACTTAATAAAGAATTATGGTGAAGGGATTTTTATGTATTAGATTTAAAAATTTACATTTCACATGATATATACTTAAAATTTAGTAAATAATGAATTATTCAAACACGTGGGAATAAATTAAAACAATAACTGAATGAGTAATTTACATAAAATTGTTTGTTTATTTATTGGTTTCATCAAGGTACATATTGCCAATTTGTTCTAATTACATTGTTTATTGTTTCTTCTTATTTATTTTTTTTATTTTTTGTTTTAGATACTCCAAAACTATGATTACAATAGCAGGAGTGATAACATTAATAATTATGGTGGTTGGAGTGTGTGGAAACATTTTAACAGTCGGAGCTTTGGTGAAACATTCAAAAATTAGAACTGTGGCAGCTGCGTTCATTGGGAGGTTAGTGGCTTATGCCGTTTTATTTTTATTAACTACTCCCATTTTTTTAACTATTAATTGAACGACGCGAAGAGACTGTGAGGAGTGCATCGTTTGATGAGGGCATCTGCCTCTCTTAATATGATTAATTGGTCTAACAGTTTATTTTCTCTCAACGCCGCTTTCTATTGTTTACGATCATTCATTTTTTTTTCATTTATTTTCTTTGTTTACTTCATTTATATACTTTTTGAATCGTTGATTTCATTTAACTTTAATAAAACTTTTAATTATGAGATACGAACATAAATAGCTTTCTCAAATTTTGTGATAAAGATGTAGTAATAAGTAAACATTTTAGGCGCTCATTTTTAAAGTACACATTAGTATCTTATATTTAACAAATATTTGATTTTAAATTCTCACTTTTTAATGGTTTCTGCTTAATAAATTATGCACAAAGTTTTACGTATAACATCATTTAACGTCATTTATTTTAAATATATTTCGTAGGATGTGGGTTTTGCTATTATCTTTAAGTATAAATACCGCAAAACGGGGAATTTGAATGATATCGAAATCTCCAGTAATATTTTCTTTTCTATGAATTTATTTACAACACTTTGAAGAAATAAAAAAATATTATAAAACAAATAGAAAATTTATTATCTATAATGAAATTTGTATTATTCATTTTTTTTGTAATGTTTAATCATGTGTTACTAAAATATTCATGTGTTTTCATCATTGCTATCCTATTATTACATTAATTTTTTTTCAGCAACTCCAGTTTATAAATCATCTATGCGTGGAAGTTCAGTGTTAACCGTTAAAGTTTGATATCTATATAAACATACTCGATAGAAACGATTTACTTTGCGCAAATAAGCTTCTTGCGACTTTGCAATAACCTCCAATTCATGAATAAATGCAATCATTTTTTATTTATTTGCATCTAAGAAAATATTCTGGTATATCTTAGTAACCTTAAAAATAAGGTATAAGATTCTCGTTACCTTAAGATATATCACTCTCTCTGTTTTCAGTGGTTGTCCAATTTCTCCGAGAAGACATCTATGTCTTCTATAGTACACATCTCTTGGAAAACCGACATCTGTGCCAGATTCTTTACTTGGTCTATATCTTTTGACGTTTTGCCATCCAATCTTTCCCTATACCATGCTATTTTTCCGTATTGCATGACCGAAAATTTCAACTATGCGACACGGAATTGTTGGTAGTATCTCTCATTATCGTGTATTTTTAGTTTTTCTAGAATACATATATGCATTTGTGCTATATGCAGTCCAAGATATTCTCAACATTCATCACTAACACATCATGTCCAAAGTTTCAATCCTCTTCTGAGCCATATGTTGCAATAAGAAACACTAAAGATTTCAAAAGTCTTATTTTAGTTTCCTCCAGTCTCCCCAAAGCCTCTTCTGCCATTCGTAATCCTTTCTTTAATTCTTGTTTTGACCCGCCCCTATTCGTTATTTTCGTGCCCAAACAGATGATCTTACCCTTAATCTCTATGTCATGGATTAGCAATGTGTTAACGGTAAAATTTGCTACAACTTTTCTACTAAAAGTTTTTTTGAATCATGCTCGGAATATCGATTATTTGCATTAACCACATGTGAAACTACGAATTCTTCTAATTTTCATATTTTCGAATTTTTCTCGACATTGATGCAGCTGAGAGCAAAAGTGTTAAAGAGCAATGTGTAACGGGTAAAATTTGCTACAACTTTTGTACTAAAAGTTTTTCTGTATCATGTTCGGAATACCGATTTTTTCCATTAACCACATGTGGAACTATGAATTCTTCTAATTCTCATATTTTTCTCAACATTGATGCAGTTGAGAGCAAAAGTGTTACAGAGCAATATGTAAAGAGTAAAATTTGCTACAACTTTTGTTCTAAAAGTTTTTCTGTATCATGCTCGGAATACCGATTTTTTTCCATTAACCACTTATGAAACTACGAATTCTTCAAATTTTCATATTTTCGAATATTTCTCTACATTGATGCATCTAAGGCAAAAGTGCATAATCGCTGCATCAAGTCTATAATCATCAAGTGGCATTTAGATGTATTCCGCACTTCAGACTTATTTGGTCGATTTGTTGTAAAAGTTCGAACATTTCTTGTTCATCTTTAACAATAACACTGATCGATAAAAATTTGCCACATGAACTTTTTTGGCATTTGTTACTTTATTTTGACTCCCTAAGGTCCCTTCATCCAGATTATGATAATATATGAGATTATGATAATATATGAAGTAATATCATTGCAATAAACTAAATTTTCTTCTTGTGAAAAGTATTTTTTAGGGAAACTACCTATCTTAATATCTAAATAAAACAAATTCCATTCTTTCAATCTAGATTCTAATAGTTCAGATTGCTTTTTTAACAATTTCAAGTCACGAATCAGATCAATAAGATCACCTTGAGTTAGTAAATGAGGTTCCTTACTATCAGGTACATAGGTTGGAGCAAGAATTTCATCTGCAATTGCATTACATGAAGTAATCATCATTTGCAACGTCATTTATACTGCATGATGAGGAAGTGGTCGTGTTGCAGAACGTATATTTGCATATTTCACAAAATGTTGTAACGCCATATTTATCCCATTTATATAAGTTAGGCAAAAGTAGCAATCAGAAACGTGGTATACAGGCTCTGTCCAAATCATAAGTTTTCCGAAAGCCATATATCGCGTTCTTTTTGCCCAACCTGTAAGATTCTTTATGCATACATCAGGTACCCAATTCTTATCTTGATGAGAGACAGAGAATCCAAAATAATCACGATAACACAGCTTTATCAGTTCAGTGAAATTTCGTCGTTGACTTTTAAAACTTGCTTCACCACATTCGTAGGCAAAAACTGTTAAGATGATTAGCTTATGTATGCGAAACTCACAATTTAACACTGTTTTAAATGAAAACTTAGGAGTAGTGTTAGCGGAAAATACTGTAAAATCATAAGTGGCTTTCACAATAAATCTGTGAGTGACAGAAACTAAATAATTTGTCTTTTGTAATGAGGTTGTGTAATAAAGTAATAATTAGCATTCAGAATTCGCGTGGCAAAAACTTTGTCGATAGATCTTTCATCTTTTTCACTTTATATCATAACTTGCAATTATCATACTTCAAAAAGAGGACAGCAAATATAACTAATTATTTATCTGTAGTTTGCTTTCTTCTGGAAACGTTCTTTCTATATTTCATCAAATTTACTCCTTACATTTTGCCTTCATCAAATAGACAACGTTTGATTCTTGCCAATCGTCAACGACTACTCATCAATTATAGGATTCCTCCTTTTATATTTGCAGAACTTTTGCACAATGCAAAATAAACCAAGTTGATTCCGCAGTATAAATAAGGGTAACCAAATTATTTCGTGGGGTGGACGAAATGAATGAAAATGCTTGCTGGGGAGATGTGATTAAGAATTTGAAGCCAATAATATCCGCAACTAACAATTCTCAAAAACATTAATCAAACATATAAAATTGTATAATGAGCACCTGAAGAAGAGATAAAAGCATAGAAGTTTCTTTTATTTTCATCTTATTAATATGTAATAACTAATAAAATCAAGTTATATTTTTTTATTATTTTTTTGTGATTATTTAATCATATTGAGTGGCACTAAAAAAAAATTCGTGCGTGTGGCCTCATTGTTATGCTTCATACACCCTAACAAATGCGACATTTAACCGATTGTATAACGGCGGTGTAGCATAACCGGAAAGAAAGATTGACATCCGTGAAATAATAAACACAGTAGGCTTTAAACCATCGTAAGGTCTGAGGTCGTATTTATTTAAACTGATGATCTAAACAATGAAAATTTATTTGTTAAACCATTTTAAAACAAATTACTAATTACATTTTTTCTTTTTTTTTAGTTTATGCATATCGGATTTATTATTCTGTTTCCTCGTCTTACCATTCTCAGCGAGTCAATTTTTCAACGGAGATTGGATTCATGGCGATGTTTTGTGCGCGATAATTCCACTTTTACGTTATTCCAGCGTGGGAGTTTCTCTCCTTAGTATAGCGATAATTTCGATTAATAGATATATTTTAATAGCATGGCCATCGCTTTATACCACTATTTTTAATAAACAGAAAGTGATCGGTTATATCGCTTTTATTTGGTGTTTTAGTTACGGCATAATGATTCCAACTTTAGCGGGAAAATGGGGAAAGTTCGCTTTAGATGAAAACCTAGGAACGTGCTCAATAGTTGTAGATAATAACGGTAATTCCCCGAAAACCGCCCTTTTTGTAGTTGCATTCATTATTCCTTGTATTATAATTTTAGTTTCTTACGGTAGAATATATTGGGTAGTTAGAAAATCGAGTAAACGTGTACAACAACATACTTCCGGTACGAAAAGAAGCGAAATGAATATTACCAAAATGGTTTTAGCAATTTTCTTTTGCTTCGTCGTTTGTTATTTACCCTTAACTTTGGTAAAAGTTTTTGATAAAACTGTGAGTAACCCTCCTTTCCATGTTGTTGCTTATTTATTATTGTATTTATCCGCCTGTATTAACCCGGTTATTTATGTAACCATGAACAAGCAATATCGCAGGGCGTACTTTAACACGTTAACATGTAATTTTACGAATACTATCGATTCAAGCACACCGGTACATAATAGTAAAAGTATGGCGGTGATGTATGCGAAGAATGTGATACAATCGCCTCATTCCAAAGGTAGCATAGCTTAAAATTATTCCTGTATGTTTAGTTAAGATTATATTTGCCATTAGAGACCAAAATAAGCGGATCTTTGCCGGGTTTATTTAATGTTATAGTTACCTGACTGATTTATTATTGTTTATTTCGAGGGTATTATTATTACATTTGTTGAGTACAAAGTGTTCATTTATTCTAGTTAGGATTTGTGTGATTAGCCTTTATATTAATGGCGTTTGTATATAATCATAGACTTATTTATGAAGAATTATTAGACATTAAATAAATGTTTTTTTATATATTTACTTTGTTTTATTTGATTGGATACCTCTAGGAAGAAGAGTATGGTGGATATGATACATGACTTATTCTAAATGTAAGAATAATAGCTGGTATTATTATTCTCCAATCTGTTAAAACTTGTTAAATCAAGTTATTTACCAAGCAAATCTAAACCAAATTAAAGAAAACATTAAACACTTAATATCACAGTTTGTGTTAGATATTCAAAGGCAGCTCAAAAGACAACACTTATGAGGATTGAAAGTATAAGTGCTAAAGGTTTGTATGAAATTCCTCCTGTAATATTTTATGGATTAGTACATTGAGATCTTTCTTTCTCTTCATCTATTATGCTATTTTGGGGTGTTGGTCCAGAGTAACACAAAAATATTCAATTTGTTTGATTTCCGATTTTCATTGCTTTATTAGTTCCATATAACATAAACCTTGTACATTTTATTCCATGATTTCTAAAAACAAATTATAAATATAGTATTATTGTTATATTATTAAAGAAAGTAATAAAACAAAATTTTTATTATTGATTCAGTGTAATACATTAAACTTTATCTATTAAATACTAGATGGCGCTAAATCTATTTTTGATAACTAGTTTATCCGTTAAAATTTATATAAACTTAATTTATTGCATTTATTTACTTTATAAGCTTACAAATTAGTTAATAACTTACGATATCTCCTTCCTTTTAAAATTAATAAATAAAAAGGGTTTTTAAACCAAACAATTTAATAACTGATAACTGTCAAATTTCTTTTTTGACAGAAGGTGGCGTTAATCAGAATCGGTAAGCCATGTTGTGTTTTCCAATAATTTCTCTTAACGCGATTTCTCCTTGCAATAATCCACTAGAATTCTAATAACTTACTCACAAATAGTGTTGTAGTGTTTTGGTATAAGTGTATTGTTAATTGGGCATGTGTATAAATGGCGGAATACGGAACTTCTTTTCGCCGAACCAGTAGCGGTAGCAACAGGGAAGATCCGAGGTTAACGCGAAGGGACAGCAGCAGCGCGACGAAAGAGTCTTCGCCGGAAAAAACGCAATCAAACTGGCAAAGTCATTATTCTACGATGCAAACATCGTATCAACATTTACAAGGAACCATGTACAGCGATGTGAGTTTAAAACATACCTAAGTTTGACGAGTAAAATGGGGTTTTATATTTTTCTTTTTGTTCGCCTTTTAACGTGTTATTGATGATACAATTTTTATAGCCTAACCAATACCCAACGCCGGGTTATCAAAGCGCGTACGCTGGTTATACAAATTACAACCCGTCGGGATATAGTTCGTATGAGGGCTATGGACGCGAACACCAGGCCGCCGGGTATGGAACGACTGCGGTAAGTAAATCGAAGGGGGAAATAAAATTTTTATGAAATACGCATCGGTGCGGCATTCACCAGGCACAAATTTTACAGAACCCGTACGCATTCGACGTATATTAAGTTACAATCAATCAGTCAAAGTTTAGATCTAAATTTATTTGAGTATGCAGGAATGTTTTTAGAAGGTAATCGAAGGCAGTATTCGCGGACCACATTTTTAACTTTTTATTATAACACGTCATTTTCTTTAGAATATGCAACCAGGACCGCCGGGTGATGCATATCCCCAAGGTGGTTGGGCTCCAGTTGGTTCTGGTTATCTATCTAATCAGCAACAGACCGGTAGTTCTACAGATAAACAACAACATTCTGATGGTAAATTTAAAAATATTGTGGTTGTATCTCAACAATACAAAGATACAGCCAGGGTTGCCAGGTTACACACATAGAATGTCCTGAGCCTCCCATCTAGCGGCGACGACATGTAACTAATAAAGAAATTTACAGTAACCTACAATTCGAGTTGAAAATGCATTTTACTTTGATTTTTTTAACACTAATTATTATATTATTTTTGTAATAAAATCGTGAGAAGTACATATCCAATCGTGAGATTAAAGGTAATATCATGAGATCTCACGATAAATCGTGAAACCTGGCAACCTTGAATACAGCCACTTTAATTAAACTAAATATTTTTGTATTAAACTAAATAAAAATATTTATTTAATAGGTATTGCCCAAGAAATAGAACATCAAAAAGCGGAATTAATAAAGCAGAGAGACGAGTATAACAAGCGTGTTTCTGTTCTGCGAAAGGAGTTAGATCTCCTCAGAAGACAAAAACAGCAGCTGATGCAAGACCACAAATCGGACAGGGATACAGATATGATACTGCGTGAAAATGGAAAATTACAGGTAAAAATAATAAAAAGAAATGTAACCACATTTACGTTGACTTTGAGTTGAGTCAACCTGAGTGTGTGTTTTACTTATTATTTTTTTGTAAAATACCAAACATGATGCTCTTTTGGTAGAGGTATTTATTTTAATTTCGCAGTGTGTCCCATTTTAAAAGACGACGACGTCTCGGATATTCACAACCTAACTGGAATTAATAAAAATCTTAAATAAAAAATTAAAAATTAATTTAAAAAACTAAAAATTTATTGCGCAGTATGTATTTGATTTGTTGAATAATTAAATTGGTTTTGGACGTGGATTATTGTAACCGGTCCGGTTTTTATTTCAGATTGAAATACAGAATAAATTGAAGGACGCGTTCAAAGTAATCGATATCTTTACTGGACTAATAGGAGACGAAGGAAAACGCGGCCGGAAGGAGGCCGATTCCGAATCGTCCTCCCCCTCGACGAAATCAAAACGCCAACCAAGCGAAATGCCGTTTGATTCTCGTTGCAATTATGTTCACTATGATCCGGAGTTACATTGGTGCCGAATGTGCGACATTTTTCCTAAAACTGCCAAAGATCTGCTTATTCATCTGCAGAGTAAAGAGCACAGGGCCAATGTACAAGAAGATGAAGCTCCGTGGCATAAATTGCCACCAGAACAAGAATTTCCTTATATAGAAGGCGCCCCAACAAAACGTCATCCCATAAAAGGTAAACAAAATACAATTAACACACAATAATTTTTTAATATAAAGTAGAATTTAAGGTGAAATGTATTTATTTATAAGTTTGGATTGATTTATAACAATTGTTTACAAATGGATTGATAGTAAACATTCATTGTACTGTATGTAATGGATTAAATTTTGGGTAAAAATACCCTAAAATGTGTTAACACTTTCGAATTTTTAGGTTTACAATTTTTCGTCTCTACAACAGCTTGGTATTGTCGCTTATGTGACTCATGGATAGGAGATCTACATTGTGCATCACTCCATTTAAAATCAATCAATCATTCACAAAATTACTCGGTAAATATTTTAAATCCACTACCAGTCAACATTAAAGTCATAGTTAGCGATATCTTCTAAATTGTTTAAGATTCAAAGCTCATTTTTACAAATTGAACAACAAATAACCATGAATTTATTTTTTATTTTCAGAGTGAAAACGTTTTATCAATGGGTTTTATTTGTTAACTCTGTTGTAAATTTATCTGTTAATGTTGGTGTTAGCTTTATTAATTTAATCAGTTGTTATCTTGTGGGTTATTCCTCATTATTCCAGAAATAATAATAATAAATTCCTTTATTGATCAATAACAAATTGCAAAAACTGAACTGTTTCTTTATAGTAACATCTAGTGATGGAACAGATAGTGATTTTGCGAAAAGCCGGATATTCGGTTATCCGCCATATCTATCCGACCATTATGGTTATAATTTCTGGTACATTACTGAAGTGGTACCCTACATTGCCACATTATTGCGATATTTGAATAAAAATAAAATTAATAAGAAAGCTGATAAGATATGTCAACTTATTTGAATCCAAGATACAAAATGAACTTTTTTGATGCTGATTAACTAATAAGATAACTAATGAAGCAACTCTAAAAAGAGGATACTTTAATTAATAATTGGTGATATTTCCACAAGGATCCTTCAAGAAATTAATTATTAAGTTAATTAACTAAAAGTTATTTTTCAAAACGTGTTGGTGCATTGGAAAGAGGACACTTTTATTAACACTTTGGGATCTTTTCATACTCATATTCCAAGAAATGGATTTTATACGAATTTTTAAAACTTAATCGACGAAAATTACAAAATTCGTAAAAATTGTCGATTATTTCAAAACTTTATTTCTCAAGTTTTTCAAAACGGCTTATTGCATTAAAAAGGCAATACTTTAATTAATAAGTGGTGATATTTCCACAAGGATTCTTCAAGAAATTGCCGGATATCCGTTCCACCACTAATAACATCCAATATCTGCCTAGTAAATGCATCTGAGAACACATTCATTCCTTGCCTCTGGATATACTTCTATTTTTTCGTTATTTACAAGTACATTTACATCACTTGGATTTAAAAACATACTATTTTTGATTTTGTTGGATTTAAATGCAATGACATTCTATTACAATAATCAAGTAGCGATTTGAGATCCTGATTTATAAGCGAGCAGGTCGACACAAGAGCATGTCTTGGAAAAAAAATATACAGCTGAGTGGCATCAGCATACATGTGAACATTTAAGTGTTTAAAACATGAAGGTATTTGAGAAGTGCAAATTGAGAACAACAGGGTACCCAAAATGAAACCCTGTGGCACACAATCATTAATAAGTAAAGCGGTAGAGCATTCATTATCTACTTTAACAACTTGGCTGCACTTGGATAAGAAATTCGAAATCAATCTGATTGCCAAACTAGACAAAGTAATGCCATTGTGCTATGAGCATCTGATGGTTTCCTTATCAAATACCTTACTATAATCCAACAGTATCAGAATACACATAATTCTGTTTTTACGCGAATTTGATTTAAAGCGATTAAAAAAATATACAGCGTCCGCCAAAAAGTCAGCAACACCCGTTTTATTTCTGTTCCATTGCATCAACGTTCCTCATCAAATTTAGCTTATATGGGAGGATCATACCGATCTTTCGATCTAAAGTATTTTCAAGATGGTGGCCACTTCCGGTCCACCGGAAATAGACCTCAACTTCGTTATTTTAAATGGAATGTTATAATTTTTATTGCATCTTTTAATTGTATGTGAAAAAATATGTTGACTTTGATAAATGTTATTGATACCTAGCATTTTTCGTTTTCGAGTTATTTTGATTTTAAGTTTTTGTTTCGTAAATTTCACCATGCTTTTAAAACCCCATATCTCAGCCAATATTCATTCGAGAAAGCTCTAACTTGGTACGATTACTCTTCAGACGATATTAAATTGATTGTCATTTGTTGATGTCAGAGTATCTTATACAGGTGATCAAAAATTGAATTATCGTTTCTCCATATTTAATGGCAAGAAAGCTGTAAATTTTAAATGGAATGCCCCATATTTTTTTAACCTAGCAGAGAGAGAATTAAATTTTTTATCCAAACCTAATTTTTGTTTTCATTGTTTAATTCATTTGTTCTTCTGTTTGATATTTTTGGTAAATAAAAGATAGTAAACTAAAAGATTATTAACCGAAGTTGTCAAAAACTGTCAAAATATCATGGTCTAATAAATAGCAAACTCCCTTTCTGGTGAGTGATCTAATAAAATATGGGGCATTTAAAATTTTCGACTTTGTTGCCATTGAATGCGGAAAAAAGGTAATTCACTTTTTGACCATCCTGTATAAGATACTCTGCTACAATAAATGATAATCTATTTGACAGCATTTGAAGAGTAATCGTGCCAATTTAGAGCTTTTTTGTATGAACGTTTGCTGGAATATGGAGTTTTAAAGAGCATGGTAAAAATTGCCAAGAAAAATTTAAAATCAAAATAACTAGAAAACGAAAAACGCTAGGCACCAATAACTTTTATCAAAGTCAACTTATTTTTTCGCATATAATTAAAAGGTGTAATAAAAACTATAGCATTCCATTTAAAATAACGAAGTAGTGGTCTACTTCCGCAGGACCGGAAGTGGCCACGATCTTGAAAATACTTTAGATCGAAAGATCGGTATGAACCTCCTATATAAACTTTAATTTTAGAAACGTAGATACAATGTAACAGAAATGAAGCGGGTGTTGCTGACTTTTTGGCGAACACTGTATTTCACTTCTTTTTTAAGCGATTTAGTTTGATTTAACGCGATGCAACAAATTTTAATCTAGAATAATTTTGGCACTAATTGATAACAAACCTAAACATTTGATACATTTATTCTTTACTTATTACGTATAAATAAATAAAATTTTTATATTTAATCACAATGTCGATTACAAAACAAACAAAAAGAAAAGCTATTTCTTTGGAAGTTAAAATCAATATTTTGGATAATTTAGCTAGTGGAATAGTACCACCACTGTAGGGCAACGTTTCGGTTTAAGAAAATTCACCATAAGAACTATAAAGAAAAATGAGGAAACGATTAGGAAATCTGTAATTGCTTCACAAGAGACATTGTGAAGCAAGAAATGGAAAAGGCTCTTGTAATATGGATGGAGGATATGTCTCAAAAACGAATACCCGTTGACGGAAATAACATCAAGCAGGTGGCATTAAAGATTTACAACCAAATCAAAGAAGCGGAACCACAAATATCAGGCGAGAAAAAAACAAAAATTTAATTATCTGCAGGTTCGGGATGGATGAATGATTTTCTACAACGACACGCGCTACATAATATAAAAATAAAAGGTGAAACTGTCTAAAATTATTGAAAAAAGTGGTTACACTCAGGTATAGAATGCAGCCGGAACAGGTCTTTTCTGGAAGCGTATGCCAAATAGAACATACGCAGCTAAATCTCAGAAAACTGCCAGTAAGTTTAAGGCAACCAAAGAATGTTAAAACCACGTCTATGAAAGGTGTAAATTTAGACACCTTACCAGTTTACTGTTCAGCTAATAAAAAAGTGGGTGATTAAAGAAACTTTTAACGAATGGTTTATCAACCATTTTATCCCAGAAGTGCGGCGCTAAATGAGCGATAAAGGTCTTGAATTTAAGGCTCTTCTGACATATAGAACACCCGAATAATCTAGTTGAAAGTAAAAATAAATTCATCGTTATTTGTGTTTCTTTCTTTTATTATTTATCAAATACATGTAATTTACAGCCTAAAATTAGTTAAAAAGCTATCGCTATCTGACAAAACAAGATTCGAACTAACTGCATTAAATAACGCAATATTAATCAATTTTTTTTAGAATTTTGTTGAACAGAATCCTCATTGGGAAATCGAATGGTTAAAAGATCGCGAAAAATCGTTAAGTCGTCTTTCTCGTCATAATAAAAGTTCCGATTCGGATGATTCCCACGAGAAGAAGAAAAAACACAAGAAACATTCTTTATCGCCGAATCAATCGCGCGATAAACGTAAGAAAAAGAAATCGAAGAAACGCCGTAAAGATTCGAGCGAATCTAGTAGCAGTTCGAGTAGTTCTTCGAGTTCCGGAGAGGAAGGCAATAAAGATACATCAAAAAGTATTCACGTTGCAATGCGTAACAAAATGAAACTTCAAGCGCAAATGTTAATGAACGAGGAATTAAGTGGAAAATGGGAAGCGATCGGACGTCTCGTTGAAGAAAGAAAGAAAAAGGAAGCTGAAATCGTTGAGAAACACGAAGAAGATCAAATGATCAATCAATGGATGAGTGTTAAGCAACCTCAAGATAAGGATAAAGCTCTTCTTTCGAATTTAAAGGATCGTCTAAAACAGAAACAGGAAGCTGAAAAAGTGAAATTTGCTGAAATGGAACGGAGACGTTTGGAAAAAGAAAAAGAAGAAAGAGAGATGAAAGAACGCGAAGAAAAGGAGGCTCGCGAACGAGAAGAAGCAAAACGCAAGGAAAGAGAAGATTTGGATCGATTGAAGGAGATTCGAGAACAGGTTAAATTTAAAACCAGAAGTGGAAGCGATAAAGAACGATATCGAAGAAAGAGGTCGTCATCAAGGAGTCCAGATTATAAACGGAGAGACTCAAGTCCATCTGGGGACCATAGAAGAAGAGGAAGTCCTGATAAACATAGAAGGTAAGATAAATATAAAACATTCATATTTATAAAAAATTTTCTTTTACATGTCAAATTTAACGTCTAGATATGAAAATGGTAATCGTTCATCTGAATACGAGGACAATTCTCGTCATAAACGAAAATATGACGATAAAAAAGGGCCACCACCACCACCTCCATATAAAAAGTTACCATTCATTGGGCGTATGCCGCTTTTTAAGAATAAAAAGATGGACGAGAAATCGGAAAATCGTGAGGTGAAAAAAGAAGATTATGATGTACCGCGTCCTTCGCGTTTCCAGCCGGGTAATTTAGCCCGTGCTTTTATTCCCGAACCAGAAGTGGTTTGTTTCCCCAAATTATCCTGTTATCCAGAAATATTACCTCCACCTCCGCCGGTAGTCCCGAAAATCGCTGAACCACCAGCGCCCCCAAAAATAAGCGAAACAATTCCAAAAGCTCCACCACCTCCGAAAATTAAACCGGAAGAAGAAGAGAAAGAAACTGTTGGTAATGAAACTGCAAAGGATTCCAAATCGGGAGATAATACGACGGTTGAAGATATGATGATTATGGAAGATGAAAGTACAATTAATCCTATGAGCGAATATCAAGATCCAGGTTATGATTATTATGATTACACAATGATGTATCAGCCGCCTGTTTTTGATTATAATGTAACAAGCGATAATGGTGAGGATCAAAGTGGTGTACCTTTATCGCATACCATGCCTTTACAACCGCCTCCATTACCGCCAGATGACCCCAACGATGACCTCGCACTTTTGGGGTTAAGTTCAGATGATTTAGCTGTTCAAATGGTTAAGTAAATTTTATTAGAATTCGTTCCAACTTTTATGGGATTTTTTTTTAATTGGTTTAGTTTGGCTAATTATTATTATTTTTTTTTTGGTTATATTTAAGTATGATTGTAGTGACACGTTTGTTGAATAAATCGTTCTTAATCAATTGATTTTGTTGGAAAAGCTGTAAAATCAAATATCCTTTTAACTCCAAGAGATTAAAAAAAAATCAAACAGCCTTTCTCCTTTTAACTCCAAGAGATTAGAAACAAATCCGTTGATTCCAAATTATATTTCCTTTATTTTTTCTAAATTTTAACAGATGTATCTAGCAGGAGACTTATTCATCTTGGTTTGTGGACACTGGTAATTTCGGAAATTAACAAAGTATGTTCTAATTTATTTAATATAGAAAAATTGATTTGTTTTAGAAAGGGGACTGAAGCCAAATAGAAGTGTGGTGATTGTAGAACTTTTGGAATTAGTTTGCATTTTAGTCAATTTTTGTTGCCAGTTTTCACACCACAAAATTAGTATGCTATGCCAACTGCGCATAAACTTTAAATTTTTGATGTTTAACTGGGTTGAATTCTTATCCCTTTTAATGAAATGATTTTTGAACATACTTTAGAGATCATCTAAAGCCATTAAACAATAAGTTATTATTTTAATTAAAAATATTTTTGTCGCCCGCTTCTAAGTATTTTTTCCTTTATTTCAGCATTTTATTGAAATCACTAAATTCAAAATTACATCAAAAAAATGTATTTACATAATGTTATTTTTTTAGATTATCTTCTTTTTTATTGTTACCCCCAGTTGTAATTATTTCTCTTCTTCCATAAAAAAATCTATTATATTTAACAACAATTAATTAAACTATACACAACAACGATAAATCCAAACAAAACAACAATTTAATATCCACAAAAAGCAGTAATAGAGTTCATTTCATATTCATTTCACCTTCCCTCAATCAGATATTTAACAAAAATCATTTTTTTTAGTGTCCTATTATCATTTTAATGATGCGTTACAAAATAAAATCCATTATTACTTGGCCTTTGATCAATATTTACACCTTCACTCCAATGCTTTCTTGCGTTCCCTCCTTCATTCACAGGATTTTGCCTTTTTGATTTTCTTTTAGATTTCTTTGATCCTTTCGAACTTCCTTTGGAACTCCTCTCAACAGTTTTTGGAACATATTCAGTGTCAGCAACATCATGATCACTTCTTTCATGACCTGTCCAAATAATATGTCTGGTTGGTTCACGGTGTTGATGAACCGGATGTTCATGGTGGTAAGCTTCCTGGTGTTGCTGACCCCATTTCTTTCCCTCTTTACCGCCACCTTTTTTGCCATGTTCTTCGTGATTATGATAATATTTGGAGTGTTTATCCCCTTTATTATGACCTTTTCTATCATGGTAATGTCCACCCTTTTTATGTTCACCTTCCTTGTGGTAGTGATCGTGATGTTTGCCCGAATCGCGATGTGAACCTTTTTTACCACCGCCCGATTCATGTTCTTTTTCTTCGTAATATGCGCCTTCATCTTCTTCTTCACTTTCATCATGGGATTCATCGAAGAAAACTTTTTTCTTATCGTAATCATCTAAACGATGGATTACGTGTTCACCTTTGGTTGACCAGCCTTTAGAGTATTTACCATGTTCATCATACTACAAAAAAATATAATATTAATTGGAAAAAGTTATTTTTGGAAATTACCTCAGCATCTTTGCTTCCTTTTTCAGCTTTTTCATGTTCGGCGTGATGGGAATCATCGTAATGGTGTTGTTTTTTCTTTCCTCTATCTTCTTCGTATTCCTTTTCATGCCCTTCTTTATCATGATGTCCTTTCTCGGCTTTTTCGTAATCTTCGTGGCCTTCAAATTTCTTTTCTCCTTTATCTCCTTTTTCACTGTGGTGCCCAGAATGTTGTTCACTTCCTCCGCCTTGTTTAAATGAAGCAGAAGCTTCTTTAGGTTCACTATGGCCTCCACCTCCTCCACCACCACTACCTCCTCCATGTCCACCTTTTCCTCCATCCTCTTCTTCATCATCCTCATCATCACCACTTTCATGAACTTCAGTACCAGCTACAGTATTATCTTCGTTTTTATTTTTAGAATCCTTTGGTGTAAAAGAGAACGCAACGGGTTTTTGAAGGATTTTAACGTTTGTTGTTGCTGGTTGTTCCAAAGGTTCTTTAGATTCGATTTTTTGGGGATATTTTTTGAGCTTTCTTGGTTTGGGAATTGGTTTTTCTCTTATTGGGGCATCTTCTGGTTCGGATAATGTTTTGATGATTTGTTCTTTTATTGATTTGGGAGTTTCGGGTTTAAACAAATCTTGTTGATGCGGTTCTAATTTTGGTCCATTTAATTTGATTTCTCTTAACGTTTCAACTTTTGATAAAACTTCTTGAGGCGGTTGAACTTTGGATAAAATGTCTTGTGGTGTTGGAACTTTAGTTAAAACTTCTTGTGGAGGTTGAACTTTGGATAAAATGTCTTGTGGTGTTGGAACTTTAGTTAAAACTTCTCTTGGAGTTTCAATTTTACTTAAAATTTCTTTCGATACTTTTGGATATTCTACTTTTGGGTAATTTATATTCGGATAATTTTCTTTTGGGTAATTTTCTTTTTGATAATCCACTTGAGGTGAACTCACTTTTTGGATATTAAGTTTAGCCAAATCGGATTTTCTCACATAAACAACTGGTCTTACTATTCTTTTCGGTTGTAAAACTTGTTTTTTAATATTTTTCACTGGTTTTTGAACCTTTGTAACTTCTTGAAGAGTATCGTACACTTTTTGTTCTAAGTTTTCAGCGATTGGTTTTTCTATAACACGATAATTTGGTGGAGGCGGTAAAACCTTAACGATCTTTTTTTGATTTTGTTGCGTTATCAAATCCTTTTTGGGTAATCTGGCTCCAAATTCGTATTTTGGATTTTCGTTTGCATATACACCGATTAAAAATAGGGCACCGATTAATAATAAACGCAGCATGAAGCTGCTGTGTTTATGAACACTCATATTGTTGATCACTTTCAATATGATTCGAGTATCGACTAAAGGAAAACTAAAGAGCTTGTGTCCCTTCCTATCGCTTTTATAGACATTTCCTCTCTCGAAGGTTTTTTTTTATCAGATTATGCGGATTGTTACACCTGGCTGAACAAATTCGATATAGAACCGTAACCACTTCGGAAATTCAACAAATTAACTACGGATGCCGGAGTTTTTATTCGTTTTACTTTTAATTTTGCCATAGTTGGTTTAAAAGTTTGAATTGTAATGAATGTTAATTATGATATGTGCGTTCAATGGACTATTTTTTGCGTTGCCAACGGGATTATTACTTAATAGATTTGAAGTAAGGAACCGAAATAGTTTTCGTGCCGTTTTAACGCTTTCACCGATATAGTTTTTAGAAAAAGTTTAGGTCTACAAATTATGTAATACAGTGGGACAAGAAAAATGTAACCAGGTGGAGAATTTCAAACGATAAGAATTTAATAAATAGACTTTCTCCTTAATGATATTACAGATTTCATTTGTACTTGGATTTTCTTTCTAGTTAAATAATTTTGAAATTAAATGGTGGGTTTTATAATAACATAATTATAAGTTAGGTTTTTTTGAGATCTTATTGTGGTTTGCAATTTTACTTTTATCTTTCATTTTTTTATGGTGCAATTTTATGAAAAATTTCTTTAGGTTATTGGGAAAGATATCTTCTTATTTTCTGACTTTTATATTTAATTTTATATAATTTATTGTTTCAAAATATTTGTTTGATGAAGATTCTTACGAAAACTATTGGAGGATAAACTTTAGGATTTTTGCCGAATGTGTTTTTAAGAAGTCTCCATTAGCTCTATTGGACGAACAGAAAAATATGTGAACACAACTGAGATACAACGCTCTTTGGGTATAACATGTTGAGTATATCAAGAATAAAACTAGGTTTTAGATACATGATGGGGTTTATTGGCAACTACAATGACAAGAAATCATTACACTTAGAGTCGTTTGCACTTAAAGGTCTCCAATGACCCAGATATTCCAGAATCCATACAACCTAGTGATTGATTATGGAAAACACGTCCAATTATTTCAGAAATTGAAATGTTTTTCCATCGATGAAGACACCTTACCCTACACAGGAAGATTTGTGAAAAAGCAACTGGTGAAAAGTAAGCCAAGTACGGGATACAAATTTTTGTCGCAGCGAATTACTGACGGATTACCATTAGATTTATATTTGTAAAAGGTCTTCAGTGAAATCGACTTTGTACCCGACACATAGAAAGTTTCATGTATACCCTGAACCAGTATATACTGGTTCAATTTACTCTGCTTTTAAATTTAATGTATTGTCGATTTCCTTTCAGGGTTATAATCGCATTGTAAAATAATAAATGCTTGTTCAGGCTAGTTTGTTCTACTCATAATAACAGTAATGATCTTATTAACCTTGGTATGATCGATGATTAAGTACTAACAGTGTAGCGAAGCAGATTTATTACCTGACCCCGGACTGTTTAGGAATTGTGCGCTCCACAACACGAAGCGAATGGTTGCTTCTGCCCTTTTTGTTTTACATCGCTAAACATTATGACTGGAGCGACTGGTGTGCGTGTACCTTGTAGAAGATATTCCACGCCACCTTTTGCCAGCTGCTATGCCCTCTAAGGCATTCTTTGGCACCACGTGTCCAAAAAATGTTGCAATGCTATCAGCCACCACCACTCGCAATCTTTTTTTTGTTTCAGTTGTTGTATGGACTCATTTATTCTCCTTTGTGTAATCGATTTTCTTTTAATTAGTTGTTTTTAATCACAACTCTGATCTGTAAAGAAAGATAGAGAAGACCAAGCTCCTTACCAACCTCATTTTTGTTGTCAAAGTGATTACATGACATCTCCATATGTTTGTCTAGTCCTAGCTTCCTTCGTTAGAGATTAATGGGCCAAGGTAGATCAACGTATTGATTGTGACGATATTACCCATCTACACTGTCTAATATTATTTTTGTCACAGTTTCCGAAGTTTCATAAATCTGTTCATGACATTTTTGCAGTTTTATGTTTATAGGGTGTGATATAATTCATCAAAGTTTTTTCTGTTTCAACAGTTTTTTACAAAGCAGAGTTCAGAACTTTTTGGAAGACTTGGCTTACCTATTTGGAATTTCCAATGTTATCTATGGTACCATGGCTTGGTATATTTTTCACTTCTAGGTTCCTTTTTGCATCTAAGACGACACACTCTGTGAAATTGTACTTGCATATTGTTACTACGGTAGTATTAGCTACCTATATGTTGTTGCTTCGATTGCTCTTCTATTTTTTTCAGTTTATCGTATACATAACATCTTCTTCTCACAATGAGTACACTTACTCTGAGCAGTTACTCTGCTGGTAGCATTGTTATAAAGTATTCCTTTGGGATTCGTTTCAAGATGTTCTGCCATGAAGGTCTTCCTACTTTTTTCCTTCTCTTCCTTTATTATCTCCACATATTGTTGCATTCCTTATCTAGTAAAGCAGAGTGATTTGACTTTTCAGAGGTATAATAACGCTCTTGCTTCATTGATACCTCTTCCTTAGTCTCCTCCTTTCGGCTTTTCTATTTATCGTATACATAACATCTTCTCGCAATGAGTTACTCTGAGTTGTTACTCTGTTTGCTGGTAGTGTGCATTCTTATAAAGTATTCCTTTAGGATTCAATTTGAGATGTACTGCCATAAAAATCTTCCTATTTTGTTCTTTCTCCTCATTTATTTTCTTTACATATTGTTAAATTAGCTTCTTGTTTCAAAATATTTAAGGCTTTTGCTCTCTTCACTCTGTATTTGGGCATTTAATGATATGACCCAACAAGGTAAAATATATTGTTCTGAGAATTTTAAAGATAACTTATTGATGAAGCTGAAGCTGTACCATAAAATTATGGATTCAGGCCGAAGAACATCATTTAGATCAAAATATGATAATTTGGATCAACTGGTAAAAAATCAAAACAAATTGATTTATTTATTATAATACAATTTTACTTATGATTTCTAGCATAACAACCTAATTGAATGCTCCAAATTGTTGAGGTAAAATATAAATTCTTCTGGTACAACTCAAAAGTAGAAGTTACATTTCTGATAGCCTAAATAACATCGAATCAAGTACATTTTAAGAGCTAATGTTTCATCAACAGCTATAACGTACGCCACTTAAGTAAGTATATTAAGCTATATTAAATAACATTGAATTTATTGATTGCTCCAATTCAATTCTTGCAGAAGTGATTGTAAACAACCGTATATGAAATTCAAATTTCAAAATTTGGTAATCACGTAGTTAAAAGTTTTTTTTGTCACGATTTTCTGGTTTATTTTGCAACAAACACAGTTATTGCTCCCTGACATAATATCCCAGAAACCAAAATACAGTCACTAGAGTGTAGCCAATGGTGCGAGCACGCGGTGTGTAATTGAGGTATATTTTTAAAATGTGTATGAACGGCGCAAATATGTACAATCACCGGACACCAAAACCAGACTTTCACATAAACACAACACACATACATAAATTTACAAGTTTCTGTTTCCCTGTGGGCGTCAACATTATTATTACTTTATCTTTACTAAGAGATAATAGCTCAGCTTACAATTTCGAGACATATTTTTGCTAAATTTTTTTTTTTTTTATGTTTAATAATTTATCTAAATAAAATACCTCGGTGGACAAGACCTGGTTTAACGTTATTAACCGTCCAGTATTAAATTTATTTCAAATTTTCACAGTGGTTTGATAATGAATATTAAACGGTGAATATTAACGTTGATAAACGACGCGATATTGCATCGTATTAACATTTTCTATACATTTTGTGTCAAGTGTATATGGTTAATCGCCGCGTGGGAAATCGATTTTGAAACATTTCCTTTAGTTCCTTCCTGAAACGTTTTAATTTAATTATTTCCACTTTGATTATACAACCTAAATTAACGTTTAAATTCGCGTTCATAGAATATTTATTTAGGAATGAAAGTGTCTCATTTATAGTGAAAGCTCTAATAGGCGGACAACAATCTTGGAACCAACCCCAAACCTATATTTCTTTCTTAACACTTACACATACATTTTATTTTTGATATTAGTAGAAAAATATGAGATATTTCCAAACAATTTTGTAATACTAAATTTATTGAGTGAGAAAAACATCCAAAATGGTTCAGTTTTAGTTCAGCTGTAATAACATTTTTAATTCGATGCATTATCAGAAACAACTAGTATAACTTTATTTGCTATATTCCAATCTGAAATTAAGTTTCTAATTTCAATAACTAAGTTTTTACCTGAATGGTGTCCTTCCATTATTTTACAATCTAGTAAAATCGTTTTTAATTCAAAGTTTTCATTTATCATATGCGCTGTTAAAGCTGTATAACTTTTGGTGTTTATGAAGCCTCTTACCAATTCTTGGCATTTAAATAGCATTTTTATAATAAATTTGGAAGACTTGAAATTTTCGGTAGAGACAGAAAATGTTGAAATTGAGGGCAAAGAGGATGATGAGGTGAAGAAGGATCCAATCACATTTTATAAAGAAACATTGAATGTAATTTCCAAACTAAAATCATTCGTTATTTGAGAATGATATTACATATTACATATTATGTGTGTGTATTTACGTCTTTTCTCATAAACGGACAAAAGTAATGAGACCGTTACTGTCCGCTTATTAGAGCTTTCACTGTATTAAATTTGGAAAAAACGTTTTAATTAATTCCGAAATTGTGTAAGGTTTAATCTTTTTTAACTATAAAAACTTTGATAAAACGATTATGAGAAATTTACTTGTTAATACCATTCACTACAGTTTAATAAAAAATAATTATAACTAATGTTACGTGTATTAATGTTATTTCCATTTAGAATGTAACATTAATCCCTGTATTATGCAATATTAAGTGATAGGAACTTAATATAATATTTAAATACGTTATGAAATGAATCAAGATAATCCATAGATAATCAACTAATCCTTAGTTTATAAATAAAAATGATTTTCAATACTTAATTATGAAAAAGAAACGTTCCAAATCAAAGTTAAACAATAATTAATAACAATTTAAATAAATTAAATTATATCTGTATGATTTAAATTATACGTGACTAACTTCACTTACATGAAATGTCAATTAAATTATGTGCGCATGCGTTTTAAACGTCAAAAAATGTCAAATCTTCGGTGATTTGGTTCGTTTCGAGTCGTAATTTTATCTCGACCAAAAAAAAACCATCCATTTATCTTTTTTAACGCGTTCTAATCAAATATCGTAAAATACTCCGTCATGTAACTGAATCGCGAAAATATAAAAATCGTTTGTAGTTGTAGTTTGTAGCAACCGTTTGAGAAAACGTCGAAGATGGTCTCTATTATAAAGAACCAACTGTTGAAGCACCTTTCAAGGTTTGTAAATCCCAATTCGAATCAATTTTGTACATTTTAACCGGTGTTTTATAGGTTTACGAAAAATCTATCCGCGGATAAGATCAATTTTAGCACTTTTAAAGGTGAAGGGGAATTAAGCAATTTAGAATTAGATGAATGTGTGCTAACAGAACTTTTGGAGTTGCCTTCATGGCTCAGGTTGACAGGAGCTTGGTGTAATAAGGTGTCTTTTAGGATACAATGGACTAAACTTAAGAATGTTCCTATTGTTTTGGTAATTTATTTATTTTATTTTTATGATCTTTATGCTATTTTTTATTGTATTTAGAGTTTAGATGAAGTTAATGTAACAGTAGAAACTTGTGAAGAACTCCGTTCTATGGGTTCTGATCAATCAGGACTTTCATCTTATGCAGTTCCTGGAAAATACAGTATAATTCATAAGGTTATTGATGGAATAACAGTTACAGTTAATACAGTTAATGTTACATTTAATAGTCCAGCATTTACTGCTAACGTTCAAGTAATAAAATGTTTTAATTACCAACATGACTAATTTTAATTGAGTTGTTTTTTTCAGATTCAAAGAATTAAAGTTGAGTCAAAAAGTCCATTATGGGAAAAAGCCGAATTAAGAATGACGCGCTTAAAAGAACAAGGAAAGGGACAAATTTTAATTTTCAAGGAATTAGAATGGCAAACATTGAGAGTTGAAGCTAAATCTACAAAAGATAAAAACCTCACTCCTTTACGATTGTTGACAAACCAAGCAAAATGTAGGATAACGATAAAGAAGAGGTTATCAGGTGATGAGTCACAATATTTATATGCTATTATAAACTTAATTTTACAATTTAATGTTTTAAATTTATTTTTAGACTCTTTTATAATGGGATCAAGGTTAGCTATTATTCTGGATGACCTTCTTTGGGTCTTAACTGATTCACAATTAAAAGCAGCCCTACATTTCTTGGATTCTTTAGCTGATTTGGTGCAAAAAGCGACTCAAGTGACTAGAAAAGCTAAAGCAGCAAGAAAATTAGAAGTAATTTTTTCTTTATTATGGTAAAATCTCAATTAATACAGGGAAAAGAATGTCCATTATATTGAGGTTTTACTGTATTTCATTTTTAAATAAATTTTTTGCAATTCGCGACGGTAATGAAAGCTATTACAGTACTCAAACGGATGCTGTAATGAGAATCCTTACAGCATCCAATGCTGTAATGAGATTTTAGTAACATTTTATGAAACCAGTTCAAGTTGGTGACAGTGGGTCATTAATTTTTCTAGTACAATTTTTGTCTATGGATGTTTAAACACAATTTCTCTTATTTTGGGAGGTGTATAGTTCGTTTTTTTTTTTCCTATAATACCCTTGTTTATAGATATACATAGTTATTCAACCGATCGAGTTGGGTTGCTCTAGCTCGTGCTGCCTCTAACGGCGAACGAGAAAAACATCATTTATGAATGAATTGAATAAAATTGGAAATCCAACTTGTAGTAGAAGTTGCATACTCAGAATAAAAGATTAATTGAANTCCTTTACGATTGTTGACAAACCAAGCAAAATGTAGGATAACGATAAAGAAGAGGTTATCAGGTGATGAGTCACAATATTTATATGCTATTATAAACTTAATTTTACAATTTAATGTTTTAAATTTATTTTTAGACTCTTTTATAATGGGATCAAGGTTAGCTATTATTCTGGATGACCTTCTTTGGGTCTTAACTGATTCACAATTAAAAGCAGCCCTACATTTCTTGGATTCTTTAGCTGATTTGGTGCAAAAAGCGACTCAAGTGACAAGAAAAGCTAAAGCAGCAAGAAAATTAGAAGTAATTTTTCTTTATTATGGTAAAATCTCAATTAATACAGGGAAAAGAATGTCCATTATATTGAGATTTTACTGTATTTCATTTTTAAATAAATTTTTTGTAATTCGCGATGATAATGAAAGCTATTACAGTACTCAAATGGGTGCTGTAATGAGATTTTAGTAACATTTTATGGAACCAGTTCAAGTTGGTGACATTGGGTCATTAATTTTTCTAGTTGTCAATGTGACAATTTTGGTCTATGGATGTTTAAACACAATTTCTCTTATTTTGGGAGGTGTATAGTTCGTTTTTTTTTCTATAATACTTGTCAATGTAAATTTTTTAGGATTTCTGTTGGTATTATCTAGGACCCTATAAAATTTATGTTATTTTCCTGATTTTTAGTAACATTTTCAGTAACTAAATAGTTGAGGTTACAATACTAATAAATTTTTAGGTAAATACGATTTTAACCAAGTACATATTTATTGTAAAAACGTGCTACATAGTAATTAAATAGAACAAAACACCCCACAACATTTTTTATGCACCTTGTCTTTTTGAATAACGAAAGCTCAAACGTCAGTGTAACATATTTATTTCAAAACATCATATAACAAAACTCCCTGTTAATTTTGCCAACTTTACAACAATTTGACGGGTATTATAGAAAAAAAATGAACTATACATGAAACATTTTTTTTCAGGTGAATACATTTTGTGTTTTGATAGATTCTAATTGTCAATTCAAATTTCTATTTTCAATTGTTACGGTGTTACCAACTGCTACATACCTGTTTCCCTACATTGTCAAAATTTATTTTATTTTTGTTAAAAAAAAAGAGAAAAAATAGCATAAAAAACACGTTTCATAAGACTTAAAGCACTCGATAATGCGACAATAATGAAAGCTATTACAGTACTTAAACGGTTGCTGTAAAGAGACTCCTTACAGCATCCAATGCTGCATTGAGATTTTAGTAACATTTTATGAAACCAGTTCAAGTTGGTGACATTGGGTCATTAATTTTTCTAGTTGTCAATGTGACAATTTGAATGAATGAGTGCTTTAATTAAAAAAAAAAAGAAAATGTCTAATTGTCAATTCAAATTTCTATTTTCAAGTGTTATGGTGTTACCAACTGCTACATACCTATTTCTCTACATTGTCAAAATTTATTTTATTTTTGTTAAAAAGAAAGGAAAAAAACGCGAATTACAAAAAATAGCATAAAAAACACGTTTCATAAGACTTAAAGCGTGTCTTACGAAACTAGTTTTTTAATATACTATTATGTAATATTAATTTATTTTAAAGGAATTACCTGAATATCAAGCCCAATTAGCACAACAAGAACGTGTTGATCGACAAGAAACTACATCTCCAATTGCTAAACTCTTCTCGATTTATGATGTAGTTGAAACATCATACCATTTTCTTTCGCAACAAATTATTTTACATCTTTGTGATGATCAAGGACGTAGGTTATTTTATTTTTTGGGTTAAAACTATTTTTTAAAAATATTATTTTAGCGGGGCGATCTTGCCATCCTAATTTAAAAGACGGCGCTGCTCTCCAAATTAACATCCAAATGTTTCAAATCGATTATTACCCATATCATTTAGCAATAAGTGACCGTACTCATTGGCCAATGTACAAAGAGGAATTAATTCCACATACTCATTGGCAATCGCAGTCTTTTAATGCGTTTAAAACGAAATTTCTGGATTTGTTGGATAGGAATAAATCGCAACATGTTCCACTTTCAAGATCAAAAGTAATTTATTTATTTATATATATACATATTAGTTTTATTTTTATATCTTATTGATTATTTGAAGGGAAATAATCAAAATCCTGATGTAACCTCACCAGAGCAATCGCCTCAACGAAGCCATGTATCTCAAAATCGTTTAAAACAAGGTGTTCTTAGCCAATTTAAAAAAATCATGACAACATGTGTAATAATTCGAGTGGAAAATTTTACGGTTTACAAAGTGACGACGTCCGGAAAGAAACAGGCGCTTAAAGAATTTATTTCAGGTAAAAATTGTATATAGATTTCTTGATTTTTATTTGAGTGAGTGTGTTAGGGTTTAAAAAAATGTTTCGTCTATAACGATGTTGTTTTTCTTCTTCTGAACGTTAGCACAACGTAAAAAGGGAGAGAAAAATGCACCAGCAGGTATCTCAAAATTGTCTTTACGTTAATTTTGTTTTTGTTAGATGTAGATGCTTTAGGATTCTTTTCGATTGTGGTGGATTTTTTTTTGATGGTTTAGATGGGTATTGTTCTTTTTGTTTTAAGGGGATCGTGATCATATGTCGCTACCGGAAGAGACCAGCATCATTCATGCCGAATTTATTTATTATTATTATCCAGATGATGTTCCTTTTCCATGTAAGTTTATTAATTTTTCTTATTTATTATTTTTTTAATACAAAATTATTTGTTTTTAGTGCCACCACCAAAATTCTACGTACAATTTAACCCAATTCAAATAATTTTCGACGTTGATAGTTGTTTATGGTTTAATTCATTTGCGTTGAATCTCCATCAATCGTTACAATCCGGAAAACCGACCATGTCAGGCTCGAATTTAACTTACATTGATGTAAAAGTTGAAGCAATTTTGCCAAGGGTATAAATATTGTTTATTAAGGACCACTTTTACCATATCTTGATAAATTTATCTCATAGATAAATCCAATTCTTAGTCAATGAGAATGATTAAAATTGCTGTAACCTACTTGAAGTTTATGGAGGAAATGATCTCAGCCATAAGTATTGTTTGTGATACTTGGGGTGCACATATGCAATTGTTCTGCCTCATGTTAAGTTGTAACTTGTCGCAACTTGTTTAACAGCGACTAACGACGTCGGAGTTTAAAACATAGACGGACTGAATCATATAATAATGTTTAATTTACATGATAAATTAATTTTTCTTTCAAAACTGGAAACGTATTTTACCCCTTGATATCTCTCTACGCCCCCCTGGTTATGAAATCTTGCATTAGATAGTTTATCAGGAGAATGGTAAAAGTGAACCTAAGGCTAAATACGCTAGGCAGGAATTCCATAAGCATAATGTAATCATGGCCGGTTGTCGCCAAATGTGTCAGATTTTTGAAATTATAAAAGATACAGTGGCTCCAAGCCAAACTTGAATACTAGAGTAATAATACTTCCTTACTAAAAAATATTTAAGCTAAAACAGCTAGGAAAAAAAGTAAATTGAGTCAGTAATTTATTAATTGCATATTCAAAAAACATCACAAAATACAAAAATTTATTCACTGTAATAAAAGAATATAAAAATAAACGAAAACAGGATAAAAACTAGGCACAAGCCAAACGAGAACAGTAAACAAAATTTACAAAACGTATTTATATTTTTAATAACTAATATTTAGTATGGAAGTAAAGGTTTGTTTTTTATAGCCATTTTAAGCCGCTTAGGCATTGACTAAATCAATTTTTCGCAAAAAGTGTGTGGAATTTTCTCCCATTTTTTAAACAAGTCGCTCTTCAACTAAGATTTACTAGAATGTTTTCGAACTTTGATATCTAAATAATTCCATAAATTTTTAATTGGAGTTATGTCTGGGCTTTGGGGTAGCGTTTCCATTACATGAGGGCAATTATACAGGGTGTTTCATAATATATGCGCAGGACTTCAGGATGTGATAGCTTGTCCAAAAATTTGAAAAAAGTTTCTATCAACTTACCCTCTAAAATGTACCATTTTCGAGATACAGGGTGTTGAAATTTAATAAAAAAATCGTTTTTTGCGAATATCTCCGGAACCGTTTATCATACAGAAAACAGCGTTTGTAAGCATTTTATACCCATAACAAGTTAAGTTTTGTGCGAGAAAACATTTTCGAACCCATTTGAACCATCAATGTTTTCTACACAAAAATGGTACTGTAGGTCATGAGCTCTAAAGTTGACAGTTTTTTAGAAAAATCAACTTTTATGTTGAAAAACATGGTCAACTTTTTGAAATAAAAATTTTATTTTACAATTAACCCATTTAGGCCCACGATGAAGAGAATGAAAAGTATAAAAATGTACACAGTTGTTTAAAAAAAAATTGTTTTTGAAATATGAAATGGTGTAAAAATGCACCACTGGTAAGATAAATGAACAACAACACACAAAAATTTTGGTTATCATTTATTAACTAAGTAATAAATTATCCGCAAATAAATAATAATACTAATACAACATAATACTAACAAATAGCACTTTAGTATGAAGTTTAAGATAAAAATATTGATACTAAAATTGGTGCAAAAACGCACCAATGGGATGAACGGTATAATCATTTATCGTGATACTTCGCAAAGCACTCTTCATGTAAATGAACGCAAAACTTACTACACATATATTGATACACATTAAATTAGTCTATTATCATGTGGTTCTCAACTGTTCACTTGCGGACTAATCCTTATGAAAATAACAATTAAAATAATTATAGATGGCAATTATCAGCTCTCCCACTGTTTTTTCAACAATGATTTATATTAAAATCCTGATGATGGACTATTATAAGCAAAACGTCGATTAAACATGTCTGAGTAAACAAAATTAATCCATGAGGAGTGTGTTATTTCCCTGCGAAATTATCCTTATAATAAAAATCTTTATTTTCGTGCTCTTTCGCAAATATTAATCTGATGTTTTGATTTTTTTTTACTGCTTAACGGTTTTCTTCGCTCCTTTCTACCATGTAAATTAGCATTATGGAGCATGTTTCTAATGATTGACGCACTAGCTTTTTCCTTAGTTCATTCTCAGCAATAATAGCCAGCCAACAATTTTATTATAAGCGCTCTTTGCCTTGTTTATTATATCGTGCACCATATAATGGCTTCTGTCTAGAATTTTTGCAATTTCTCGTACCGATTTTTCTTCCTGGGAATGTTTAAGCACTAATTTTCTAAATTCAATAGTTGTTTGGCCCCTTTGTCTAGACATTTTGAAAAAAAGGCTACATTTCCGCGCGAATAATACAAAAAAGTAAATTAAGGAATTCCCCTTGTCAACTGTTGAAGCTTCTACTTGAAATTGTTTGTAATTTTTACTTATGGCTGCCTTAATTAATAAATTACTGAAAATCAATTTACTTTTTTTCCTAGATGTTTTACTTTGAATATTTTTTTGTAAGAAAGTATTATTACTCTACTGTCCGAGTTTGGCTTGGATCCACTGTAGCTTAGATTTCAATGGCAAATGCGTATCTAGCCCTAATATTAAAGAATGTTTAAATAAATTAATCTTTCTTAGGTTATTTTTGAAAGTGGACGCGATTACATTTCACAAAAAGATCGCCCAAAAACTTTAACGTTTCAAGTAACGAGAGCTACAATCACTAACGTTCGCAGTTTAGAACAATCTTCTCGTGCCGACTTAGCGAAATGCGTCGATTCTTTTCATATGGGATCGTTATTTTTTGGATCAGATTTTCCATCAAAATCAAACGATTTTTATATTGTTACACAAAAATTTTTGGATCATATCTCGACGGACGATAACGTTAGAAATTTACCTATAGAACTTGATACATCATCATTCAATTCTTTTGTAAGTTACAAACAAACGATTTTTTTATTTATTACATTAATAATATTTATTTTTTGTACAGATAAGTCAATTATCAAGAGAATTTCTTTGGTTAGAAGCAAAGGATGTTTGGTGCGTAACTTTAGATCCGGTTTGGGCAGAATTCACTGGAGCTAGAGCGGTGGGTTTAACAAAACCAATCCCACTTTTGGATGCGTTACCTGTAACAATTTGGGTCCATGCAAATATGGATCCGAATTCAACTGTTAAAGTAGATAACGCTGGGCCTAAAAATGCTGATATTCACGCGTTAGCCTACATCTCAAACTTGGTCAGCGTCCAATTGAATCATTATCAATATTTATTTTTATTGAGACTTGCTGAAGAAGCTAAAGAATTGGCTACATATTTATCTTTGGATACCAATAGAATTATGCAGGCAAGACTTTAAGATTATTTGTTGTTTCTTATGTTTATTTATTATGTTTATTTTATTTTGAATGAAAAATTTAAACTCGCTGATTGAGCGTCCTATATAATTTAAATTTACTTATTGTGAAATTGGGTTAACAAACAACTGCTGACTTTATAAATTTTTGGGCATGGTATTTTTATTAGCGCAGCAGTTCTCAGACGTTCATTCATAATTTGTAACTACTCAATGGGTTTTTGTTTAACACTTTAAGAAAAAAATAGTAAAAAAATAATTGTTGAAAATGTTTGTGAATATTTATGAAAAAAATGAATACTTTTGGTGCCACGTTTCTGTATGTTTATAACAAAGCCATATTTTTAAAATTAATTAATTTTTTTTTATTTAGGTGGAAAGTAGTGGATCATTAGCAGTGGGAGCTATAATTCCACAATTAGAAGTGACTTTTGTTATGCCATCTCATAGTCCAGGTAAAGAATCTTCTGGTGGAGATGCTGAATCTTTTATTCCAGACTCATCAAGTCTTGTGGATGATGCAATAATGGGTAAATATATTTTTTAATACATTATTTTAATAATATTCGTTTATTTATATTAGGTTCAACTGCAACAGTTTGGCAAAAAAGTTCCTTATCAATGAACCAATGGTCAGTAGCAAACGGTTATGGCTTACACACAAAACCCATTGAGGAACAACAAACCATAACCAAAACAGCAAATTTCGATACATTCACTCGAAGCATTTCTGCAGAAATGACCGCATCAACTTCTCTCCCAGATTCAACCATATCAAATACTACCAGAAGTAACAAAAAAGATTCCATCTCAAATATTGTACCCAACAATATCAATGTTGGTAAGAAAAATAATTTAATCAAAATAATAAAGACAATAGTTAATTGTTTTGATTTCGTAGGTTTTTCTTCTATGAAGAAAGGTTTTAATAATTTAATGACATCGATTGATATCGCTTTAAAACCAAGTCCTGATGATATGAGTGATTCCATGTCAGTTCGGAGCGATGGTTCCAGTGATTCAGAGAGATTCGTTTTTATTGCTTCTGGCCAAGATAACGAACGATGTCCGTTAACGATGCACACAGTAAACGCCATGTTTAAAGTTAACGAGTTTCATAATGATGCTAAAACAGTGGTTGAAGTTGCCAGTGAAGTTATTGAGGAAGAAAGTACAGTTACCACGACGAGCGATCATTCAATTACAAGTAGTTGTCGAAGAAAAGATATTGTAAGTATTTCTTTTTATTTTAAATCATAACTATTTATTAAACTTGTTGATAATCATATCAATAATTTCAGAAATATTTTGTAATGAATAAACTATCTTATTTATTACTGACATATTTGTTAATATTTTGGTAGATTTTAACTTACATATAATAATTCTAGTACATATTTAACATATTTTTGCGAATTCTGATACATATGTGTAGTTAATAAGTGTCCCTTTTTTACTCATAATTGGGCGATTGATGATGTTGTACACCTTTCTTCAGATGCGTCCAGTTGGGCTTCCGCTCTTAAGTTGTCCACATATTTTCGGTTATATCTTCTTGCTCATTTCTTAACCATTCTTTCCAACATTTTTTCTTCAGTTTAGCATTATCCTCAATTGGTTTTCCAAGCGTCAGAGGTGATCCATTTCTTTCTTTCGCTCATTTCAAGGCATCTTTCTCTTCATTCTATGCCTATTTATGTAATGGGTTTCAATCCATTTAAAGGGAAATCAGCTGTGAAATTGACCGACAAGAAATAGATTACAAGCGATATTAAAAAACAATCAGAGGAGCTAAGGACCTTCCATGCTTTATGTAAGCAAGCGAACAATCAGATCTTCTGTAAAAGTTATAAAGATCGCTTGAAATATCACCTAAAGTCTGTACAGGTTGCAAAAGAAGTGTATTATAATAAGTTATGCTTAAAAGCCGACTATAAACAGAAAGTAGCTTTGTACCTGGCTCGACAGGAACATTCCTTCGTTCATAATAACAGTCGCAACGACTAATACCTGTGTTGAAATGGTTCCGAGGTCACAGCTCCTACTGATATTGTTGAACTATGTTGAATAACATAGGAAATAACGATCGCTCACTTTTCTTGACTTCTGTTACACCTCTAGAAGTGGCTACCACAATTAAATCTATATCTGTCAAGCATTCGAGCGACTACGACGAAATACCTTTGTTCCTTACTAGACAAGGTGTCCCACGTTGTGACTGATACGTTAACACTTTTAATTAACGAGTCGTTCGATAGCCTCTGTAATCCCCCTTTTCAAAAAGGGCGACTAGCTTCCTGCTAGTAGTGGAACGGATATTCGGAAACTATCTGGTATCTGGCCATTTTTTAAAATCCGACCGGATACTGGATAGTTAGTTTTGATACAATTTTCGATGTTGCAATTTTCATCGATAACTTTCAAAATTCGCTATAAAATTCATTTCTTGAAGGATCCTTGTGGAAATATCACCAATTATTAATTAAAGTATCCTCTTTTTAATGCAACAAGCTATTTAGCCGTTTTGAAAAATCGCTTTTAGTTTTTGAGAAATCAATTTTTGAAACGATCGACAATTTTTTCGAATTTTGCAATTTTCGCCGATTCAATTTTAAAAATTCGTATAAAATCGATTTCTTGGAATATGAGTATAAAAATTTCAAAAAAGTGTTAATAGGAGTGTCCTCTTTCCAATGAACCAACCCGTTTTGCAAAATAACTTAGTTTTTGAGAAAACAATATTTGAAGTTTTGATAAAATTTTCGATGTTGCAACTTTCATCGATAATTTTCAAAATTCGCTATAAAATTCATTTCTTGAAGGACTTTTGTGGAAATAAAATCCCAATCATTAATTAAAGTATTCTCTTTTTAAAGTTGCTTCGTTAGTTAAATCAGCATCAAAAAAGTTCATTTTGTATCTTGGATCCAAATAAGTTGACATATCTTATCAGCTTTCTTATTAATTTCATTGTGTTCAAATATCGTAATAGTGTGGCAATATAGGGTATCACTTCAGAAATGCACCAGAAATTATAAGCATAATGGCCGGATAGATATGCCGGATAACCGGATATCCGGCCGAAGGGGATGCCAAATATCCGGTATCCGGCTTTTCATTTTTTTTAAACCTTTTATGTATCAAAACTTCTAGTTTAATTCATCGTCTTATTTGAATCGTCTTTATTACATTATAATAGTCTTGAGCAGTATATAAATGTCACTCACATACAGGTGATTCTCAATCTATACGGATAAACTTGGGGATTTACTCCTCATGACGAATAATGACTAATAGGCGATTTTCTGTTTCATAGATATCCGTGATATTTACTTATAAATCAAGAATACATAGAACATTTTAAAATAACATCACAGCAAGTGTTGGAAGTTATTTCCCATATTTTCTATCAATTGGGTTCCCCGAATCCACGATCTCCAACTAGCGCAGCCTAAACCAGGGTGTTGGCGGATTGTCTGTGCAGCAGCATGTACCTGATTTTGCAATATTTGCTCAGTATTAACTTACGTGGCGTACACTATGTTTTTAAGATCACGGTGGCCAGGCCATTGGACCATCTCGGACTATCCATTCTCCAAGAAACACATGATCTGGCGATCTGATTATATCGGATATCTAGGAAACTAAAAAACTTTTACTACAATTTTTTTTCATCTATTAGTCATTATTTGTCATGAGGAATAAATCCTCAAGTTTATGCGTATAAGTTGAGAATCACCCCTGTATGTAAAAAAACATTACATATTTTATCAAGAGTACTGACAACTGTAAATGCCGGTTGTCTCTCACCCAAAATAGCCCTCAACATATGATGATACGCTTATACAGGATGTGTGAAATGTCTGGAATATAACCCAATAACTTCGCCATTTGTGATTTTAAAGAAAAAATTATTAATTTCAAATAAAAATTTTTTTATTAATTGTGGCGCATTTTTTGGCGACATTTGCTTGTTTACATTGTTTTTTGTTTCGTTGCTATGGCAACCAACATTGTTATTTTAAATGAGATACATGTTTTTTTTTTGCATACTTTGATAGAGGATAAATCCCTCTGAAAATGTTTTCTGAAAATATTGAATCAGCAAATTACAATCAAAGTAGACGGCGAAATATCGTCTTTGACAGATTTAATTGTCAAAAAAATGACAGTTTTTTGACAGTTCTACTTTTATTTCAAAAGAAATGAAGTTATTTGATTTGATTTCCTTGTGCACATAGCCAAGTGTTTTTTTCAGTAACAGTTTTAACAACAACTCATCCTGTTAATATCTATAAGTGTTTTAATGTTAGCAAGCACTCTCTATCATTCAAATTAACTTCAAATATAATTTCTTATACCTAATCTATCATTTTTTTACTCATAAATATAACTTTAATCATTATTAATTAATTATTAACATATTTATAACAATCTCATCTAATTTTCTTTACCAGGTTTCTGTTTCCACTTTTAAATTAACAAAGGTGGAATTTTTACAACAATCTGTCGGTTACTCCTCTTCAATGAAGATTCAAGTTGGTTATGTATCAAGCGAAGATTGTACTTCAATACCTTGGGATGAATTTCAGGTGAGTCTTTCATTTGAGCAAATAAATATTTATTGATTTTATTTTTTTAACCCTCAATTACTTTGTTAATTTGTCGAACAAAGATACAAAAAAGAATTCCCTTTGTTAAACCCAAAAAAAATAATTTTTTTTAAGTTAATTTTTGTTTCTATTAATTCGGGGCGTCGTAAAACATATTTTCTTGTATCTATAATTTTTTTTGCATGCCTCTGAATGTTTTTTGTGGCACAGACCAAGATGAAGGTATTGAAACAGACATTTTTTTATTAAAATTAGATTTGAATGATTGTGCATAGAAATAAAATTAAAAAAGAAACGTAAGGTTAGGTTAAAATAAAATTAAAACACAAGCTTTTTTGAGTTTGAATGAATCGCATGAAATAAGAAATTTAGATTTTTAATTCCCAACTAAATAATTGCGCCACATTTTTTTTAAAAGGTATTAAGCCCAGGTAATGTATCAAAAAGCTTTTTGCTTGTGTAATTTTGATGAAGTAAAAATAAAACATTAATGCACGTTTTAAATCTAAATTAGATTGATTATTTTATTTTTTTAAATATATGTTAACGTCGTTTTTATTTGCGTAGAGCAAGTTTAGTTCAAGAACAAGAGCTTGGAATGATCCCCCAACAACCAGTGGTACAAGCGCCAAAGTTAAACTTCGATTAGATCACGACGTAACTCTTCCAACATCGAAATCATTTACATCTTTAGATTTTGGAAACATGGAGGATCTAAATAAATACTTCAAAGACTTCATCGACGTTCACGTAAACGATCTCACTTTGGATTTATCTATGAGTACAGTTACGGGATTAACAGATTTAATTGAAGATGAGATTATTCCAATTCCAATCCCTTTACAAGTAAGTAAATCTAAATAAGTGAAAATTAAATCTTATTAATTCTTTTAAAGGTTACTTTAAATAACGTACAACTCCACTTAATTGAAGATCGTCCTCCGGTTCATATAACATCTCCAGGTCCTGTCCCAATAGATTTAAACATAACACACATGTTTATAACACGCTCTGAAGATGGGATTTTCAATATAATCCCTTTAAAACCATCCGGAGATTCCTCGGAATCGATTACCACGTTAAATTCGGAACAAGAATCTTCGCTTTTACGCCAACAAAATCAGCAATTAAAACAAGACGTTGAAGAACTTCGTCGCCGTTTAACCGCTTTCGAACGAATTTCGGAAGAGAATCGGGTTTTGAGACGAGCGAAAGAAGAAACGGATGTGTTGCGATCGTGCTTGGTTTCGGCTCAAGATGAAACATCGCGATTGTTGGATGAAAAAAGGAAATTGTTGGAAGATGTGAAACGGTTGCAAGAGGAGCGGATGAACGATCGGGGTCGGATGTGGAACAGTAAGAGATAGCAATGTTGTTTCGACTGCACTAAATGCTGTTCGAGCGTTAAAAAGCTGTAGTCGGTAAGGTTTTTTTTCTATTGGTTCGGTCTTAGATCGCTTTAGAAAGAAAAAAACGGAGGATCATTTTTTTTTTTAATTAAAAATGGAGATATGTGACGTTAATATAAATAATTAATGTGGGTTTTTAATTGAATTAAAAGAACCAAAGATTTGAAAAAAGAAAGCAAATTTATTTCTTCTTGATATTTTTGCATAAAGGCAAAGGAAAGTGCTACAATACTTGTACATACACGATATTTTAAAGAGAAATAATTAAATGGGAGTTTTAGTTGTCAATATTTTTATTATATCTATGTTTCTTCCATGCAGTTTTTAAGGAAATGATCTTTAGTTCTTAATTAGCTTGGAAATTAGTAATATTTTTATATTAAAGCAACCCAAAATGTACGTAAATGTGGAATAAGTAGATGACTTTAATGTTTTATATTAGTTAATGTTGCAGCAAACACTACTCGCTTCTTGTGAAATTTATGGAATATTTTCTAAAACCATCTGTGATGGAATTTGTGTAAATTAATTAAATATTGTTGATTGATGTGAAGGAAGAGCAATTTTTTTTCTATGTAAAGTACTGTGATCTTTTAAGTGTAGAAAGTTTAGAAAAAAAAATGATATTAGAAATGATTATTAAAATTGAGTTTAGTTTAAACTTTATGTTATGTAAATTGTGTTATTTTTGATATAAAATTGGTAATCATCTTGTTTAAGGTTAAATTGTTGGCTCAATTTTTTATAAACTTGTTTTAGAAATTATTTTGCAGGTCCTGAAAAGATTAAGGTGACATATCTTCAAGCTCCATAAATTCATAACGATGATAAGAAATAAAAAAGTGTCAGCACTGTTTGTATCATTCAGCTTTGAAATATAATAATAAAACCTATACATTGTACCTCATCCATAGAAAACTATGTTATAGATATGTTACAAAACAAAATTTATGGAGCAGAAGAAAACTACATAAATCTCTTTTTTTTATTGTTATGAGATCAAGAAAAAGCTTTCTAGTCGATATAAAGTGTCAAAATTATTGTATCGTTTAGCTTTAGCCCTAAATGGTTGTACAAGAGATTGATAAAAAATATATCTATCTAATAACAAAATTATGAATTTTATTGAATAAAATTCTTTTCCATTTCATCCAATGATTCATAATCCTATCCTTTAGAGATTATTTATTTAGAAAGAGTATTAGTAGCGAATTAATTTATTATTTTAATTAATTTCTTATGATTCCATCAAACAACATTTATAGAAAATATTCCAAAAATTTTGCTAACATATATTATTAATACATTAATGGGGGAAATTAATAATTAAGCCCCCATGTTTAGAGGAAGTGAGATGAAACAAATCCAACCAGTTGTGCATTTAAAGTATTGTCCTGTACCCTACCTGTCTATTCTTGAGTTTTCTTTTACCATTGATTGACAAATTTACTTAACCTGTTTTTCACCATTTTTTCAGGTTTTTATCACCTGATGTTTCTAGACATTCAGGTTTAACCACGCGTGTCTCAAGACGGCTAAACCAAAATATTTCTAAGTCTAGAGTTTGTTCTGTATAATATACGTATATTTTGAGCGAATTATTTTTCTTCTTCCTTCTGTTTTTAGGCATAACTGCTTGTTTTTTTTTAAATCTTTTTGCCCTCTAATCGTTTGTCGCTCCATCGTTTTCTAGGTCTTCCAATGTTTCTTTATCCAGTGTTATTTTCACAATTCGTTCTTCAATCAGTGATGTTATCTATCCTGCAAGCCTCTCTGATGTTTTCACTTCTTTCTCTGTCCATCAATGTATTCCCAACTATTCTACGCACTATTTTCATTTCTGGAGAATCAATACTACCATTAATGATTTTATGGAATGTCAAAGCATCTCCACATGAACGACGCTGAGCGATAAGAAGTTGAAGGAGGCACAGGCTGATACGTAATCAATGTAACTTTGTATAAATAGATACTTTAGGAGTTGCTTTTGAATCCTTTCAATTCTGGTACTATATATTTGATATTGGGAGCTGCAGAAGCTTAAAACGCTAAGCACATACGCAAAATACAATCTTCTTATAGCACAAATATTTGTAAAATTTTGCGTTACTCTCATAACGAAGCCAAGCATGCGCCAAGACTCCCAGCTTCATCACGTGGTCGTCAAACGTTAGTTTGACATCAAATGTGACGCCGAAATCTCCGACCTAAGTGACTCTAGGTATAGTATTACCACCCAGGCTATAATCGTATCTGATCGTGCCTGCCTTCCTTGTAAAAGAAATAATATTACATTTTTCAGGGTTCGGAGTCAAGAAATTTGAGCTGCAATAAATACGTGTCACGCTTTAGCCTCGAGCAATCCAAAGATCGAAACTCGAGTAAAAATGTTTAAATCATCAGCATACACCATGCAATGAGAGTGTTTAATTATTGAAAAAAATATCATTGATATAAATATTAAATAGAAGTGGCCCTAAGTGACTCCCTTGCGGTACACCAAAAGTAACAATCTTGCTATCCGAAAATTGACCATTGATATATTCATTTTCAGAGTCCTTTCATGTGTATAGGGGGCAAACCTGCGCACAAGATGTACATCAATATCAGATATACGAAATTTTGAAAGAAGCAGAGCATGATCGACTTGATTGAAAGCCTTACTAATAGCAGTATATGTATATGGAGTCAACTTGAAAGAAAAACCATCCATAAAGTTGAAAATATAGTGGGTGTATTCCAACAAGTTGCTCTCCTTTATAAATAAGCTTTCAAGTATTTTACTAAATAATGGCAATAAAGAAATAGGGATTTCCGGATTTAAAGATAGAGCCTCCTTCCAAAAACGTGGAAAAACTCCAGATTGAATCAAACTGTTGCATATAACAGTTAAAGGAAAAGAAAGTGACTCACAACAACTTCTAATTATGATGGCAGGAATACCGTCCGCTCCTGGTCCTGTCGATGCATCAATTCCCCTCAAAGCCTCCTCAACCTCAGAACGCTCAAAGCATATCGCGCAATCTCAATCAAGATTAAGGTGGTTGTTAGACACAACACCAGTCCGAGTAGACATAAAGGCATATCAATATAGATCTAATAGCGGTCTTGTATATCCGGACTTTGGCTTCAGTTCTAATATGTTTATTTCGCCATATTGTGTCATTTAGGAACGCCGCTGGATTCCTTACTTCAGTCTTAATATTGGTGTCTTGGAGGTAGTCATGCATTTTGTTTTTGCCGCTGATATAGTCATGTCAAAACTGGAACAGTAACCTTTGGAGATCATCCTCGTTTTTCGCGACCATCATTTTGCACCACATCGTCTGCGTAGCATAGGAAGCATAGGTTTTATAATTTCATCCATTATGATATTAAACAAAAGCGGGCCCAGAGAGTCCCCTAGTTAGTTCGTCATTTATTTTTGCTTGAATCTTGTTGACTAATTGTAAGTAAATATTTTCAATTGTTTTAATGATATTGTACGATATTTGTCTGCCATAGAGGAGATATATAATACTCTTTAACTGTATTCGATTGAAAACCTTCTCCAGATAAATAAAATACATGATGGCTGGTCGGTTGTATTCGATTGACTTTTCGGTTATTTGTGTTATGACAAAGATGGCATTCGTGCAGGATCTTCCTGATCTGAACCTTTGTTGTTCGTCCGCTAATAAAGTATATTCATTTATTTTACTTGTTATTATTTTTGCCATTAAGTTTAGGGTAGTGCAGAGTAAATTTATCTTCTTCTATAGTTTTCTGGAATTTTTTTATTCCCCTTTTTAAATAATAGTGTCGTAATGCTAGTTCGTCATTCATCTGGGATTCTATATAGGGAGAATATTTTTTTAATTAAAGTTGTTAATTGTTGATTTAGCTTCTCTTCCCCATATTTCAGTAACTCGTTGGCAATATTGTCTTGACCTGGGCTCTTTCTATTCTTGAGTTTTTGGAGTGCCTTTTCTATATCTTTTTCTTCTATAACTTCTAAGTATATCGTTGGTTACTATCTGAGGCATATTCTCTAAATATTTTACCCAGTTATCTTTTTCTATGTGCTTGATGTTAATGAGCTAATTTGCTTCCGCTCTTTGACTTCTAAGTAATTGCCAATTTGTTTCTGCAATCCATAGAAGTCACTTTCCATTCTTTTAGAAAAAGTTTTCCAGTGTTCGTTCTTAATTCGTTTGGCTACCGATTTAGGCCCACTTTTACCACCTCATGATAAATTGGCGATCTTAGGTCCATTACTACCATCTTTTAGTTAAATTTATCTTATAGATAAACCCATCTACTAACCAATCAGAACGCGTGAAATAGCCGTAACCATAGTAATAATCCCTTAGATAGCTTAACCAGAAGATGGTAGTAACGAGCCTTAGCCAATGAGAGCGTTTAAAACTGCTGTAACCATGGTAATTATCTATCGATTAAATTTATCAAGAGGTGGTAAAAATGAGCCTTAGGGCCGGTTGTACCACCTCCCGATAAACTATCTAACGGATAATTACCATGGATACAGCGGTTTTAAGCGCTCTCATTGGCTAAGTGCGCCAATTTATCTATCGGGTAAATTTATCGGGAGTTGGTACAACCGGCCCTAAGTCTCATTACGAATTTTCTTATATTCTTCGTATCCTTGTGACGTTTGTGATGACATATAATTCAAGTACGCTTTCTTTTTGCTTTTACTCTTTAATATCTTTAGAGAACCAGGTCCCTTTTGTTTCCAAAAATACATCTTGATTTATTGTGTATTGAAATATTTTGCTGACTACTTGTTGTTTTCTTGCTTGTTACTGTTTTGATTTTGTTGTAGAATGAGATTGAGCATTTAGAGTAATCGTTGAAAGATGGTATAACACTGTTCTCTAGGTCACAGACTTGAGATACACACAAAATCACAGCCCCCTCCTCAGAGAGATTAGTAACAAGTAACTCTTCATGAACCTCTATACCATTATTTATCAAAAATATAAGTAGTTATAATCTACAAGAATGCTATGAATTCAGTTTAATTCCTTTAATTTATTTTCCATTTATCTATTAATAAAAAAAATGAATTGGGTTGGTTAAAAAAAAAATTAAAAAAACAAATATCAGTTAGACATTGTATTTCTATATTCATATTTGGTCATCTTATGTTTTGAAAAACGTTACACAAAATCAAAAAAAAAATCATAAAAGGGAAACCACACGCAAAAAATCCATTACGTATATTTGCGTAAACAATGAACAAAAAAGAATTGTGGATCTTTTAAAAATTCGTCAAAATCTCAAAAAACCGTGTAGTTACAACAAAAATTTATTTCTTTCTCTTTTTTTTTTTTCTCTAGGATAAGACATTAACTTTATTAGAATAAAAAATGGTGAGCGAATTTTAATAGCTCCACTGAATTAATCAAATAATTAAAAAAAAGGAAGAAAAAAATGTACATAATTTTCTCTCAAAACGGTTACTACTATTAGTAACGGTATCGTCGGCTGCTCCTGTGGCCGGGATAGTCATCGTAGCGACGGCTGGAGCGCCGGCTGCGCCTCCCGTAGTCCCGGTCGTAGTAATCGTAGCGGTCCCCCCTGTTGTCTCTGTTGTGGCGCCTGCTAGACCGATCGTAACTAAAAACACTCTAAGTCAGGAACCATCGAAAGACCAACTTAGCCGGTGGTAGACAATATTTTTTTTTAAGAATATTATTTAATTTTTTTTTTGTAAGGGGGCCCCCAGGCGTCTGCGCACCGCCCGCGAATCATCATCATCTCCACACCATTCTCGCGCTCTCTCTCTAATTACACTATGGAAAGCCATAACACAATCCATTTATAACGAATAACCAAACCATATAAATTATGCCAAAACGCCATGAGCCTGATAAACCATAAAATAACAATTAGGTGCAGTGTTCTTACCCAATCACATAAACAGGTCAAGATAAAAAAATATAAACATGATTAAAAAAAAACTCTAATAGGTCTTATCAGATTCTTTTTGTTGAAAACTTTCTTAATAAAATAAATATTCGATTTGAGGTTAACTACTGTATGGATATTTTTAAGCAGGAGTTTCATTTACCTTAGAAAAAATTAATAAATGGGAACGGGGACGCTTGCTTGGGGTGTAAGAGATCAACTTTTAAAGTATTTTTTTCCGTTATGGGTATGTGTTCTAGTTCTAACATTTACTTAAAAATAAACATAAAAATGGGGAAATTTCTCACCACATTCACTCCAGAAAATTATGCAAGAGCATTTATTTATAACAATTATTTTTAAATATTAGTATTAAATCATAAAAAAATACTCTGCATAAATAACAAAGACATATACAATTTCCCTGTAAATCAAACCATAACTTTTCTTATTGCTATCTCCCCCAAAATACTTACCGCGACATCCTTTTATCTCCACCGTTCAAGTCTGGGCAATCCCTGTAGAAATGACCAGTGTATCCACACTGATAACATCTCATATTTGGATTGAAAAATCTACGTCCAGATCCTCTAGTCCTAGGTTTAGCGAAAGTCACTCTAATTCTGCTTCCACCAATTTCCCTAAAATACAAAAAATTGAAAAACAATTCTCAACAAACATTGTAAAATCTTGATATAACGGATTAATACAGAAAACAATTTTTAATGTGTTAAATTAGCGCTGAATAACAGTTAAAACTAGAGTTAACACTAGACCTAGGACTAGAAACATTCCGGATTAGTTGTGCGCCCGAAGACTGAAACTCTCTAGTCCTAGGTCTAGTGTTAGTTCTAGTTTTAGATAAATTAAACAATAACACAGGCCTGCAAAAATTAATGTCATAAAAACTTTTTAGATTATTTAGGGTGATCTAACAGTTTTGAAAGGTGCTGAATCTGAAAATGACAACAGTTTTTTCCCACCACCCACCGCGGAAAAACTAGAACTAACTGGTATGAATATGACTGTTACTTTTCCTTTTGTGAGTAACACCTGAATTCTATTGATGAAGTGACCTATCCTGATATCTCCTCTCCATAACCTTAATATCCTGATGGAAAGGTTCACTCTGCTCTTCACTGGTAAAAATCCAAATAAGAATGTAGAAAGTGAACTTTTCTGCTCATCAGGTCTTTTTCATTCCCTAAAAATTTCTCTTTCAACACCTGACGTTGTGTACCGAAATTTCTCATCAAGTATTAGTTTATGTATGTCAGGACCTACAAAAATTCCTTCTTTTAGTTTTGCCTCTGACAAATGTGGAAACTGTGTGCAGAGGTATTGAAAATAGTCACCAGTGTTGGGTAAAGCTTTGACGAATTGTTTCATGAATCCTAACTTGATGTGAAGAGGGGAAAGACAAATTTTTCTCGGATTGACTAAAGCTTTGTGGAAGACGTTCTTTTTACCTGGTCACAATGTTTGTTAGGTTGGCCATACTTCTTTCATACGGCCAGGTAGCTCTGCTATCCCATTCACAAATGAAATATGGGTACTTAGTGTTTCCTCCCTGCGACCGAGCATTGCCCAAAAGTTTCAGATCGTCACTGATATGTATATTTAAATTTATTTAGCACCCTTTTCAAATTGTGCAGGAGTACAGTCTTCCTTTTGAAGAATCAATGAAAAGCATCCAATTATCAGCTTTGTATTCAATTCCAAACTTTTAAACAAAACCAGTAACATAACAGTAGTAGACCAACTCGCCTTCTTGTTTGGAATAGTCAGTAAATTCACGATCTCTAAATCTGTACTGATAAAAAGACGTTCCAGCAGCCAGTAGCTTTTTTTTAATAGTCTAGTATCCAAGAATTCAGCATTCTCCTTAGTAAGTCCCAAGTTTCTCACCAAATCATCAAGCTCAAACTGAGCAAAATCTTGTGGGGTGACATAATCTGAAGGATCTTGGAGAGCCCATCTCCTACCTAGCGTTGCTGGAGGATGAAGTACAATCACATCTGGTCCATGAGCTACAGGTCGCATTACAGAAGGAAGATTGTGGTACACCATATCTCTTTTATTCTTAGAGTTATAGCCATTAAAATCATAGTAGCAAAAATAACAGCCATCACTGTGATTTTTTGGTTCCCTCCACACCATTAGAATGCCAAATTTGAATGATTTTTTTTACCTGATGACCACTGGTGTCCATAATTGGGCCCCAAGTTTCACACCGAAATAGGAGCTTCCTAACAAAGTCTGTAATGTTTCTCTGGTGTTCTTTAATGACAAGTTCACTACAAATGTAACAAAAATTGCCGGGAGAATAAAATTGTCCTGTTTCCTTTTATTATAATCAAAGGAAATAGGAAAACGCGTAATGACGACGTAATACAACTTAAAATTTGTGCGAAAAAAAAATTAAATTTGCGGAATTTTTCTCGAATTCAGCACCCAAAAATCAATAAAGATCGCTTATTAGCTCTACTTTTAGTTCTATATTTTTATTGAACTAAAAGTAGAACTAACACTAGACCTAGAACTAAGAACATTCAAAATTGACCAAGCGCATTCATTAGTTTGCATTGGACTGTAATTAGCCTTACAAGTTTATGATCAAAAAATTCTTATTCTTCAAACAGTTGTTCAACGCCACAATGGCAAGAAGCATTATCAATGACTAAACCCTAACTATTAGCTATCCTGAGGTCTCCTTAAGCATTGCCTAACAAACTCATTAGCCTTTTCTCTTTTAAATGATCGCCTTCTTAATTCATGATAAATCAATCCCAAGGTATTGATACATCTAATAAGATGCAGATTTCGTTCAAACGTTTGTTGCAACTGCTTAAGTGTGATTTTAGGATTTTCTTCAACTTTAAGTTCAAAGAAACGCTGATGTTCACCTGTAATTTTTATTTTATCTTTCCCTTCTTTTAATTTTTCTTCTTCTTGATTTTTGACCAATTTGAACTGCTCTTTTTGCAATAGCGTCGTTTTACGTTTGGTGCTTCCTTTTTTTTAATATAAGGTATTTTGTAGACAGTTTGTTAACAGTGACAATTTGTAATTGATTAATGTCATTTTGATTCATGCTAATTTGATTATGACCTACGCCAAATTGGTTTTGTTTAATGCCATTTTGAGTTTGATTAGGTGCCAATTTGAACTTGAAATGGTATAGTGTTCTATCTACTTTTAGTTCAAGAAAAATATACAACAACCTAGCACTGAATAATAATTAAAAATATACAATAAACTAACGCTGAGTAACAATTAAAATTAGAACTAACACCAGACTAGAACTAGAAACATTTCTTAGAAAAACTTTGTAGTTCTAGGTGAATAACAACTAAATCAAGAACTAACACTAGACCTAAACTAAAAACATTCAGGTTTAGCCTTCTTAAGAGATGTATGGCTAAACCTAAATGTTTCTAGTTTTAGGTCTAGTGTTAGTTCTACTTTTAGTTCAAGAAAAACATACAACAATCTAGCACTGAATAATAACTAAAACTAGAATTAACACCAGACCTAGAAACATTCAGATTTAGCCATCTTAAGAGATGTATGGCTAAACCCGAATGTTTCTAGGTCTAGTGTTAGTTCTACTTTTAATTCAAGAAAAACATACAACAATCTAGCACTGAATAACAACTAAAACTAGAATTAACACTAGACCTAGAAAACATTCAGATTTAGCCATCTTAAGAGATGTATGGCTAAACCTGAATATTTCTAGGTCTAGTGTTAGTTCTACTTTTAGTGCCAGAAAAACATACAATAATCTAGCACTGAATAACAACTAAAACTCCTGTCCTTGATTTATACATCATATAGACAACTCAAAGAATACTCTATATAATAGAGCAACTTGGAGAATAACCCAAGTTTGATTCTATCTATGAGTGCTAACATTAACATTTATACATACTAATGTATTAAATATTAATAGTACAACTTAAAAATATTTTGTCCGTTATATCAAGGTTTTACTATACTTAATAAATAACTTACACTCCATCAGCTTCATTTAAAGCCATATTAGCAGATTTTTTATCTTTGTAAACAGCAAATCCAAAACAAGGGGAGCTATTGGTCATCCAAACCTCTTTCAAGGTTCCGTATTGTGAGAATAACTTCTCTAGATCGGATTTGCGTACGTTTTCACCGATATCTGCAATATGAAGCCTGTAACCGTCTTCATCACGACTGCGACTCCTCGATCTCGATCGGGAATAACTTGACCTGCTACCCATCGATTTCCTGCTGTTCGCTTTACTGCTTCGCGAGGTGCTTCGGCTACGACTCTTGTGGGGCTTCGGCGAGCCGTCCAGCTGGTCGTTGTCGCGCATCTCGAATTCCTGTTCGTCCGACAGTTTGACGGCTTTTGATAAACTCGAAATACGTGAAATAAGTTTTTTGTTTGTTTGAGTACCAGGTTCCCCTGATTACACGCTTCCGATTGAAAACGTGTAAAATCACGCGGTTGGAATTTACAAGCACGTCCGGCGATTGGAATTAGGTGATTTTCGATCTATAATTTATTTGTTGGAATTGTGTAAGAAAGGATTTTGAGTATGTTTTTTGTACTTGCCTATGTTATAACACTTTATCGATGAATCTATTTATCTATTATGTGGTTGCCAATGAGACAGTAACGCATAATATCCAGACTGCGCATGTTAGAAAAAGGAAGGAAGTGGGAGAAAACATTGAACGTCAGCCATCTTTGAAATATTTAAAAGCGGGAAAATTAATTATTAATAATAATTTAATTAATCCAATTTAAAATATTTCCTTATTCATTCTAATTATTAAACAATATCAAAAACGACTTTAATTCACACCTTTTTTTTTAACATTAATCACTTTATTTTTATTTCATTTAGGATTTTTTTTTAAGTTGGTACCATTTAATGGTGGGAAATCTTTAAAATATGAATTTATTGTTATAATTCTTGAATTTGTACATTTAGGATAAAATACGACATAAAAATATTAATAAATATGAATAATAAAATACAATAATACTTTTTGAATTATGTTATATACAAAATAAAACTAATTATTATTTCCTTAACCTCTATTCCAATTTTTTAAGATTTATCTTCGAGATTGGGGTCCTTCTTCTAATTTCCTCCATACAACCTAAACGAAAATCATATTAATCTAACGCTTTTAATTGTTGAAACGACTTACATTGCACATTTCGCGTACCAAAGCTTTTTCCCCATCGTCCATATCAGCTGAAGGTGTATCGGACATGTTTTCATTCCTTTCTAATCTTCCTTCACGTTCTAATTGCTCTCTAACCTCCAATACTTGTAGAGCCCTTACTACGGCTTCAGGTCTTCCGAATAAAACTCCACCTGAATCTTGTGGAATTGCCACGGTTGGATCACCACTTGATGTTGCCAATTGATTTATTTTATGAGTTAATGTGCGTTTATCATCTTCTAATTGTTGTACTCTTTGTTCTAAACTTCTTACATACTGCATGATTTGATCTATAAATTAAATGTAATTAATTAAATCTAAATTAAGATTTATTTGTTGTATCTTACCATTAAAAGTACTTCTTTGTCTGGCTAGATTTTCATGTAGAAGTCTTTCCCTGCTAGCGCTTCTTCTTGGTGGATTATTAGAGCTAGTAAATTGTTGTGGAATAGTTGGCTCATCAGCATTAGTGCTTGAACTGGAGCCATCTCCATCATCTCGAAGATTTGTAGTAGCTGTTGTTCCACAATTTGGACAAATTGAAGTTCCACCTCTTTCTTCATCCAAATACAAACATAATTCTTTTAATTCTAAGTTATCTTTGATGAGTTCTTGTTGTTTATTATCAAGTTCGCGTAATTTGTGTTGATATGCAGAAACTTCTTGTCTCATAACTGTAGCTGTGTATCTTCCAAATCTTTGCCATTCTCTGGCTAATTTTCGACCTTTCTGTCGGTCATCATCCAAGAAACAACATAAATCTCTTAACTCTTGGTTATCATCAGCAAGCCTTTGATTAGCTTCTTTTAAAGTTCTCAACTCCATCATTAAGTTTTGCATGTGCCTCTGATCATTTACCATTCTTGTGTTATCTTCAGGTTTTCTCACAAATTTTAACATCTCGTTATTTTGACGGATTATTTCTTCTTCTGAGTATCGCCTGGTTTGTTGATCATCCAATCTAGGATCTTCAACTCGATTTGGAATTCTTCCCTGGGGTACACCCACTGGATAAGGATATTTACCTGATATAGGATAACCGGGTTTTAAAAATTTTCCATCCTTAATAATAGGGTGCTTCAAAATCCCACCTGGATTGTGAACGGTATTCGGTGGGGGATGGGGAGGCGGTTGGTAACGGGGCGGAGCGCTCGATGAGGGTTCGTTTTGGGGCGCTTTTACAATATACTGTTGTTTCTTGGTGTTATTTGACATGTTACAGGGTCTGTTCCACGCTCTATGCCAATTTGGGTCAGTTTTATGTGTCACGATTCACATTTTTCACCCATTTAATACACTCAATTACGTTTCTATTTCAAATCAAAACATAATCACCCAAATCACTTCCGTTACGATTAAACAATCCGTTTATTTATCGTTTTTGATAAAAACGAAAAACGGAACGACATAAACATTGGGCCAACATGGCGACGTTTCTTCTTTTTAAATCAACAGGGGAACGGTACGTTAAAGAAGGAGGCAAAGAGGTCTTGAGTTATATGCGTTCCGTTGACTTTGTTAGCGCGAGAGAGAAAAAAAATCTCAATGCTTTCAGTATGTATTGCCCACCTTTCTTTTTTGCTTTTCAAAGAAACGATGTGGAATGCGGTTTTTTTGTGATATTTGGTTGGGTGGGGTGTTTTATCTGTGTTGAGTACTTTCTTTTTGATGGGGATGGAATCCGAAGAATTCCGGAAATTGAATTGTAATGAATCATCATTAATTACTATAAAATGTTAATATGCTTGTTTCGAAATAATTAGATTAAATGGAATGTTGGAGAGTTTATTATTCACTTTGATAAATGTTAAGTATTTCTTTTGAAATGTTGAATGATTAATGAGTTAAATTGTTTTATATAACTTTTAAATAAATTGCATTAACATTTCTATCTAGTTACTTAATCGGAAAAATAAGATTCCAATAACATAAAGGACCGAAAAGAAATAATAATGATAATCAATCATTTATTTCAATAAAGTACAAAATTTCAGTAAAAAATAAAAGAACAATAGCAAAAATACTCAATGATTTGTTCTATATGTTCTAATTCTGTAATATGTTCTACAACTGTCTCTATGTTAATGGTTTCCAAGTGATATGATCACTCCAAGAGAGAATTTCTAAAAATGTGATGCCCAGAAAATTCATAGTCTGATTGGTCATGTTATTATCCCGTTTACTAAAGAATGTAAATATCTTTGTTTTATCTAGATTCAACTTCAAATTATTTGCCCTAAACCAATCTTCTCTACTGAGTCTAGTACTGAGAATGTTTTCTGATTCAGTTTCTGTGAATTTCTAGATCTATTTATAAAAGACGTATCATCAGCGTATAGACAAATTGAAATAGAGGTTTCGATCTAATACAGCTTGAATGTACTCTCCATCAATCACTAAATTAAAAAGAAGAAAAAATTTATTGTTTATGTATTAAGCTAAATTGACATAACCTCAATATCAAACTTTTGACAGCTATCAAAATATTTGACAGCTGTCAAACGTTCAGAATTCTAATACTTACAGAATTTTAAATTAAAATCAATTGAAGATTTAGCAGACCATAATCTTAAAGTATTCACAACATTGTTATCATAACCAGGAACTGAATTATCATAGGGTAATGCAAAAACAACTTGAGTATTAACCCATTTTTTAGTATTTCCAGGTCCATCAATAATGTGCCCATAAAAATTAACGGGAATCATGTATTCCGTTCTGGCTTTTTCCCAAAGGATTCCAAATCGTAACCAATCGTCAGGTTCTTCCTGTTGTTCGCCATTAATAATTTTTTGGGCGAAAATACCGTATTTATAACGAATTCCGTAATCATAAGCGGCGTTTCCTAAAGTTGTCATTGACTTTTAGGCAATATAATGAACCAGCAAGTTTTCTTTTTAGATTAGTGAAATGATCACTCCAAGAGAGAGTTTCTAAAAATGTGATCCTCTAAAAATTCATAGTCTGATTGATCATTTATCCCGTTTACTAAAGAATGTAAGTATCTTTGTTTTATCTAGATTTAACTTCAAATTATTTGCCCTGAACCAATATTGCGCTTTCTCTAGTACTGAGACTGTTTTCTGTTTCAGTTTCTGTGAGTTTCTAGATCTATTTATAAAAAACGTATCATCAATGTACAGACACATTGAAATAGAGGTTTCGATCTAATACACCTTGAATGTAATCTCCATCAATAACTAAATTAAAAAAAGAAAAAATTTATTATTTATGTAATCAGCTAAATTGACATAACCTCAATAACAAATTTTTGACAGCTGTCAAAATACTTGACATTTATCAAACGTTCAAAAATTAAGTGTGTTAATTAAATTCTAATACTTACAGAATTTTAAATTAAAATCTATTGGAGATTTTGCAGACCATAATCTTAAAGTATGCACAACATTGTTATTATAACCAGGAACTGGAGTATTCACCCATTTTTTTTGTATTTCCAGTTCAATCAATAACGTGCCCATAAAAATTACCGGAATCATGTATTCTGATCTGGGTTTTTCCCAAGGGTTTCCAAATCGTAACCAATCGTCAGGTTCTTCTTGTTGTTTGTTATTAATAATTTTTTGGGCGAAAATATCGTATTCATAACGAATTCCGTAACCATAAGCGGCCATTCCTAAAGTTGCCATTGAATTTTTAGGCAATATAATGAACTAGCAAGTTTGCTTTTTAGATTAGTGAAATGATCACTCCAAGAGAGAGTTTCTGAAAATGTGATCCCCAGAAAATTCATAGTCTGACTGGTCATATTCAAATTATTTGCCTTGAACCAATCTTGCACTTTCTCTAGTACTGAGACTGGTTTCTGTTTCAGTTTCTGTAAGTCTCTAGATCTGTTAGTGTTTAATCGCTGATTCGTTTATTCTTTGTTTTTGTGATAGAATTAAACTCTTGAAATTTATTTTACTAAATTTTAATATAATTTTGACAATGTTACATTACTTGAGGCATAAAGCCGAATATATCCGGTTTTACCAAATTCATTTTATAAATAACACGGGTCGAACGTCGTACTTCGACTACATGTCACGAATTGGAAAACAACAAAAAAAATGTAAATTTAAATTAGAAAAATCATTTAAACGGAATAACAATAAAAATTATAATAACAATTATAAATGCCTTAACAAGATCTATTTATAAAAGACATTAGAGCATTTAGAGCCGTATCATTAATGTATGTCAAAAACAGAATCTTGAGGAACACCAAGAGCAATTTCCTTCCATGTCGATACTGATCCTCTCCAGTGTACTTGCTGTTTTCTGTTCTGAAGATACGATGTAATTAGTTTTGAGCTTATACCGTAATTGTCTAATTTTCTTAATAATATCTCATGACTGACAATATCAATTGCTTTACTTAGATCACAGAATGCAATCTGGGTATATTCGCGCTGATCCAATCCTTTCGTTATTTCTTCTAAAACTTCATGAATTGTAGTTATTGTCATTATAGTTATTATTTTTGCATAGATACTGCATCAATTTACTGCATATTGCCACATCATACATTTTTGAGATAGCCGGCAATTTTGATAGAGGTCTGTAGTTACTCAACTTTCGCACACTTTAATTCAGATGGAAAAATGCCATCTTGCAGACTTTTGTTTATTAAAAAACATAAATATATCATCATTGGTATTACATCCAACAGTAATTTTACAAAGATACCATACACGTCTTTCGAATTTTTCACTTTTAATTTCTTAACTATATTTTCAAAATCTTTTCTCTCTAAGTGACCAAAGGTCGTGCAGGAGTTAATTTGTTCACATAGTTCGTTACATCATTATTGACTATAGAATTACTTATACTGCTGAAGAAAGTATTTAACTCGAATCAGTTGCATTCAGTCGTCCTTCAATTTGATCACATTTCTTTACCTTGCCTGTCTCCTATTTTACTATATTCTATATTATTTACTATCTTTAGAATAAGCTTCTTTTTTAGCTTCATCACTTTTCTCTTTATGCAACACTCTTAGTTCTTTATAAGTGTTTTGTATAAGGTTCTTTTCCTTAGTTACTTCAATAACGGTATGCAAAGCATTTAGATGATTTTTTGCTGCTTGTAAGTCCTTAGTGTTCCAGTTAAGGTAATTTATTGCTCTTTTTGTTGTGATGTCTGGGAAAGCATCATTATAGCTTCTCATTAATAGATCATGAAAAGCAGTATAACACAACTGTGAATTTACACTCACTTAGGTTCATCTTATTAAGTTTCTTATTAATTTCTCTGTTTTATTTTTAGAACTTTTGAACTTTTTGTCAGAAGTTATTAATTAAAAATAAGTGTCCAAAGTGTTAATACGATGGTTAATTTTTAATAAGTAAATAAATTTTTATTACATTATAAACAATATTTTATTATTTAAATCTTACAAATACATGATACACGTATAAAGAATATTTTTTCTTATATAAATTTCAATAACAACCTGACAAAAATAGAAGACAAAAAAATACTGCTGTATTCTAAATAATAACATAACTATTTTTTTCATTTTTACTCTCTCAATTGCAACTCTCTTGGCTCATGAGGAGCGGGTAATTTTTTATAATTAGCCTCAACTCCCCAAATATCTTTACCGTACTCAATAATAGTACGATCGCTTGAAAATTTTCCGGACGATGCGATATTATTAATAACCATTTCTAACCACTTCGGTTGATTCTCGTAAGTGGCACTCACTAAATCTTGAGTTTTGATGTAATCTTCGTAATCGGCGAGAAGATAAAATCTGTCGTACTTTAACAAGATATCGGCGAGATCTTTAAATTCGTCCGGATTTCCGGGGGTGAAAAATCCGTTTTGTATCTGATCGACGACTTGTTCTAATTCGTGATTGGATTTGTAATAATCGTAAGCGTTGTAACCTTTTTTTTCTAATTCGTGTACTTGATCGACGGTCATTCCAAAAATGAATATGTTTTCGTTTCCCATTTCTTCGGCCATTTCAACGTTAGCACCATCTAAAGTTCCTATTGTTAAAGCTCCGTTTAACATAAATTTCATGTTTCCTGTACCGGAAGCTTCGGTTCCTGCCGTCGAAATTTGTTCACTTAAATCAGCTGCTGGAATAATTCGTTCGGCTAAAGTAACTCGGTAATTTTCTAAATAAATTACTTTTAAACGGTCGCCTACGATAGGATCGTTGTTAATAACATTAGATACCGCGTTTATTAGTTTAATTATTTTCTTTGCGGTGTAATAACCTGGGGCGGCTTTTCCGCCAATCATAATAGTACGGGGGGTAAATTTAGCTGAAGGATTCTTTTTGATTCGGTTATATAACGTAATTATGTGCAAACAATTTAATAATTGTCGTTTATATTCGTGAATTCTTTTCACTTGAATATCAAAAATTGAAGCAACGTTTACTTTAATACCATAATCTTTAAAGAGAATTTCGGCGAGCTTCAATTTATTTTCTTGTTTAATACTCATTATTTTTCTGTGCATATTCGAGTCTTTTGCAAACTTTTTCAACGTTTTTAATTGATCCAAATGGGTTATCCATTCTTCTCCAATTGAATCGCAAATTAAATCGCTCAAACCTGGATTACACAGTAATAACCACCTCCTGGGTGTAATTCCGTTAGTTTTATTCTGAAACTTCTCTGGTGTTAATTCATAAAAGTCTTTAAATAAATCGTTTTTAATAATTTCGGAATGAATCCTAGCGACTCCGTTAACAGCGTGTGACCCAACAATCGATAAATGAGCCATATTAACCCTTTTCTCACCATCTTCCTCAATCAAAGACATTCTCCTCATTTTATCCATATCTCCCGGCCATTTCCTTTCAACATCTTGGAGATGCAGAAAATTGATGTGATAAATTATTTGTAAATGTCGTGGTAAAATCGATTCCAACATTGATACTGGCCAACGTTCCAAAGCTTCTGGAAGAATTGTATGGTTGGTGTAAGCACAAGTACGCACTACTAATTCCCAAGCTTCCTCCCAAGCCATCCCTTCAATATCGATGAGAATCCGCATTAATTCAGGTATAGCTAAAGATGGGTGTGTGTCGTTTAATTGAATCGCGACTTTTTCGGGAAGAAGGGAGAAGTCGTCTCGAACGTGTTCTTTACTACCAAATTTCGACGCTTTGAAACGGCGGATTATGTCTTGTAAAGTTGCGGCGCACATGAAATATTCTTGTTTTAAACGGAGTTCTTTACCTTCAAATTTATTATCGTTGGGATAAAGAACTCTTGATATATTTTCCGCGAGGTTTCGATCTAATACCGCTTGAATGTAATCTCCATCATTAACTAAATTAAAAAAAAAATCAAAAATTCAAAAATCATCATGTGGATTAAAAATCGATGATTTTTTTTAATCGATGTGAAATGACCCAAAAAACATGTTAAAAATAGCGGAAAAGTGAAAGTAAAGTTTCGATGTGACGTCNTTGTTTATTAAAAAACATAAATATATCATCATTGGTATTACATCCAACAGTAATTTTACAAAGATACCATACACGTCTTTCGAATTTTTCACTTTTAATTTCTTAACTATATTTTCAAAATCTTTTCTCTCTAAGTGACCAAAGGTCGTGCAGGAGTTAATTTGTTCACATAGTTCGTTACATCATTATTGACTATAGAATTACTTATACTGCTGAAGAAAGTATTTAACTCGAATCAGTTGCATTCAGTCGTCCTTCAATTTGATCACATTTCTTTACCTTGCCTGTCTCCTATTTTACTATATTCTATATTATTTACTATCTTTAGAATAAGCTTCTTTTTTAGCTTCATCACTTTTCTCTTTATGCAACACTCTTAGTTCTTTATAAGTGTTTTGTATAAGGTTCTTTTCCTTAGTTACTTCAATAACGGTATGCAAAGCATTTAGATGATTTTTTGCTGCTTGTAAGTCCTTAGTGTTCCAGTTAAGGTAATTTATTGCTCTTTTTGTTGTGATGTCTGGGAAAGCATCATTATAGCTTCTCATTAATAGATCATGAAAAGCAGTATAACACAACTGTGAATTTACACTCACTTAGGTTCATCTTATTAAGTTTCTTATTAATTTCTCTGTTTTATTTTTAGAACTTTTGAACTTTTTGTCAGAAGTTATTAATTAAAAATAAGTGTCCAAAGTGTTAATACGATGGTTAATTTTTAATAAGTAAATAAATTTTTATTACATTATAAACAATATTTTATTATTTAAATCTTACAAATACATGATACACGTATAAAGAATATTTTTTCTTATATAAATTTCAATAACAACCTGACAAAAATAGAAGACAAAAAAATACTGCTGTATTCTAAATAATAACATAACTATTTTTTTCATTTTTACTCTCTCAATTGCAACTCTCTTGGCTCATGAGGAGCGGGTAATTTTTTATAATTAGCCTCAACTCCCCAAATATCTTTACCGTACTCAATAATAGTACGATCGCTTGAAAATTTTCCGGACGATGCGATATTATTAATAACCATTTCTAACCACTTCGGTTGATTCTCGTAAGTGGCACTCACTAAATCTTGAGTTTTGATGTAATCTTCGTAATCGGCGAGAAGATAAAATCTGTCGTACTTTAACAAGATATCGGCGAGATCTTTAAATTCGTCCGGATTTCCGGGGGTGAAAAATCCGTTTTGTATCTGATCGACGACTTGTTCTAATTCGTGATTGGATTTGTAATAATCGTAAGCGTTGTAACCTTTTTTTTCTAATTCGTGTACTTGATCGACGGTCATTCCAAAAATGAATATGTTTTCGTTTCCCATTTCTTCGGCCATTTCAACGTTAGCACCATCTAAAGTTCCTATTGTTAAAGCTCCGTTTAACATAAATTTCATGTTTCCTGTACCGGAAGCTTCGGTTCCTGCCGTCGAAATTTGTTCACTTAAATCAGCTGCTGGAATAATTCGTTCGGCTAAAGTAACTCGGTAATTTTCTAAATAAATTACTTTTAAACGGTCGCCTACGATAGGATCGTTGTTAATAACATTAGATACCGCGTTTATTAGTTTAATTATTTTCTTTGCGGTGTAATAACCTGGGGCGGCTTTTCCGCCAATCATAATAGTACGGGGGGTAAATTTAGCTGAAGGATTCTTTTTGATTCGGTTATATAACGTAATTATGTGCAAACAATTTAATAATTGTCGTTTATATTCGTGAATTCTTTTCACTTGAATATCAAAAATTGAAGCAACGTTTACTTTAATACCATAATCTTTAAAGAGAATTTCGGCGAGCTTCAATTTATTTTCTTGTTTAATACTCATTATTTTTCTGTGCATATTCGAGTCTTTTGCAAACTTTTTCAACGTTTTTAATTGATCCAAATGGGTTATCCATTCTTCTCCAATTGAATCGCAAATTAAATCGCTCAAACCTGGATTACACAGTAATAACCACCTCCTGGGTGTAATTCCGTTAGTTTTATTCTGAAACTTCTCTGGTGTTAATTCATAAAAGTCTTTAAATAAATCGTTTTTAATAATTTCGGAATGAATCCTAGCGACTCCGTTAACAGCGTGTGACCCAACAATCGATAAATGAGCCATATTAACCCTTTTCTCACCATCTTCCTCAATCAAAGACATTCTCCTCATTTTATCCATATCTCCCGGCCATTTCCTTTCAACATCTTGGAGATGCAGAAAATTGATGTGATAAATTATTTGTAAATGTCGTGGTAAAATCGATTCCAACATTGATACTGGCCAACGTTCCAAAGCTTCTGGAAGAATTGTATGGTTGGTGTAAGCACAAGTACGCACTACTAATTCCCAAGCTTCCTCCCAAGCCATCCCTTCAATATCGATGAGAATCCGCATTAATTCAGGTATAGCTAAAGATGGGTGTGTGTCGTTTAATTGAATCGCGACTTTTTCGGGAAGAAGGGAGAAGTCGTCTCGAACGTGTTCTTTACTACCAAATTTCGACGCTTTGAAACGGCGGATTATGTCTTGTAAAGTTGCGGCGCACATGAAATATTCTTGTTTTAAACGGAGTTCTTTGCCTTCAAATTTGTTATCGTTGGGATAAAGAACTCTTGATATATTTTCCGCGAGGTTTCGATCTAATACAGCTTGAATGTAATCTCCATCATTAACTAAATTAAAAAGAAAAAAAAATGGAAAAAATCAAAAATCATCATGTGGATTAAAAATCGATGATTTTTTTTTAATCGATGTGAAGTGACCCAAAAAACATGTTAAAAATAGCGGAAAAGTGAAAGTAAAGTTTAGATGTGACGTCACAAGCAATGTTAACATTGCAGTTTCCTATTAAATCGGTCAACACCTAACCTACTTGTTTATTTTATAGCCACGCACAGAATCAATCTGAT